GGCCTAGATTTGCCTTCTGAGTCAGCATTTGAGTTCAGTACAACATCTTATTGTCCTCAAAGGTGTGTTCAGGTGCTGGAAGGTTTGCACAGCCGCCGTCAGTGTGAGGACAAAACAAGAATCCCCATGTCACTGGTAGTTCTCCACTCCAGTGTGGTGTATGAGAGCACTTTGAGGTGTTTCAGAGGGGATACTTAGAAATGAGTGGTGTTGATGGAATTCTTGAAGGTAGGATGTCTAACCCCTGCTGGGTAATTCACCACGATAGCGTGTTTAGAGATGACAGTGCCAGGTGTTGTTCCTGAGAGATGTGTGGTAGCTGGGAATGATCACACGTCTGTTCACAACAAACACCAGGCAGACCCATCCTTTGAGCAGATAAGAGTGGATCAGAGAGATATGGAGTGACATATGCCTTTTTGGATTGATCAAATCTCAGCATTTTGGATTATCATCGGGGGATTTTCTGTCCCCCAGTGATGATCCCAGTAACCAGCTAATCACACAGGCCTCCTCTTTAACAGCTCCTCTTGAACCCTCTGCCTCGGTCTCTCACACTCATAAAGCGGGCACAAACACATATAGGCACCCCTCACACCCATGTCTCTGCTCCTCCACCCTTCCTAACACACCCAGTGTCACTTTAGAGCCAACCACCAGATCCCACATTTTTCACCACAGAGCTGTGGATTAGAAAAGAAGGCATTTCCCGAATGGTCTGCGGCTTATGTGATGACATGATTGTCATCCACTTTAATTCCCTTCAGATTCCCGCATGCCTGATTCTGCCGCTAGAATGAAGGGCAGAGAGACAGTAAATAAGAGTTTTAGAAATGGGAAGCTCCTGCACAGGCATGCTCTCTGGAAAGGTATTTAAGTTTTTATTGTCAAGATGAAAGACATATTGAAAATCGTTCTCAGCAGCTGGTCTCTCAGGGCTTGCATGTATTTTTGTTTGGGTGAAAATATCTCTGTGGGTTTACATCTCCATACATATATATCATACTCAGAACCGGACCTTCTGGTGTTGGATACTTCCCAAGTCCTAGCCTAATAAAGCTGGAGACAAAGCCGGGGAATATTCCTCAAACATAAATTACTTCCATGCTGAACTGAAAGCATAACGTTGGTCTGCTTTCAAGAATGTGGAGTGTTGATTTGGCTCTGAACATCTCTCCTCTCTGATCTTTGAACATTGATCTGTTCAGTGATGTCTCCATAAAGCTGCAGGCCAAGTCTGGGAGTCTGAAAAGCCAAGCTGGAGGCGGAAAATGCGATGCACCTGTGTGAAGGTGGCGAGACACAAGGTTGGGAGGTGAGAGAAGAGGAAGAGGCGGGGCAGAAAGTTGAGTGTGGAAAGATAGATCAGAGTGATTATGTTCAGTCATTCTTACCGACTTTGCTTACATTTTCAGATAGGGAAGGTGGGGCTCTGCCGTAGCTTTGTTGTTGGCTTTTGTATTCCGTGAACCTCAGCACCTCGGGGCTCGGCCGCTGAATATCTTTCATGTCTTGGTGAGGGTGCAAGCCATCTGTTGTTTCTTCAAAGAATCCCAAATGAGACAGCACAATATGAGCTTTGATGTTTGTTTCTGGGATAACCCCCCTTTGTCTATGAAATGCTAAATCTGTTTAGCATTTTATGTATTTAATTTATCAAAATGATTGTCACCGGATCAAATCCAAGTTTGTCAGGATCTCATTGACATGCAGTTCAAGCACAACAAAAGAGTTGGGGTTCTGTTTGAAGGAAATCATGTGCCCGGCACGATCGCTATATCCTGGGTGGTGGTTTCCAATTGCTTCTGCAATGGCTGCAAGGGATCTGCTAGGCATTACAAATGGGGCAACAGCTTCTTCCTCATTCTGGAAATTAGAAAAAAGGAGTGGAACATTCATCTTATGCTGGGGAGGATTTGTAATTTACTGTAATGGCTGACACATGTACGCGGCATCGGCCGGCCTCTGGCAATGGAAACCTCTATCTGTGGCACACATAGGGATGCAGCACCAGAACACACCTGCGGGCACACACAGTTAGAAATAAAACGCACACGTGTGTGCATAAATACCCACCATGTGGGTTATCCAACCTCAGTCCCACATCTGCAGATGCAGTTCACAAACTGAATGTCGCATTTGTTTCTTTAACATCGCCAGAGCCTGTTTGCTTCTTTAATCTCCCTGTTTATACTTCCAGGTCCAAACCTGTCAGTATTACATCAACTGGAGCAATTAGCATGTGGGGAAAGCAAATAAAAATTCAGATGAATGCAAGGCCTGGATCCTGACCTCATTCCGACCGAATCCGCCGCCAGCCAGCAGACTGTCATTTCAAAAGCTGTGAATTCCTTAGTGCCAAGCTGGCCTCTGTCTCAATAGATTTACAAAGGCTGTTTGTGTTTCAAAACATATCATTATTCTATATTTGCCAGGGTCATTTAAGAATCCACAGAGAGCTTTGTTTGAGCGGAGGACGGAAACAGCAATCACTGGCTTTGTGATGCTTAACTTTGAAAAGTTTATATATTCCTAAGGGGGAAAGTTTGACAGATTTGGACATGTGCTTATACTCAGATTTGTCAAGATTTAGATGAAAAGATTGTGTACCGCCATAATATCTTGGTTATTAAGACACTTGCTGATACCCCTGAAACAGCAAGCCTGGCTAGGTCCATATGTAACATAATCCACATACTAGAATCCCTAAAGCTCAGTATTTAACATTCTTATGTCTTGCTTGTTTAGCCTACACAGTTTTTGAAGTGAAAAAACATCATTTAACTTTTAAAGTGCTTTTTGAAAGTTTGAGGATCTGTTAGAGTTGACGTAGCTGGATTATTAAGACAGTTTCAAAACAAGTCCTATGAGTAGAACTAGACGAACCCCACATATCAAATGTCCTGGAAATGATGCAATTTACCTAATGCAAAAATAATCCATTATTATATATAAATGGGATTTTTGAATGTATAAGATTAACAATAATTGTAATAACTAACTTTTCAACAGCTGAACTTTTGTGTACAAGTAGCCAAAATCAGCCTATTGGGAAAAATATCAGGCCTCACCAAATGGAACTAACAGCACAGCTATGTCAAATTTGTAAAAAAAGTAAAACTTTGGTCAGGCATCTGGTCAGGATTCCTTTGGGATGTCTCCCGGGGGAGCTGTTTTGGGTATGTTCAACCATTATGAGGCCTTGGGACATATCCAGGATCCGCTGGAGAAATGAGTTCAACTGGCATGGGAACGCCTCCATGTCCCCAATGTCAAGGAGGAGGTGGAGGTGAATGGGAAGAGAGAGGTTCTCTGATCAGACCGTCTCTCCAACACTGGCCGACATCACTGTGTAATACTCCACTTTATGAGAACAATGAGCAACATTTTTCATGGCAGCGTGCCCCTCCTCCCCAAAAAAAGAATAGAAAAAAAGTAGAGAAGCTACAGTAGAGGATCTCTGAAAGGTGTTAGAAATATCTTTTGTTGATGCAAACAAAATGAGAACGTTTTACCTAAATGAGAACAGCGTTCAACTGTGATGGGGGTATTGCTGTTTAGGCCTGTATTAGTTCATGTGGACCATCACTGCTTGCCATCATTAACTCAACAACGTTTTCTGAACTAAACAAAATGCTTCATTGATGTCTTGGAGCATTAAACCACAAATGCTGCAAAAGGGACCAGAAGCAAGCCATTTGCGTAAACTCTACAAGATGAGTTGTTATTCACTAATTCATACCAAACCCAAGAAAATGTACTACAACTTTGAAGCATTTCCATGAAGGAATAGAAAAAATTTGTTTCAGCTCTTTACTTGAGTTGTATCCGCCTGTTGGTAAGTCTTGTTTAGAAATCTGATGTAACAGACTATTTTATGGATTAAATTTTGACAGCTGTACGTGCTGTTTCTTGAGATAAGTCTAAAAATAACACATTAAAAAAGTATTCTTTTTTTTTTAATAGTTTATCTTTCAAAAACAAAAGATTCTGCGTAGATTGTCCAGCAAATCAGTCATTCAGCTATTTACCCATTTTTATTTAAAAAAAAAACTAAACACTTTCTCTACTTTTCTCCTTTCTCTCATCATCATCTCTCTTTCTGATTTTTCTGCAGATATTGAAAAACTGAGCAGAGCAAGGATAAAAAACAAAATTCTCAGTAACCAATACACTGAGATTGCCAAGCAGACTCATTATCTCTGTCTTAAACACATTTCGCTCCAGGGCTGTGTGTGCGTGTGTGTGTGTGTGTGTATGTGTGTGTATGCCTGTCTCCGCTAAACAGATTATCCACCCTTTACCTCTCCACCCTCTTTTTCTGTCCTCTCATCCTTTCAAACAGATGCCCTTGGTGTGTTAGTCGGGTTCAAAGTCTGAACTTCTCCTGACTGCCAGAGGAAACTCTATACCAGCTCCAGCTTTACGGCATCAGGGAATCAGCCCACTGCTGATCCCTCCTGTACAGCCCCAAAGGTGACACGCTCTAACTCTCACAGGGCCTTTGTTTTAGAGGTTCCCCTGAAGAGAATGGTCCGTGTGTGTTGGTTTAGTGTTGAACTCAGGGTGCAGCGGGAGAACAGAGAGTTTTACTGACACATCCTCAGGCCGACTGTCGTTCACAGACCTGACTGAAACGTCTATCAAGGTTCGTGGGGTCGAGGTTTCTTTTCAGTTGGGTCAGTTTATATCTGTAAAATGCTTAAGAATAAAGATCCCAGAACTTTTTTAATGTTCTTTTTTGTTTATGTTACTAAGCTCCCACACGATGGATATTTTTGCTGCCTACATCATACATAATATTGGTTTTATCATTTCTGTTTATTTTAATTTCAATTAGGTTGATTTATCATGAATATGGATATTTTTGGCACGTTAAACTAAATGTAAAGGACACTATGAGTGTTTCTGTGCAGGACATGCATATCATATAGCATGAGGAGGGAAGGGTGGAGACTCGTGGGGCGTATAGGGGTGGGATGAGAAGAAAAGGAGGAGAGGACGCTCCAGAGCGCACAACTGCACGGAGCTGGAAGGTCTCCACTATTAAAACTTGTCACTCTTTGAAAAATATTAGACGACATGCTTTAGCTTTTAATCGTTTTTGTATTCAGATATATTATGAAGACAACTTTTGATAGATATACCGTACAACTGTTGAGAAAATATTTTTCTTGGGATGCCATCAAATTCGCGCAACAGGTTCCGAGACATTCAGCCGTGTAAACTCCAATCCATGTAGGAGGAAGAAGCATGTTGTCTGCATTTTGGAGCTTTGGCATCGAGCAGGAGATCAACTCATGGGATGTAGTGGATGCAGAGTCAGGTTCAACTTTGGAAAGGTGCTTTCTAAAGTCTCGGTGTTCTTTACCATGGTCCTGATCTTTACTTACTTCTTCTACTGCCTCACTGGATTGTGCGATTCGGCTCCTAGAACTCTATACAGCCAACGAGCTTCCGACGGGAACAATGATATATCGGACGATGGTCGCCGAGTGATGGAGGACCTGAGACTTTACGCGGACGCGCAGATTCCCGGGAACCGCTCAGCCCCGGCGGACGCACAGCAGGTGGACGCGGATGACCAGCTGCCGCATCACGAGCTGGACAACAACGGGATCCCCGTGGCCAACACTTTCGGCACCAAAAGGTTCCCACAGGCGATTATTATCGGCGTAAAGAAAGGGGGAACCCGCGCCCTGCTGGAGTTTCTCCGCATCCACCCGGACGTGAGGGCGTTTGGTGCAGAGCCCCACTTCTTCGACCGGTTCTATGAGAGAGGGCTGGAGTGGTACAGGTAGGTGTGCACGCGCTCCTGCGCACGTGCAGGCTGTGGCCAAGATTCACACCTAAACGAGAACTGGATGGAATCATCAATTTAAACAGATATCATCATATCATGTCATTTGTTGCAAAAACTCAAACGTTTAAAAGACACAGGAACAACAGTTTAAACTTCAACATGACATTTTTTATTTTTTTTTTGTTCCAGATTTTCATTCAATTTAAGCCAAATAAGAGTGATGAATGTGATGTCAGTAACAATTAATTCAATGCATACACATACATTCAATCACCAAGGCTGATGTCATCTGCCAGTAACAGCCAGATAGGCACTACAGAGTACTTAAAAAATATATATATTTAAATATTAGTACTATTGTAGATAAATGAGCCACTGAATCCCCAGAGGAGTAGTTCATCGTCTTGACAGTCATCTAAACAACATTTACGACCTACGTCTCAACATGCCACGCTGCATTAGCGTGTCCACTTTGCCCTGAACGTGTTCTGCACAGGGCGGCATGCCAGCCTCACCCATGTGATGACCAGAAGGACTTATACAGGCGTGACAGTGCTAGCTCCTGTTAGCTTTAATGGGCTTGACTGCTCCAGCTTCTGTGGCAGTGGCAGCAGCTGATTTGGGGCGATCCGACTGACCAAAGCTATCATTTATATTTGGATGCAGCTAAGGCCCCTTGAAAGAGATTTAGGTCTGGATGAAACCAGTCCTGATCACCTCCAGATGTTCTCCAGGCCACTGAACATGGTCCCAGCCGAGCTCTCATCAGTGTGACAAGACAATTCCATTCCAAGGCCTGTGAATGGGAAAATGTGCTACAAGGTTGGAGGGGGGGTCTCCCAACATTAAAAGCACAGATAAACAGGACCTTTGACTCTGTGATGTATTTTCATGCTCTTTTGCAGCCTTTTATTCTCTGCACCAGGGTTTGAACTGAGAGCATAAGGCCACATGGAAACAGTTTCACCAATGATAATTTTAGCAATCTTTTTTCTTCCTTTGGTCTCACATATGCATGTGAACACTTTTCTCTCTTGTGTACTTCTCCTCTTTCACACTCTGTTCTGTCTTTCATCGCCTCATTTGCATCCCATCCTTCACACATTCTTCCTTCTCGTGTATTCACCCCTCTCTGCCACTCTTCTATCCTCCTCTTGACTCAACTCACTACTAGAGATGTTGAGAAGGAGAAGCTCTTGTATGTAAATACCTGTGGTGGACCGGGGTCTTCCAGGGCATGTTTTTATGAGTGTTTTTGTGTGTTTTAATTAGCCTGACTGATGCTGTGAAGCAGTTATTCTTTCAGGCTGCTGTTTTGTTGGTGCTGTAACTTACAGCAGCACCGCTAGCAGGACCAGTAAAACAGATCAGCCTTGCCGTGATGAAACTAAAACAACAAAGATAACATCACAGAAAACAAAATTATTTATTTTTAATTTGATGGTGATGTTAACAACACTAAAGGAAACCTATTACTGTTAATGCATTTAATAATTTTGTTGAAAGAATTATAAATGTTTCCCCAAGAAGCACAACAACTGCAAGACAGGTGGTCTTAATAAACTATTCTTAATGAGCATGACTCGTTATGAACACTAGCTTTTTGAAAGTTTTTGTTGATGCTTCAGACTTTTCATTGAAGTGAACATAACTGAATGCTAAAATCAGATTTCAAGGATGAGTACCATGATAGAAGGAGGCAACAGCAACGGTATCTTTGGTGAAATCACTGAAAGAGGATTCATTTTTGGTCCCAGAAAGTGGGAAAATCTCTTTGCTGTAGTCTGCAGCGAAGCACAGCGAAGCAGCTTGGTGACACACAAAGCACATCTGTGAGTGAGTATGCTCATGTGCTCTTTCTTTTGCAGAGTTTTGAGGCCCAACATCCACTTGCTGCTGGGTTGGCCAGTTTTAAGGGGTGTTTGTGGGTGAAATGTTTCTTTTCAGGGTTTTGCAGTTACTTGCTCAGAAACAACAGACAGAGTTTGGCTGATGGGCTAGAGAAGGCATTATGTCAATGGAATGTCCCCATGCATGTATAAAAAAAAGAGAATGAGCACGCTTATCCGTGACAGATAAGAATCATCCATGTGGAACAAGCAAGTCACCCTTATGTGACTGTTGGTGAACAGAATGTTATCTTACATTCACATCTGGAATCAAGCACACCCATATTTTTAATCTAAAGCTGCTTTGGCTGAAAATACAACTTTGACTCTTGTATATTATCTTGCTCAGGTTTGCAACCCCATCGACTGGAAGCGTGTGTGACTCCCATTTAAACAGAAATGACCTTTTACATGCTCATGTATCAGGCCTGATCAATGCAAAACCATTCAAATGCCGTATCAGCATATTGCTTGTCATTTCAAAGCAATAAACAATCTTATGATAAATAACAGCTGTTGAAAGACATGCAGGCTCACATTAGCATATGAGGACAGTTTGTGCATTGTCATAATCAGTTTGCTTTCGAATCTTGAATGCAGAAGCAAGCATGAGCTGAAGTCGAGTGTAGCAGATGGATGAGATTTGTGTGTCATATTTTGAGTCTTCGCTGTCATACGCTCATTGAATCTGAGGAGTAAGCGGCATTCTGCGGACACTTCATAGACTCAGCAGAACTCTCCTGGTTCTTTCGACATAATTATCTTCTCTGTGACGAGCTCAGATCCGCTCCATTTGTGTTTTCCATTGCTTTTATCTGAGCGATCACTCTCTTGTCCCTCTCCACCCTGTCTGTCCCCCCCATCCCATTTTCTTGTTTGCATGTGTGCATGTGAGCCCATAATGGGAATGGAAAGCCACAAACATTGCATTGAAAACGAGGCAGAGATTTAATGATTTTTGTGTTGTTTTATGGCTTTCATGGAGTGATGGCTAACATATGGGACTTGAGAGCCACCACAGAAAACTGAAAAACCTCAGCTTTCCATGGCACAATGGTTCTGATTGTCAAGGCTTTGTCAGCAGGGCACGGATGAATAAGCATTGAGTAAATTCCACCCCTTTTTCTCCTGATATGAAATTTCATATATTTAGTTTTATTGAGTTTCAGTAATAAGACTGGGTTTTAGGGACCAAAACATCATCCTAAAAAGATCTTTTTATTGAACAGTCTTACAATTTGTGCGAAAAACAACGCTAGAACTCTCATCAATCTTTTTTGGCCCTATCAATTGACTGATCTACAATCTTGACATCAAGGATTGAACTGATTGGATTGCTATTAAAGCATAGTATAAATTATTTAAGGCCAGCAGCACAAAGACCAGCAGAAATGCCAACATTGCTGAATATGACATCGTTCCTAGATAAAGGACATAGATTTATGCAAATACACATGTGAAGTGGTGACAACCGGTGATAATAAATGGGACACCTAAGTGTGTGATAGATTTTTCATATACAAAGTTGGATTAAGCTTGTTCAAAAGGTATGGATCATCCAAAGCAGTTTCAAAATTGAAATATATATGCTCTCACTGTTTAGACAGTCTGGAGTCAAGTTTTAAGACTGATTCAACTTTAAAATAAAGTAAGTCAACAATATTTTTCCTGAACTTAGAATATATTTGCTTGCTTTAGCTTCAAAACCACTCACTTTAAAACTGCCTCACTGTTCTTAAGTTCACTCCAGGAGGTCAGATTCAAATCCATAACCTGTCAGTCGGATTTTTAGACAGCCGTGAAGGTGGAGGTGGACTCTAATGTGAATGGGGCAAGCCTTTCGTGAGTGACACCTCATTCCTTGTCCAGCCCTGAGGCCATTAGCGCTCGAGGCTCAGCATGGCTGATTGGTGTAGCAGACCAGGAAATGGTCTCTGTAGTGCTGAATTGTATTGTGTTTTAATGATGGTGGGTTTTTAGCTGGGTCTAGGTGGTATTCTAAGGGCTGAAAAAGCCCACACTCACACCCCATATGGTGAGAATTATAATAATTTGAGGCGCATTGTGGTCCATTTTGGGGCGCCCGTAAAATCTTGGGGAGGTTTCAGCTGTGTCGTTCCTGCTCTGTACTGGAGTTACCCAGTGAGAAAAACAGCGTGTGAAGAAATAATGGTTCTGTGCCAGCTGACCAAGATTAAATGTATCTTATTCTTGGTATTCATGCTTAGTTTGACATCTAGTTTAAGGGGGGGAAAGCATTTGAAAAAAAGCTGCAGAAAATTCTATAATTTCATTTGAACATATTCATTAATAACATAACTTAAGTTTTCCTTATCTGCAAAAGACAAGCCAGACTGATTTTTTTAGGATGATTTCATAATGATCTGACTGAACAGGCTGGTAAATCAAGAAATATATCTTAGATTAAAAACGTGTGTGCTTGTGCCTAATGCACCAACAGTGAGCAAGAGAGAGAAGAAATAAGGAAACTAAAGTTATATAAGTATGGAGGCCTAATGAGGAGAACATTGCATGTAAAAGCAGTTTCTCATCCAATGCAGCTAAAGAGATCACAAAGAGCAACTAACAAACTTAATGGATTTAAAATGTGTTCAAATCAGAGAGAAGTTAAAGCTGCCAACTAAATCTTTATCATATCTATGCTGGTGTTTTGTTCTGTGTTCACTGTGTCAGTTTGCAAAATTAGAAATAGTTATTTGGAGGTCACCATTGGTGCGCAGCAGCTTTAAAGTGGAAATACTATAAATACAACTGTAAAAAGTTCTAAAGAGTAAAGTATTTACTGTTAACTGAAGTATGCAAGATAAATGTAAAGTAAAATATTAACATCCATTCTTAGAATCAAGTATTTGACAAGTATTTGATTTTTTTTATAGACCACTCAGTAGTCCTTTGCTTCCCCTCCAACCCGCTTGCTCTACTTCACACATACGCACTCATACACACATATAAATTGCAATGGTGTCCGTGGAATTTTGTACTTCAGCGAGTCTCCTACTTAGAAAACCCTTCACTTACGCTGCTGCTTCATTATCATTCACAGGAGTAAAGCATGATCTGATGTACTTAAAATGTGTATGTGGCAACATCCGTTCTCACTGTCACATCCTTGGAGGAACTGATGCTCCCCTGTACACTCCTTGGCACATACATGTATATCTGTTTGGTGTGTTTGAACACCATCATATAATGTTCATAATGTTCATAATGTTGCCAACCTATTCTTCTGCTACTGAGCTAGCTTTTGTCATGACGATGAATTAGCCTCTGGGTAAAAAAAAAATAGTCTCGAAAAGAGCACATTTTATCCCAGTTTGTCAATCTGAAAAATCCCAGTTAATCTTAAAGGGTTTTGGCCTCCTTTCCAAACAGTGAGGCAAAAGAATCTTTCAGATTCTGGGGGTCATATCCGCTTTTCCCACACAAGTTAATAAACTACGGTCTCTAAAGGGAGTGGCAATTGTCCATAACCACACAAGACAGATGCAGGAAGTAATTCTTAAGTGGGCCAGTATAAAGAGTTTGGTGTTTTTCTTATTTTCTTCAAAAGTCCAGTTTAACTTTTACTTCCTAGATTCCTCAGGTTTACAAGCCTTTGTACTAAGGTAAGCTGACCAGGATGTAGTATCAATCTCTTCATCAAAGTCCCAGCAAGAAAACAAACACGCTTGTTTCCAGAAATGTCAAACTATTCTACATGGGTGCTCTGATGAATTTGCAATAGTTCTTGTATTTATTATTACTAGAAGTGTATGTTTTATCCATGCATTGGAGTATAAATCAAGGCTCCCAGTGATCCTGTCGGCTTGACAGGCAGCCCATGGCCTTTGGGATGTATCTGTCACTCTGTAAGCATAGCAATGTAGCTGGTAAATGTTTTCCCTAATTTATTTATCTAATTTTTTTATATTTCATGGTCCTTATTTTCCACAAGATCTTTAACTAGGTCTCTAGTCAGAAAGGTTTGGAATGCAGAGATGCCTGTGACAGCAGAAGTCTCCTCCGGAAGAATGCTTTTTGCATTGATGGGCTACTAAATAGCTAATATAAAAGTTTTGGATCTGCTTTTGCTGCAGAAACAGAGATAATAATTGGATTTTTAGGGTGCCTTTTTTTTCTCCAATCAGCTCCACTTTTCATTCAGAATGGCTTTTGTTAAGACGCTGCGGGGGTGTAGCTGCCCCATTTTAGCGGGAGAACCCATAATCTCAGGGGCAGGAAGTCTCTTAGCCACATCCTTGTTGCCAGGGGTTTTATTTAATCTTGTGATCCAGACTGCATAGAACATATCAGTAGTGCAATCAGCTGTGCAGCAGTTCAGGGCAGAGAAGTGCCACATCCTTTTAGCAGCGGGGAGCTCCAGGTTGTGTCGGTAAGGCTCCCTTAAACCGGACTAAATAGAAAACATATTTGTAGTCAGACTCCCAAATACAACAGCTGAAACACTAAAAGGCAGGTCTCTTTAGGTTAAATAAGAAAGGTATCCTTAAGATTTTAGATTAATCATCTCTGAATTGTTTACAAATTTTCCTGACACCACATGTAGACAGATTTATGATAGGAAATGGTCATTATTGATCCCCTGATAATGAGACTGATTGTGCGGAGGGGCGATAGGGACCTGAAGAGAGTGAAGTAAAAGCCACAATTCATTAAGTATTCATGAGTATGGAGAGACAACTTATGGTCAATTTCTGAAGTGCCACTTAAGTGAAGGAGTGAAGGACAAATCCAAGACTATGGAGGAGGGAGATGAGGACAGAGAGGGAGACAGGTGCTCAGTTTCTCATCTGTAAACTCTGACACCTCTCTGCTCCAATGTGTGCATAAGCAAAAAACCCTCACAAACATGCTCACACCCTGAGAGTAATCTGTCATATAGAGACAGACGTATTGATCAGACACAGATAAATGGGACAGGCAGGGACCGATAGGCCATTTACAGCTCTTGCAATTAGATAGTAATCAATTAATGGTTTTTTATTACAGGGATCACTGAATGGGGGAGGGTCGTAATTATTTAGCTTTAAATGAGAATGAAAGACCAGAAAGTTACCTTGGAAAAACTTTGCTGAAGTTTTCTTCATTGGTGGTTAGCTCACAGGGAAATTCCTCTGATGCAATTAAATCTGTCGATTTAACTTTTCTGTTTAATCTAAAATTGTTATGATCATGATCTCATATAGAGTTACATATACAGTATATATAGAGTTGGACTCAAACACCTTCCCAAATAAAAGCTGGTTTCAAAAGAAAAATGCATATAAGAGATTTTTATAACTTGTCTAGCAGCTTCAAAATGGACAGGAGTATCTGATAAAACAATGCGTATGGCAATTTTTGCTCCAAATGTTGACAAATGATCTTAGATTACAGGAAATCTGAAGCTGGCAAGAAAATCCCTCAATTTTAAAAATCATTTGATTTTCTCTTTGTTTTTGCTTTTAGTGCTGATATCTGATTCTCCAGCTGCCAGATATTTCTTTGTACCAACTTATGACAGCAAACTGTAATATTTCAAATCAGCCCATGATAACAAACAATCTAAGAGGGAAAATGAGAAAAACATTTCCTCAGAAGTCATCTACCTACTGAATGGCCTTTTGTCACAGACATTTGGATTTAATGAGAATTTCTCAGTCTGAATCAATGAAACACATATGCTCCATTACTTGTTTATTTTATGGGAAACCATGTGGATTCTCTCTACTTCCAGTAACACACTAAGAGATCTGTTGAGAAAATTAGCTCCAAACAACTCGTTTGCCTTTTTAAACATTGCTCTTTAACCATTTGTCAAGCGAGGCATTTGGCTTCTGAAATCTAGTTCTGCCGCAACTTGGCTCACGCAGTCTTCCTGTCAAACATAAACACACAAACACATTTGACCCCTCAACATCATGTCACCCATTGAGCCTGTTTGACTGATAATTCAGATCAGGTAGACCAAAACTGAACCCAGTTTGTAAAGTAACAATTAATAGAAGAGAGTGGATCAGAGGGCTATGCTTTAATTACAGATTAAAAAGCTCATACTCATACAAGTTTGTATTGTTGCAATATAGTTAGATATAATTTAGTACATATGTCTGCTGGAATATTCGGCAGAGCATCACTCTTCATTGGAGCCACATGTTTTACACTCTAGCTGAGCTGAGCTCAGCAGCTTTTCTTAGCGTGGTCGCACTTCCTGCAGACATTGGTCTGTTTTTGAGTCCTTGTAGGAACCTGTAGGGAAGGCGAAGGTGGGGGAGGGTGGGTACTTTGGTCTTGCAGGAAGAAGAGGGGGGTAAATCTGTCGGAAATTGCTGTTAAGTGGTTCTTGAGGCTTTGTGGTTTTGACTCATCAGGCCTACAGTGAGCGGATGGTCCTGCTTTGGAGATCTCATAACAAGACTCAGAAGGACTGTCTGGGGCCCTAGAACAATAACACCGTACAGTGTGGAGCTTTAATCCGGCATTTTTCAGTCCTTTATTGGGGAGTGGATGTAATGTGTTTACGTTATATTTTGATGTTCTTTTCACTGAAGTTCATTTGTGATTAAATTGGCAAATGGGAACATGGGTTTCACTTGCTTATGTTTGGAAGCCAAATGTTTGAACTTTCATTTAAAAAAATCAAGTCCAGTGTTGTAGTTTTGACCACATGTAAAGTCATAGTACAAGTGGTTTGAAAAAACACAGATTTACTCAGAGGTTTACTTTAGCCTCTCTCCATTCACTGTTTTGGAGTCTCTTGTTTATGCTTGCAGTCCCTGACCAGTCCTGTGGGGGAAAAAAACACATAAAACCACAATCTTATGGCTATGTCTTCTGGGGCATTTCAAGAGTTATTGTGTAGACACATCAAAATAAAAGCTATTTTGTCACCATTTTAAAAAAGCAAAATAAAAGCAAATTGGTAGTCAGACAAAACTTGATGGCTGATTTCTTTTAGTTAGGGTGCTCTCTTCTATTGATGCCAGTTTTTTTTGCTTGTAATGAAAGTCAGTGCAAACAGTTTATTTGGATTCAGATATTTGTTCATATAGATATAGACAGCGGATGAAGCTTTGGACCGCTTAGTGTGTTAATGAAACAGTCATGATTGCTGTGATCGATGTGAACTCCATATCTAATGGTATGTTGTTTTGATTTAGGAACCTGATGCCTCGGACACTGGATGGGCAGATTACCATGGAGAAGACACCCAGCTACTTTGTCACGAAGGAGGCTCCCGGTCGTGTCTGCACAATGAACTGCCAAACCAAGCTAATCGTGGTGGTCAGGGATCCGGTAACACGTGCTGTGTCCGACTACACCCAGACACTGTCCAAGAACCCAGGCCTTCCATCCTTTCAGAGTCTCGCCTTGAAAAACTCCTCCTCGGGTCTGGTTGACACTGCATGGAGTGCCGTGCGCATCGGCCTCTATGCCAAGCACCTGGAGAACTGGCTTCAGTACTTCCCCCTGTCTCATTTTCTGTTCGTTAGCGGCGAACGCCTGGTGTCCGATCCGGCTGGGGAGATGGGTCGTGTTCAGGACTTCCTGGGTCTAAAAAGGGTCATTTCAGACAAACACTTCTATTTCAACCAGACTAAAGGATTTCCCTGTTTGAAAAAGCCAGAAGGAAGCAACAGACCTCGCTGCCTTGGAAAGTCTAAGGGTAGACCACATCCACAGATCCCCACCGAGGTGCTGCTGAGACTGAGAGAGTTCTACAGGCCTTTTAACCGCCATTTCTACCAGATGAGCGGACAAGACTTTGGCTGGGACTAAAGTCGTGGGATGTGTTAGCCCAGATTCAAGCAAGCACCATGGTTGGGTGCATTCACTGTTTCCACAGGGCTAACATTCTCAGGGAGGAGTTGTGAAAAGTCTGTACTTTCTTCGCAGTCAGCATGGCATATGCAGCTCTCACGTCCCATTTAGGAGCTGAGGGGCAGACGGTGCTGCTAATACGCAGGTTATACACACATAGCGATTCAACGATTAAACCGTTCTCTTGCTTTTGCAGCATGGTCCCTTGGTTTTAATGTTTTTTTTCATAATGTTTTATAAGATGAACTCATATTTATAGTTTACGTTTTTATAAAATACAACATTTGCCTTTTCTATTTTAAGAAAGAAACATATTTATTACATGACAAGGAATGACATAATATCATTGTTCTGACAGGACATTGATCTTATTGTCTTACTCCTACAATACCTTGATGCATTTATGTTTAATTGCATTAGCTGTTTCCAAAGGCTTTTTGGAAATCTCTAACTAGTTCTATGTTGGATTTATGATGTTATTTGCTGTTGGTATACCAAATGATACCTCATCTGTGGATTGGAAATTAAAAACATACAGACACACATTCTATTTGTTGTAAATTGTAGATATTTTTCCCTTCAATTATGCATTCCACCTGTGTTTTCATTGCCTTGGATAATTCTAACACTATCAGTTATCAATCACTTCTCCTAAATTGATTTTGGAGTTTTAGTTATTTTGAACCAATTTCCATCCAACAAAATGCAAATGTGTGTGTAATTAAAGCTGATATGAGTTTTATCTATAATGATGTACAGTCTATTTTCATTCAGTGTGATTTATCTTTTTTTTATTGAAACCTTTTGTACATGGATCAAACCACACGTAATGATTTGAGTCTTGTCACATTGTATTTTACAGGTCATGCAACGAAAAAGCATTTTCAACAAAAGTCTTTAACACAAACTGAAAGGGGATGCAACATTCTCTGTAAACGAAATATTAAATGTATACAGTATTGCACATTAAACAATTCAGATGTCTTTTTGTTCATCTGACCGAAGCTTGTGCCTACAGAATTACTGTGTCTTTGCTGACTTGGTATATGGCTTCTTCCTTGTGTAAGTACAGTTTAAGATAAAAATTTGTACATTTCGTTTGTGTGTGAACATACCTCTCTAAGGCTCTCCTGAGCCAAAACGTTTGATTTGAAAGCCCAAAAATCTGAGGTTAAAAAAACAAATTTTACTTGGGAAAAAAAAAAATGTTTTGAAAAATTCAAATCTGAACCTCAAAGAAAATCTAACTTGCATTTCTTCAGTTTAAGTTGCATTAAGGTGTTTTTGAAGCTGACTAACTAAAATGATTCCCTGATGGATCTTGGTGCAGTCTGGTGGTACGTGATCCCACTTTTGCTTCCAATGAATAATTCTTTGGTGAGTTCTACTTGCCATGGTAGCAAATTCTCAAGGTTGGATCTCACAGTTTGTCAAACACACAGGTGGCCCTAATTCTTAGTGTGTTCTCTTTAATTGGATTAGACATTTAGTTCACAGAAACCAAAATGCTACAACTCTGTACGCCTTCACTCTATCATTTATGCTCTCAAAATGTTGCGCCCTTTGAAGTTTGCACTCCATGTTCTTTCCTGCCATCACTAGAGAGAAATCTCACTATCCTCCCCACTGCTCCTTACCACTTCCACACAGGGTGACCACATGTACATTCGGAGGCCTTCATTTGTTGAGGCCTTTAATTACAAGAGATGTCAGTTCCCTCAGCAAACCTCCTCCCTCCTCTCCCAGTTCCCAATTAACAGCAAAGTTATTTTCTGTCATGGTGTATTTTTCTGTATGGCAAGATCCATTTATTCTGGTGGACTAAATAAATCTAAATGAAAAAATCTATTTACAAAAAAAAAAAAAAAGTAAAATGCTGCAGAAAATGCACGCAAAGAAGCTGAGCCAATACAAGATTAAACCAAAAACTATCAAAACTGCATGAAGCTTATTAAGATTGAGCTTTGCTTGTGTAAATGTCAGTGGTTTGTCAATGAGCTGGCTGACCGCTTGCACTGATTGTTGGTGTGTGTATTTGTGCAAGTATAAATCCACACACGCCCACACGCCCACCGCTTGGCTCTTTCCATAATTCCTGCCACTTCTAATTCAAGTCAGTATTTCTGTCACATTCCCTTCAGTTTTATATGTCTGGCATTATTTTTTAGAGGGCCTCACTAAAATTTTAAACATGCCAGGCTCACTTAATCTATGCCAGCTTTTATTACTCTGCATTACTGGCCATGCTGATAGGACACCACTGCCAGCTCAGCAGCAGGCATTAAAAGATAACCAATATCCCCTTCTGCCATTTGGGAAATATGTGAGAATGCTTAAGGGACCTGCGCAGTGGGAAACTTTCATTAAATCAGAAAAAGCTGCATAGCATCTATTAGAATCTACAGTTGCCACTAACCATTTTGATGATGTGACAAAAACATCTGAGGTAAAGGAAGGGTTTGCAAATCAAATTGAAAAACAATTTGGGGTTTGATGTTGAAAAGTATAAGCATCTATAGCACAATACTGAAGTAGGACTTGAGTAGAACTTTATGGACAAAAGAAAATGTTACTGCAATGAAACTGGATGTGACATTATAAAAAAATAAACCTTCCACTTGTGGCTACCACGTTAGTCTGTGGAGGCCACAGCTTTTATTTTATGACTGCTATTCATATTTAAGGTGACTGGCAATTCAGAAAGTTCATATGACTGCTCCAGTGTAATATTGGGGTAATAAATGTAACAAGGCGTCTAAAGAATAAGTGAATAATTATTTATAATTTAATAAAATGAGATATTATTATCTGAGGTGCGAGACAGCAGTTGTCAGTTTAGATGGCTTGCATCAAATACAGATACTTTAGATAAAAAAAGGAAAATAGCACTAGAAAGCCAAAGTAACTTGAAGAAAAGAGAAATTAACACCAAAGACATTTCAGAGATTACAATGGATATACCGACCCCTCAATAAGCAGCACTTTGAATGTACATGTAAATGGAAACAATTGGATTAAATTAATTCAAGAATATCAATAAGTGGTTCATATTTCATGACAATTTTAAAAAATCCTGTAAGTTGTGCTGCCAGCAAGATTACACCTGAGGATTGTATATTTATCTGTTGATGGAGTAAAGCGTCGTAGTTCCCCTCTGACAAGTGAGTTTTAGGCATGCAGGGACAAGCAGGTTTCTGTTGATGTTGCATCATGCAACACAAGATTGGGTCTTTTTTAAAAGGTGAAAACAATTTTATTTTATTTTTTCTAATGTTTTCAAAGATTTTTTTTTATTATTGATTTTTCGTAAAGCCAGAGGGATTTTCAGCTTTTAAAAGTTAAAAGGTCAGTAGTTGGATAAAGCAAAGATTGTAGATTTACTCTCCGACTCCAATACACACTAAACTTGTTTCATTTTGAGGCTTCAATTTCAGTAGCTGTTAGATTAAAATGATTTAACTATCAAAGCGAATGGGTCAGTACACCTGAAATCCCAGTCCACTGCCACATGATCTGGATGAAGGAGGGTGCTCGTCATCACCACCCGAGGTTGATAACTATGATCTGATATGAAGACAAATCCACCTCTGAGTCGCCAAGGGTCTACACTCTACAGATAAGGATCAAATGTTTTCAGTCCAAGATTAGGTAAAACAAGTGCTCGCACTCATCCAGAATCTGGTTCATTTCCAGTGGTGAACAGGGATTTTAAGCCTCTTCCTTTAACCAAAAGCATGTAGTTAGGTGCAGGTATTGAAAAGCCAATGGTCAGGTTTAGAAAACCATCATGGCCCATGTTGTTGCCACGATGGGCCATGACCAATCCAAAAGAGTGGTCAACTAAATACTTGCACCAAACCGAGGTGTTCCGTAGCTTCTGCTAGAAGCAGGGCCTTCTGCCTTCTTACCCCTCAAAACAAGACTGAGGCAAAGACAATAAATTAGAGGTCCATAATCTCATAATCTCTGTCATTGTTGCAGTAATTTGTTTAGCCTTAGCTGGCATGCTGCTTCTCATGGTTTGAACCCACAATTTAATGCCTGCTATAAATCATCTACACTGTGGATTTGTTTGCAAGAATTGCAAGTCTGGTGTGGATGGAGCTATAGACCACTTTGAGAGTGAGCATGATTGGGACGTTTATTTTGTTGAGTAACTCGAATTTCTGAACACTTGGCACAGAGCAAACCAATCACAGAGAAATGAAAAAAACATTCCAAAGGCTGATGCAAAGAGGGCTGAATCTGTACAGCAGGTTCAAGTTAAAAGAGAAGATTTAAGATTCTTCGTTTCAAGCAGAAATAAGTGAAGGTGGTTCATGTTCCAGACGCCACATATTTTTAACCAATCGTCTCACTTAATTCAGAGAACAAAACACTGATTTCTCCTCTTCTTTGTGGCTAGGTCTCCAAAAATGTTGCTAAACAATGACTCCAGGCAGAGGTATGAACTTGAGATATTCTGGCCTTTGTGAGCACAAATAGGGCCCATTTGAGGAATATTTGATTATGAACTCCTACAATAGCATTTTATAACATTGTTTTTGTAGAAACATTTGGGCGAATGCCTCTATGGCTGTTTTAGCCTCCAAACTGCAATTTCCGGCCGCCTTGTTCCGTCTTGATTGGAAAATTTGAAGAATTAAAAATTTATAGACAGTGTTGCACTTGGTTTATGAGGTACAAACTGACGCTCTGCTGCCAAACACTGGGAAAGCTTTCATACTAAAAATAAAATATCTGGAAAAACTTTGAAAAAAGGTATTCATTTTGCGCCTGTATCCAAAATTTATTCTATTGCAGCACACAAAACAAATGTTTGTCTTTTGGATGTTACAACTATAGTATCATCTGCAGAATCTCAATCTTCGTTTGAGATAGTGAAGTCAACAGCTGTATACAGTGGATCATAAAAATATAGAACTGATTATTCATATTAGATACATGCAACTGACAGTCGATACTTCTGAACATTTTAGGGCAAATGGAACACAGGGCATTGCCAGTCTGAGTAAGGCTATCGTGCGAGTATCCCACACATACATATTGTCCCGACACACAGAGCAGCCCTTCTTGCATATCCAAAAATTAAATTACATCAATTTCCTTACCATGTGAATGTGTTTCGCTTTGATGTGATATGTCACATGCCTCTTCTCTGACTCAGTCCCTCCAAAGATTCTGTGTTGGCGGCAGTGTTCTCAGAATAGCTACACCACAGGCCTGTCTGGTGAGATGTGCTACAGCACGCAAAGCCAGCCATCACGAATGGTCATTTTCAGACCAAACAGACAGAGGAGACACCGATTGCCAAGCTGTAAAACAAAACTGAACAGAGTTAAATCAGAGCTGACTGAGGTGGCATTCTGTTTGTAGAATTCAATTTACTTATAACGGTTTAACTGTGTGTGCGTGCCCACTTTTCCAACTAACAAGTTATATTTCAATCAGTTTGTTGGTATTGTTTTTGTAAGAAATATAATGAGACGGCAGTTCCATTTTTCTTATCTTTTCTTAAGGCATAATCATTTACTTCAGTTTTTTCTTTTCTCAAGTTGTCTTGTATTTTCTGTATGTTTTGAGGTGAAATGAAACCCACTCTGTTTAAGAAAAAGTGAGTATTCTCATCCTTTCACCGTTTTTCCTGTTTTTCACAGTAGTGTATAGAACAGGAAACCATCCAGGTGTTGGTGTGTAAATGTACTCCCATCTCCTCGGTTCACACGAGCAGTGCCTTTAAGCTCTGCTGTGTGTCTCGGTTATCCCAGGGCTTGATTTCAAGCTATGAGTGACATCACTGTTAGTGTGTGTTAGATTGGAAACCTGTAGCCTCCATGTAATCCCTTCCTCTTTAGAAGCGTCAAATGTACCTTCTCAGAGGCCTGCTCGATGACAGCACGACAGTGAATGTTAAACCAGAGCTGAGACTGAGCTTTGAAACCATTGTTAAATCGGTGCGAGTGTAATACCTTCAGCCACACAGGAACAATGAATGGTGTGATTCATGTCTCATAAAAGATGACACCGGTGAGCGTTCACTGCTTTGACCCTGTTGTGGGAAAAAAGCAGGCTGTGACAACCTCTCCCAACTTCCAAGTCTAATTAAATCTGTCATAACTGCTCTATAGATTGACATCTGTAACCTCCAAACTCCCTAAGGACCAAGACCATGGAGTCTTGGAGTAAAAAAATCATGCCCTGCAGGTGTGGAATGATGATGTACTCATACTCAAGTTACAGCAGACTAGCCTGGGACAGGTTGGTGGAGGGTTTGACTGACCCTGAACACAGAAAAGACCTTGGGAAAATTGTGCCTGAACCTGAAACACATGATAAAATCAGGCCATTAGCAATGCAATAATGTTGAAGCTACGCAGTCAGTAAATGAAAATGACACGACAAACAGAAATACTTGTTGACGACATAGAAACCACTGTAGGCAGCCTTTCATAGATTTGAACAGACTAGGCAGCAGAGATGCGTCTGAATGGCTGAAGGGAGCTCACTGTGAGGTGAAACATGGCTACCAAAACTTTTATTCATGTCACAGTCGTGGCGTCTGAGGAGCACAGCTAACCCAACAAGCAGCAAAATATGTTCCAAGCTAAAGCACAACCACAGAAGGATGGTGCCAAACCTCTGTCCTCCCTCACTAATAAGGCCTTTTCTTCAACTGGAACTCATCTGGAGTAAACTCTGTAAATGTTAAGCTTCTCAAGGATACACCACATCTCTAACAGCACTTTTAAAAGTGATGCATTATCTTATGTAACGTGGCCTCACTCAGAACTTTACAAAACAACAACACAGGCATAGACTCTGCTCATTATGAAGTACCAGAATCTACTGACTTTTAATGTAGCCGCAGATAGACATTTGAACTTAGATAAAGCTGTTCAGTCAGCATGGTCAGGCTGTAGAGGTTCAGGACCATCTGCTTGGTTATCAGTTCACAGTTCAGCAGCCAGCATTGTCATGGCATGGTGGTGCATTAATGTGCATGGCAAGGATAGCTTGCACACCTGTGAAAGTATAATTCATGCTAAAGAATATATATCCAGATGTTTCGGAGCAACATGCGCTTCCATCCAAATAATGGAATTGTTTATTTTAGAACGGCATTGCCAAACCACATCCCGAACAGCTTTCAACAGCAGAGCCCTGTGATTAGAGGGCAGGTACTAAACCGCACTGTCTGCAGCTCACACTTCTCCACATGGAAATAAAAAACAAAGAAATATATCTACAACCAAATCTATAACTTTAAAGCTTTGGATGTAACAAAGAGCTGCACCGTATAATTAAACTTGATTGTGACGGCCTTTCATATATAGTACAGTGATTCCATTTGAAAAAGTTTAGTTAGATAGAGATACATAGCTAGTATGTACACTTAGTACATGTAGATTAATAACATATATTGTTAACATTATAGACATGTTTCACTAAAATCGTGTGCAGTTCATGTGATTTTCTTTGTTTTGGATAAAGGTATTTGAAAGTGGTGGCTGTTGACTTATTTAGTTTTACTACTTTACTACTTACTTATTGAGAAACATCACATATTTTGAAATAGAAGGTTTTAGCCTAAATCTCATTGATGATATTTCACTATAATAAAAAAACAGACAAAAGATAAATCAAGGGTCTCGCATTTGAAAAATTTACATTTTATTGACATATTCCTCAAAAATTCCGCTTTTGGATGGTTGTTTTTGTTTGTGTTACTTTTGGAAATACAATGAATCAACACATAACACCAAAAAGTGAATCAAAAAGTTAAAATGATTTCCTAAAATCAAGAAGGTGTCCTGAATAAAACCATCTATTTCGAGCGTCTGGTGGCCCTTCACTGCCACCTGCTGCTGACCCTCCCTGTGTCTCTGAGTCTTTCTTGGAAGTCCTTGGTGTCACTAGTGGTTATGTCTGTCCACTCTGAAGCTCATGGTCACCACGTCCTCGATCCCCGCCTGCAGCTCATCGTGCTCCTGCACGGCGGAGACCCCTTTGGGGGTCCCGGTCAGAATCAGGTCCCCCTCCTCCAGGCTGATGAAGTCGCTGATGTAGCTGATCAGATACGGGATGGAGAAGATCATCTGGGAGGTGCACCCGCTCTGCCGGAGCCGGTCGTTCACCTTCAGCCACAGCTTGACGTTCCCTGGGTCAGCAATGCGTTCTCTGGGGATGAACTCGCTGACGGGGCAGGACGTGTTGAAAGCTTTGGCCATGGTCCAGGGCAGACCCTTGGACTTGCACTCGTCCTGAATGTCGCGCGCCGTCATGTCCAAGCACAGCGCGTAACCGGCCACATGCTCCATGGCGGAGGACTGTGGGATGGCCGTCCCGCCTGTCCCGATGACCACCCCTAACTCCACTTCGTGGTGCAGGTCGCTGGTGTACAGAGGCATCAGAATCGGAGATCCCTCTCTTACATAGGCAGAAGGAGGCTTAAGGAATAAGATGGGCTCGGTGGGGATGGCGTTTTTCAGCTCTTTGGCATGGTCTGCATAGTTTCTCCCAACGCAAATGATCTTCCTCCCCCACTCCCAAAACCTGGATATGTTCCGTGCTGTCATCGTGGAGACACACGAATGAGTGTTTGTAATGTCAGCCGCAATAAAGCAGTGGGAGCTAGCGCCACTAAACTTTGACCGACACCACGAACCGGGAACAGAAATTGGGTTATTAACCTACGGCAAGTCTGAAGGGACAAGAAAGTAACTCAAAGATACATTTTCAACAAATACATCACCATATTAAACAATGTTACCATTATTCAGAATAATCTAAAATTGGATCTATATAATGTACATAATATACATGTACTTCTCGTACATTTAAAATTAATCAACCACCCCTTTAACCGGCTATCCGCGATCTACTACCCGGAAATTGATTGCTGATGCCTCGGGGGGCAGTGGTGAAAAGGGGGCAAAGGCGGAACTGGAACCAAACTTTTCTGGTTTATACTAACGTGATAAGACTGTAGTTACTGTAATGTTATTTAAGTCCCTTATAGGGAGTGCCTGCACTCTGCTGGGGACTGCTGCAGCCTTCAAAATAGGTACGTCCACTGTGTTTATAGGCATGCTAAGATATAGCCTGTTAGCCTGTTACTTCAATGTCAGGCAGTGGCAAGTTGCTGATGTGTTTTTGTTTTGTGTCGTTGAGATGAGGGCTGTCAACTGAACTCAGCTGGCCTGTTGGAGGTGGTAACAGCAGCCTGGGACATAATATTCTGAGTGGCAAGCTCTTTGAATACATTTTAACCACGAGATAAACCCTCTGGTTTTAAAAGAGGTTTCACTAAAGCTAATGCTGTTTACTTTTAAGCATCGAAGCAGATCGCGAGTGAAATTCACGTCTATCCAGCAGCCAATTTGTGTTAATGACAAAAACGTGTTTTACAAAATATGTAATAATAGTAATGAAGTGAGAAAAAACTGTTGGCTCTGCATAACATATATTGTTACTGCTATATTATTTCGTTGTGCGAGTAACATTCACTTGTGTGGACTTGTATCCCTTCTTAAAGCACCTGTGGAAGTCAAGGCCCAGGCAGCTGCTCTCCTTCACAGCACAGTGAGAAAGTCCCACCTGGTGGAACAAGCCAGTATGAGGGTCGAACTTCTCCCAGCACTTAGTGACAACTACATGTATCTGCTGATCGACGAAGACACCAGAGAGGCTGCTGTTGTCGACCCTGTGGAGCCAATAAAGGTCTACTCATGTCATATTACTATGTATCACCCCAAAGTCCAGGCAGACAGCCGCAACACTAAAATATCCCAAATAATCCTAATTCAAATATCTACTGTCAGCATACGTTTGAGAGTTTCCCTTTGTAAAATACTGTAATGTTTACACAGACGGGAGCTTTTCCCTTGGTTACTCAGTAATCCTGTAGGTGGCCTTTAGCAGCCTTCTGTGGTCCTTTACAGTAAAGCCAACCAAGGATGAAACTTTCAAATACAACCATTTGTGTGTTTGTTTTAAGGCCTTGACTTCAATTAGTGTTTTTGATCCCTACATTATTAAAAAGACTTGTGCAAATTATTTTTACAAGTTGCATCGTATCCCCAGATTGTTTGTTTACTTAATATAAACATATGTGTTAATGTCACTGGTTACACCATTTACTTGTGGTCCCACATGTAGTTGTACTTTATGATTTTATTATGTTTTCAAAGTACGTAATCAAAGATAAACCCAGCAAATTCAAATTTATATAAATGCCGCAACTACCAACTTTGCCTGGCCCAATTAACAGCTTGAATTACTTTCTAATTATTGGTTTTAATTTATTTTGATTGACTAACTAAGACATTCTTTTAGGGGGATAGCATTAGTTGACATTTCTGTGCTGTCAACAGGTTGTGGAAGCTGTAAGAAAACATGGCGTTAAACTCACAACAGTTCTGACCACCCATCACCATTGGTACGCTGCTTGTTCTTTTACTGCTCACAAATCCGCTACCAAAGATCGAACTCAGACTTAAAGCACTAACAATTTAATATTGCATGGTAAAAGAGTTGTATCAGTTTTTAAAAGAACAAAACGTAGTAAGTTAGCACTTCTTTGTTGTAGGGATCATGCTAGTGGGAATGAGAAGATGGTGAAACTCATGCCAGGACTGAGGGTCTGTGGAGGTGATGACAGAGTTGATGCCATCACAAAGAAAGTGTCTCACTCCAACACTTTCAAAGTGAGTCAGTCAGTCTGTCTTTTGCAGAATCAAAATATACAGCAAACCATCAGTAACTCATGCTTGCTCTCTGCTTTCTGTCTCAGCTTGGATCACTCAATGTTAAATGTCTATTTACACCTTGTCACACCACTGGTCATATCTGCTACTTTGTGACAAAGGAAAATAGCTCGGACCCTCCAGCTGTTTTCACAGGTGAGACAAATCGCATTAATGTAAGAAGACAGAAGTCAGCTGTCTGTCATGTTGTAGCTTTTCATGTCCGGAGGGCTCTTATCCTTCTTCCTGCACAGGTGATACACTGTTTGTGGCTGGTTGTGGCAAATTCTTTGAGGGTACTGCAGAGCAGATGTACAAAGCCTTGATTGAAATTCTGGGACGCTTACCTCCTGAAACAGTAAGTACTAATTCACCCTTTTTGTCACAGTTCAGAATTTAAAGTGTCTATGAAAACATTATTGATCTTCAGAGGGGTCAGCAAACAATGTTGTAACATAAACCTTAGCTATTGAGTGTGAGATTAGAACATCCCTAGCTGTAATGATGAAAAAAATGTTCCATGTTGTTTTTTAAATGGCCAGTTGTTGCAAAATGTACGGTGGTTTCAATTGTAAAGTATTTATTTGTGTTCAAGCGTGTTTACTGCGGGCACGAGTACACCGTCAGCAATCTGAAATTTGCTCGACATGTTGAACCTCACAATGAAGTCATTAAGAAGAAGCTGGCATGGGCAAAGGTATTTGACTGACAATCGGATAGAAATCAGAACTTGAAAGTAAGAACCACATTCCAGGCGTGTTTTTGTTTTCTGTAGGAGAAATGCAGTAATGGAGAGCCAACTATTCCATCAACTTTGGCTGATGAATTCACATTCAATCCGTTCATGAGAGTAAAGTACGTACATGACCAAATGCTCGTTATGTTGGAGGATTATAGTTTAGTAAGAGTTACTGCTATGGTGCCATTTGACTTGTTCCTATCCTTTTCATTCTTTAATTTAGAGAGAAGTCTGTTCAAGACCATGTGAAGCAGACAGACCCAATTGAAACCATGAGAAGCCTCCGGAAAGAAAAAGATGGTTTCCGAGTCCCTAAGGAGTAAAGCATCCATATTGACTTTTTCAACTGCTTACTACACTGCAAGCTGTCCATTGAATATAAATGAAAATAATCACAACTTATCTTCAAATCTATTTGAAAAAGATTTACATACAAACTTCTACTTAAGGTACACACCTTTACCACCAGCTTTAGCTGTTCTAAGACTAAAATATCTGTGGTATTTGGTTTCTGTGGCTCATGTTGACGCAACAGTTAAGGAATATATGGCCATCAATTAAATGCTTTGAAGGCAAAATGTATCTTGTAAATGTGTAAGTTAATTAGTATAATTTGTTAATGTACTGATGAAGAAAGAGTTTAGCTCAGAGATCAGATTTGAAGTTTTAATACAACAGGGAGACACTCAAGTATTAAATGTTAATGATAAAAAGTAGTTATTTCACATTCTGTAAAAACAATTCTGTCTTTTATCAGGTCATTTTCCTGTTTAACTGTTTTGGTCTAAAATGCTACACACCTTATTTTATTATTTCTAGCTTAATTTAAAAACATTTACTGTCCTTTTGCTTGGTGTGTTATCATAGCAAGTACTTGCTTGTACAGTCTTTAAAATGATATTGCATGATGTTCTTTGCTTAAAGCAATAAAACACGTCATTATCAAGAAAGTCTTATTTGAGCTTTTGAGCACTTGGAGTTCTTCAATGAGATGTATCATAAAATAAGTGAACACTTATCTTCAACACAAAAGATGTATACATAATGTGTGTGTTAGCATGGTAAGAACTGGACATGCCTGTATTATATATTCTACTGTATTGTGCATCTTAAAATGTTTATCATCGCTCTTGAGACAGTTGTGAGCGTGCAAGGTTAAAAACAAATACTTGCAAAAAACAAGATGTGACATTGACACATAACACTTACAATTTCACTATCTGAACCAATCCCATGTCAGTACAGTACACGTGACTTAATAGTAAAAATGGAGGACATTTTTCTTGGTATTGACCAAAGTTGAATTGTTCCGGCTCAATTAAAATGCCTGTGCGGTGCCAGTTGACACATTGCCTTGATGATGTCGCGATAACTTCCTAGTCTCATTGGACAAATGTGAAATAATTTAGAGGGGCAATCACAGTCGGGCAGGAATAAACGGAACACATATTAAGTGAGTTACATTTTCCCATTATGAACTGATTATTTTAGGTTAAGTATTTCATTCCAAAGCTACAGAAGGCGTTGAGCTTCAACCATAGAGGTCTGGACTATTAAAATAAGCAACATTTGTTTTTTGAGCTAACTGTTAATTCTCCACGTACTAACCAGAGTTGGTTCTTTTACAAGTGGCGGAAGGACTTTTTGTCGGAATTGCTGGCTAATTAGAACTCTATCTGAAGCGTTGCGCACTGTTTTGCGCATGCGTGTGGGTATCATGAAGGTAAAGGTGATCTCCATCCTGGAAGACAACTATATGTACCTGATCATAGAGGAGCAGAGTAAACAAGCCATTGCTGTGGACCCTGCCGTTCCACACCGGGTGAGAGACATATATTTCTATATCATGCACAATGGAGTAAACTTCAAGGTTTTACCCTCCTCCCCCCTCCCCCTTTTTTTGCACCTAATGTTTGCAAATTTGAACAAATCATAATAAAGTGTTACAGAACAGGATTTTATACTGGTGAAAGTGCTGGCAGCTTGAAAGAAATAAACAACAAAAATACATTCTTGTGGCATCAAACATACTTCCTCTGAACTCATTCTGGTCACAAGTTACTGTGAAATTACTGTGCTTATTACTTTATCTGGTCTGCTTTTTTAAATTGATTATTTGGTCATTTAGCCTCTGGAATCTATAGTTTTCTAGGCATCTTTTTCCCTTTTTTTATTTTTTACAGCTGTTAGAGATAGTGAAGAGAGAGGGCTTGTGCCTGACTGCTGTTCTCACAACACACCATCATTGGTAAGAGCGCAGGCATCTTTGCTATTAGACAATCTCTTTAAAGGGTTTCTAACATAATAAACTCACTCTTTATTAGGTTATTTATCTTGATTTACTTACAGGGACCATGCCCGTGGGAATGAGGCTCTGCTAAAGGAGGTTCCAGACCTCAGGGTGTATGGGGGAGATGAACGGATTGGAGGTCTGACAGATAAAGTCACAGATGCTCAGGAGCTGAAGGTCACTACACAGTAACAGAACTGAAATTCTGAAGGGGGCAGGAAGAACATGGCTCCCCCGCAAGTCGATGACTTGCTGTCTTTATTGTTTTGTCTTCTGATGTTTTTTCCATTTACAGTTTAGTTCCATCAATGTGAGGTGCCTGTTCACTCCTTGCCATACCTCCGGTCACATGTGCTACTTCGTTTGGGAGGACGAGTGCACGGACGCCCCTGCTGTGTTCACAGGTCTTTATCCAGCCAACGGGCTGAAATCCAGAGCACACTGTCCAGAGACTGAAGAGCTTCTGTTTGTGTTGCATCAATCATTGACTACAAATTAAGTGGCTACAGACACAAAACCTTAACTTACCTAAACCTTAACAGCTGTTCTCATTGTGTGCAATGGTGCGGACTGACCACTGTCCTCTGTCAAACCCCCCTTGTTCTTTATTTTGGTCATCAGGGGATACACTGTTTATCGGTGGATGTGGGCGGTTTATTGAAGGTACAGCAGAACAGATGTACCACAACCTTACCCAGGTGCTTGGTTCCCTACCTCAAGATACAGTAAGTGAGGAGGAAAAAAATATTTGTCATGCAGGATTAACAACCGCCAACATGACCTCAAATTAGTCTGAGTCACACTGATGACTAAACAAGCACACAATGAAGGGATTGAGCTCAATCCAGCTCTCTCTGCCACATTGAATCCTGAATGACCACATTACTGAGGCTGTGATGTGATCTAACCTGTTCTTCAACTGCGGCTTTGTTTATCTGTAGAAGGTGTTTTGTGGACATGAGTACACCATCAAGAACCTGAAGTTTGCCATGCTTGTGGAGCCTGAGAATGAAAAAGTTAAAGAGATGCTGAGCTGGGCCAGGGTGAGCATTAAAAAGCGCTTTGGGTGTTTGTCATCAGCTGCAGAACACTAGAATCCTTAAACAGTGTACAGTATTCATCTCTACTAATGTGAACCCGTTAAAAGATACAGAAAACTCTTTAATACATCACTGTTACATATCTGTACTGTTTTATTTCCTTATGGTATTATCGTGTAAAACGTGTCTATGCGACAGGAAACTTTTATGACTTTTTTGCTTTTATCAATATGGAATAGTGACTTATTCATTTTCAAATTCAACAGTACTAAAACATTTATTTTTGTATTTAAAGGCAAGAGATGACGATGACAAACCCACAGTTCCGTCCACCCTGATAGAGGAGTTTGAATATAACCCTTTTCTTCGCCTTTCGTAAGTTTTCATGCTTATATTTTGCTCAAATTAAACATGACAGGATGAGGAAGTGATTTTATATGTTATCACTCTAAAGGAAAATCAGTGTGTCACTGGTGACTGAAATCAACTTAACTCTTTTTGCTGTAATTGTTTAGGTGGTTAATATGCATTAAAGATAATGTAAATCATCATCGTTACACAGTTCAAATTGGGTTAGTTTACATTAGAGAGATGGAACATTTTCCACTTCAAATTCTGTTGAAACGCTCTTTGGATTCTTTCTCCTGCAGAGAGGAAGCAGTGCAAAAGTTCACAGGGAAGACGGACCCAATAGAGGTGATGAGGGTCCTGCGGAAGGAGAAGGACAAGTTCAAGAAGCCCAAGGAGAGGCTTCCTCCGCATGCCATGCTGGCGTTGGAGTGGGGACTGCTCAGACCCTGAGATTCAGTTTCTGAGGTCGAAGGAGGGCACGTAGTCAGTTATCATGGAGTGACTGAATGCAGAAAGACACAGGACTGTACAGTGTGCATTTGTTGCTTCAAAAGTTTAAAATCAGTCCCTTAACTGGCATATGCCTTTTTGATTGTTCTGACACCATGACTGAACAGTTGGACTACAAAAAGCAAAGGAGTAGCACAAGCCTTGTAACCTCCTCGTTTCATTTTTATTTTTTGTGTTGTAAAAACTATTACATTTCTGCTTGGCTTCATGACACTCTCACAGGACCTACTGACTAATTTCAGGACATATGCTGAAGTTGTTTTTTTTACTTTTTTTTTTCTTAAGCAATTGAAAGCTTGAAATCAGTCTACCATCAAGTTATATGAGGTCTAAACCAAGAAAGTGATTCACTTTACTGTAACACACAGATAAAGAAAAAAACAAGTAATGCACATTATGATTGATTGTAAATTGCTTCTTACCCTCACAATACAAGAGTATATAACTGCGCATAGAAATGATATAATAAACAAATCGGTCTTAATATATGGTCTGAAAATTGAGTTTATGAAAAAAATACATTTTCTCTCTATTTTTCAAAATGTGTATATATAATATATATATGTATATTTACATATACACACATCCTCTTTTAATAAACAAGGAATGATCACATTTGGCATGTACTATTTTAGCTAATGTTTCTACGCCACAAAAATGATTTACAAAGACAATCTGTGTCACAGGGTGAACTCTGTTTGGATAACTCAGTCATGGTGAGGCACTGTGTGCATCCCCTGCTCACAAATGGTCACAATTATGAGGACGGTTGTGTCTAAGGAAAATTGTCTCTGAGCAAAACATCACCATTTCATTGTGAGCCCGTTGGTCATCTTCTCCACAGCGTGGTACTGTGTGTGCAGCAGTTCTTTGGCCCTTTCTTCCCCCACGCTGTGCAGCCAGGACTTGTACAGGTCTGCTACCTGAGCATCGTCTTCTGGCAGCAGGGGGCGCTCTTCTCTGTAGAGCTGCTCCACTGTCTGGAGAACCTCCTTCTGGATCTGACCAGAAGAGGGCTTCACCTGCCCCCCACCATTGAGACAGCCTGAAAGTTTGCAAGTGAGATGTGTCATTTACTTTAACCTACTTGCTAAAATGAGACAAACCAAGAAGTACTCAAGTGAGCCCTGCTTGTGAGTTCTTAAACTGTAAAGTGCGTTGAATTCTTCTACTTTTTCCAGAACTATTTTTGCAGAAAACATCTTGTGCCCAGAGTCCCTCAAACCCTCAAATATCCAAGAAGCAAGTCATTTTTACCTCTCCCACCTTTGCCACCTTACCTGATGGACAGGCCATGACTTCCACGAAGTGGTAAGGCGATTTCCCCCTCTTGAGTTTTTGCACAAGGTTCTGAATGTTGCGGAAGCCGTAAGTTGAGGCAAAGCACAGCAGGACTTCACCATCTTTCTCCAGTCTCACCTCTTGGAAGTCCTTATTCCTGTGCCATCAAATGGGAAAAGGACAATAAGCATGTGTAATTAATGAAGTGTGGCAGACATCTAAAAAACATTCATCCCTACATCTGTTGGCTGGCAGTGAAAGCCTCTGAAGCAGTGCCCACGATACAGATGAGTGACAATCTAATTTCATTGTACTTTGACATGAGGACGACTACTCCAGGAGGTAAACCGGCCCTTTACCACACATTGTCACAGGACACTAATGAGGGATACCTACCTAAGGGTCTTGTAAGTGAGCTCCTTCACCTCCTCTCCAAAGAGCTGTTTGGCAGCATAAGTGAAGACGTGATGGAGGTAACCACCTGAACCACTCCCTGCATGGCTCAGAAACTGATCCCCACACACACTGCTGAACCTGGGTTCAAAGGAAACATCACACATTCTGCTGAGGTTTACAGCTTTTTAGCGAAGAAGCTGGTCAAAAATGACTCATAACTTGCATTGTGTCTGGGGCTGCTGGGTCAACATCATTAAGAGAAACCTTTTCCTCCTCCAGCATTTTCTGAACCTCGCCTGTAATGGACAATAATGCAAAAAAGAATGAAGATGGGATTACATCCACATGAAAAGGACGAGTCATAAGTAGCTTCTGTACCAGAAGTGATGACACAATCCACTTCCCGGGTCTCGGCTTGGTCTAAGTAGAAATCCGAGCGAGAGGCCTCAAGTTTCTTGTCAAAGCATGGCATAACAGCCACATGGTAGATCTGCTGTGGACTCCACCCCTGAAAACACATACAATATAAAGCTCAGCCTGTGTTTCAGAATAACTATACATACAGGAACATTAATAGAAGTCAACTCAATGAGAAACTCAACCCACACCTGCTCTCCTGCAAAATAGCCTTTAACTAGAGAGCCCATCATCTGCTGGGGGGAGCGGGTGGTGCTGATATATGGAAGAATATACTCCCCATGTGTCTTCTCTGCGTAGCAGATCCAACCTGAAACCCACTCAGAGTTAATCATCCTGGAAACACCCTGTGTATAGCCACTAAAGAAAATTATTCCATCCAGCCTGGGTTGAATTTAACAAAAATAATTTCATATCGAAAGCTCAGAAAAAACAGTTCATTAATAAAGCCGTCAATAAGGTAAATGACATTTCCCTCCTTCTTTACAAAACTTTACTTTACATTTTTTAGCAGAATGTTTGATCAGATTGAAACTGTAGAGAGCTAAGAAGTGAACTGAGGCTGACACACAGTAAAGGTTATCTTATAATGTAATTCATTATTACTTTTTATAACCTGAGACATACCTGGACAGGCAGACGTTAGCATGGGCAGGGATTTACTATCCTGCTCTCTCCTCAGGTACCGCTCAACAAACTCTCTTTGACTCTCCAGCAGGCTGAAGCTCCGACTAAAACTTGTGTCAAACACATGATGTACACCTGCAAAACAGCATTAATGTTCAGAGGTTTGCATTTGTCTACTTACATCCCTCCATATTTCCACAGAGAACAGAAGGCGCTTACCCAGGCCTTTAAAGAAAGAAGTGAGCCTCTTCCCCGCCTCACTACTACTGAGACCATAGTGCGCTGCAAGGGAGGCTCTGGACTGTGGTGACACAGACACGACCACGATCTTCTGCTCTTGTTCTTTGGCCTGTGCAGGAGGCATTAATGATGCAAAGGGGAGGGCACACAAAATCAATACAGTCACAATACAAAATCTTGAAAACAGAGCTGCAACAAGATGCATCATACAGACATTCTTTGTCATTTTTCTACCTTGTTGTTCCGCAGCACCTTTAAAAGCTCCTCGTGACTCTGCTGCGTGATGAGGACGCTCTCAGCTGAAGTGATACAGCCACTGCAGGCTAAGCAGTCATTCAGTGAGATCTTTGCTTTCTCCAGTTTCTGCTTCCCACCATCCTTCGCACACACAAGATGGGTTAACTCTTTCAGGGGTTTGACAGGATGTCAATCGCTCACACACACATTAAGGATGACACTCACCAGATTGACTTGAACATAACTGCCATCATCTTCTATCTGTATTTTTGCCACAGACTTTCCTTGCTTCTTCTCTACTTTTACTGGTTTGACACATTCCTTAAAAAACAACACAAGATATGTCAACCAAAGAAATTACAAGTGTGTTTTTAACGTATGATCTGTGTTAACAGTATAATCTAATTAAACTTGAAAAAAATATTTTAAAGAAAACAGAAGGGGAAGAATAAGTAAGAAAAACATATTTTTAATATAACATAAGGACTGAAGCACAAGTAATTTTATTGATGTTTTTTTTCTGTTGTCTTCCCTTTTATCCTAAAATATTTTATGGATCAAAAAACAAGTTTTAGTCCTACAGAGATTTCGTTATTAATAAAAATTCTAATCTAAAAAATAACTGTCTTGCAAACTCTCTTAGTTTTGTCATTTGAGGAACTATTTTGAATTCATTATAACACTGCCAATAAATGTAGTCTATGGATATTTAATAGATTCATTTTTCTAACAACACCTGTTCATATGTAATCGGCTGTAGCACTTTTACATCTAAAGAAGTATTCTATACAGTTTTTTTTCTCTTTTAAATGGGGTCCCAGTAGTAAGGCCAATATGGACTTATTGCACAGTAATTACATCATCGCTACCATTAGCTAGAAGCTAACCATGACTAATTATGAAATTACGTTTAATTTTCACATTTGAATCAATAACCAGCCAAACTAACATATAGAAATAGTCTTAGAGTGACGATTCAGTAAGAAATGTTTTAATGTTTAACTCATATTTTGGGTTGTTGCTTGCGCTGTTGTACTAATAGGAAGCATGCTAGTTACTTCACGAACTTTTCCTCTAATAAATATATTTGTATGACAGAACATCGCTATTACTCACTGTGATCTTCTGGAAATAGTTTGATGTAGTAACATTTTTAAGTTGTTTCAGAAACCAACCTGAGAAGGGGTGATAAAATCGTCTAGATCTGTCAGCTGTAGGACGCCGCTAAAGTGAGAAGCCATATTTTCTGCCGTAAAGTCGATGTTTACTCTTATGTCGTAAAAAGAAGCACTTAATTTTGCAAGCCACAGAGAAGCTCTGATGTTTACATGAGGAAAAATCACTCAAAATGAAGTAGTAAAAATGACCGGGTACCCAAAAATAAAACGTGGATCTACAACAACCATATCCTCTGTGTAGCTGCAATCCTTACAAAAGTGCAAAGTACAAAGTGCAACATTGAAATTGAATGTAGTGTACATTGTGGCCGAGGAAAAATATTGTGAAAGTAGTTTGACTCAATATGAGTAGTTTCAAATGTGGTGTGAAAAAGTGTGTAAGCATGGTCATATGAAATACTAATTCTGTACATAAATTATATTAATATCACAAATGCCACAACAATAACGCTTCGTTAACTAAAATTATATTTAATAAAATGATGGCTTAGTATGAGGAAACCCAAACAAAACTTCTCAAAGTGGATAATGAAATAATCAGTGACTCAAGGCTTACAATAGTGTAAATTAGCTTCTTAAAAAATAGGCATAACTTTATATCCATGGACTCTAAACTGTAACGTCACGTATGACTAGAATTACTTGAACACATCTTGTTTTCAAATCTTTTGCAATGATGCCCACACGTGCACGTGCCCTTTTGTTGTTATGACTACGGGGTCGTAAATCCGCCATGTTTTCCCTCCGCTATAGCGTTGCGACAGGGACGGAGAAGTCAAACGACATGAGTGTAGAAAATAATCATACGGCAGACACAGCGAAGGAGCAAACGAATAACGGCAACGAGACCATCACCATTCAAACTACATTGGGAGATGAAGGTTGTTCCATTTAACAACTAGAATAAATCTGAAATGTTAATCGTTTATTGCGTTTGGGCCTGGCTAACTTCCTCCGTCGTGAAATGTTGCTAGTAGCTAACTGCCATTAGCAGTATTAGCTTGTTTGCTGTTTTGCTGCAGCCCCACACAAGTTGGAACTGTGGACAGTTAGCGGTATTTTGAAAATTCTATGCCATAGCGTTGACAGCTAGCAACACAGAATAAGAAATGAAGCTGGTTGGTACTAATAAATGTCGTGCCTGTTGCTTTTAGATGATGTGCATAAATGTGGACGTTGTCAGTCAGAGTTCTCTACGCTCGAAGCTTTCATCCAGCACAAGCTGCACCAGAGTTGTAAGCGCGTGGAGCCACAGGAGGCTGCTCAGGATGCCGGTCATGAGGTATGAGCTATACCGTGTGGTTTCACATTAAGGAACCACTTCAAATAGTTGTTTTTTTGTTAAATAATTACAGTATATATAAAGTCTTCATTTCCCCAGGTCACTGCAGAGAGTGGGGTTTCTTCATCAGAGGTGAAAATAGCTGACTATGCACCATCCAATAAAGCTGTAAAGACCACTGTTGGTGAGTATATAGCAAAAAATGTGCCTGCTTGTTTTCCCCCTTTTTTCACTAAAAAAAATAAAACCCAGGAAAATAAAGTTTCAGCTTTCAGTCTATTCACATTTATACCCTGCCAGTTACTTATTTTATGTGGTGTTAAGTGTCAGTCACACAGAAATTAATCAGTTTATCAAAGAAGACATCACCCTCATATTTAAAACCTCTCAGATGTTGGAATGACCAAAGTTGCAAGCATATTGCTTGGAAAAAGTGGCTCATGGTTTTTGCACATCATCAGATCACAGTTGCAAATTTTCTAGCCTTCGAATTTAGTTTCATATTTGCACTTCAGAGTGCAACAAGTTACTATTTTGTTTGCTTTTCACACAGATGAAGGCAGCGGTCAGTTGGGTCGAGGTCGCAGGAAGAAAATAGCCTCGATTAAAGTCACTGACCTGTCTGATGGAGCTGAAGGTTTTGTGTCTGACGATGCTGACAGTGACAAGCTGACCTATAAAGTCAATCAAGAGGGCCGTTATATTTGTCACCTCTGTGAAAAGACATTTAAAACAGTGAGTCAAACATTCATTCTGTGCCTGTGGTCATTTAGAAAATGTTCATAGCTTATGATTATTTCTAATCCAGCTCACCTAACTGTTATTTATATTTCTTTCTACAGACAAACATTTTGAGAACTCACATGAAAACTCACAGTGACCAGAAGAACTTTTCCTGTGACCTGTGTGGGACTTCATTTCGCACCAAAGGCTCCCTGATACGACACAATCGCCGTCACACTGGTACGGAGAATCACTGAAAGTCACACAGCACTTCTCTGTATATCTTGCTGTTTTTTTCCTAGAAAGTATAAACCATATTTTGTGTCAGTTTTGTTTTAAATAAACTGTTTCTTGCAGATGAGCGGCCATATCGATGTACTCTATGTGGCCAGTCCTTCAGAGAGTCAGGGGCTCTCACTAGACACCTTAAAGCACTGACTCCCTGCACAGAGAGGATTCGTTTTGTGCAGTACAAGGAGATCCTTGTCAGTAAGGATGGAATTCAGAAAGGTCAGTCATTTAAAAAGCAATGTTTTTAAAGGGTTTTTATATTTACTGACCAAGCAGGAAATTAATCTTCTAAAGCATCTTGGTGGTATTAGAGCTAGGTTTAAAAGTAATTAATTAACATTCATTACATTGGATTTGTGTGAAATGTTTAGGGGTTGATATTGATCAAGGTTCAGTGGTGGCCCAACAAGAGGTGGTGGTCTTGGAGCAGCAGCCAGAGGAACACGAGATAGTTGAGGCTCAGACTGCGGTTGTTAGTGTGGTAGAGGCTGGTTCCCAGGAGGTCCTCAGCCAGGTCCACTTCACAATGGAGGTGGACAGAACAACCGAGGAGCAACAGGTGAGGAGATGCACCTTTCAAGTCCCGTACAGTTTTGTCTGTCTTTCCAGTCTGTGTTGTGTTGACTTGTCGCTCTGGCCCTGACCAGGTGGTGGTGGAACAATCACAGGCAGAGGCTCTGGCCGCTGCAGCAGCAGGGGACAATCTCATCTGCCAGGCCATCATCAACTCTGGCATTGCACTGGGGACGGAAGAAACAGTGGTGGAGGAAGTCTCGCAGACAGCTGAAGAGATGGACAAAGAGGTGTCTGATCGTCCCGATGCCGAACATGGCGTCATCGAGATCCAAGTGAAAGAAGAGTTTGTAGAGATGGAGGAGGCAAGTGTAAAACTGCTTAGAGTTAACTCATGTGTTATCTTTAATCAGAGACGGATGACTAGATAATACTGTTCTTTTTCCTACTAGGAAATGAGTGATGATCGGGTAGCCGCAAAATTGTACTCTTGTCCACACTGTAACCGATCTTTCAAAGGTCTAAATTATTTCCGTTTTCATGTCAAAGGTCACTTAGGTAAGTCTACATTTTTCTCTTTCCATCTGTCAAAGTTGTCTTCTTTAAAGGGACCAGAACGTCAAAATAATATTTGACATTCTCTGTCTGTCCACTCCTTTTGCAGGTTATAAACCCTTTAAGTGCACACTGTGTCACAAAGAATTTCTAACCGGTTACCTGCTGAAGAAACACATGGAAGTCCATGTCAGTGAGAGGAGATATAAGTGTGGAGAATGTGGTAAGCTGTATAAAACAATTGGACACGTGCGTGAACACATGAGGGCCCACTCAGACGAGAGACCATACCACTGTACAAGGTGCAACAAAGGTTATAAAACCAAGGTAAAGTTATCATTATTGATTCAGTGATTTGCTCACCTTTTTTTTAATACATGTATATAAAATCATTTGTCTGCCATCTAGATCATTTTTCTCTATTTTCCTCAGAACGCCTTACAGGTTCACCAACGGACTCACGGGGACGAGAAGCCCTATGTGTGCGAGTTCTGCTTTAGAGGTTTCAGAGAGAAAGGCTCTCTGGTACGACATGTTCGTCATCACACCGGAGAGAAGCCCTTCAAGTGCCCAAAGTGCAACCGGGGATTCGCTGAGCACGGGACACTCAATCGACACATGCGTGCCAAAGGTCAGGGTAGTGGCCAAATCTAAAAGTTGAAGAAGCAAAACTCTGCTGCAAGCCGTTAACACGTTGTTCCGCCAGGGGGCTGCCATAGGGACGAATCCGGTGAGCAGCAAGGTGCTGGAACAGAGGAGCAGGCCTCTGTGGACAGCCTCGCCACAGCAGCCATCATCTCAGAGGATCCTCATGCGGTATTGGTTGAGTTCTCTTCAGTGGTGGCAGACACTCAGGAGTATATTATCAAGGTGAGAGCAGCTGTAGGCAGAATCTGGAATACTTAAAGTATGCTGTATTCCCAAATGACAGTTTTCATTCGTAGCCCTGATTCGGTTTTGAAGCAGCACAGAAGTCTTTAGAATTCCTAAACCTTTGACTATAAGTTATGAGTTTTTTTCAGATGTTTTTTTGAGATTGAAGAGTAGCTCCTGAATTTTCATAGTTGACTCTCATGTTCACTGAACTTTTCTATTTTAACTAAATTTGAAATGTACAATGTTGACGATATTTTTTCACAGTAAATTTGATTTAATTTGATGTAGGGCTTCAAACAAAGCTTGTGATTAGCAGTCAGTTCCTGCTGCCATTTATAAAAAAAAAAGAAAAAAAGAAGAAGATTAGCCCTGACAAAGCTGATTGAATTTCCTTTAACTATTAATAAGCCCTTTAAATTTTGAAGGCGTGAGTCTTCACTCTTCCTGGGGGTTGTACATGAAATTTACATCCAAGCTTTCACTTTATCTGTTTCTCTTTTAGACACAAACTGGGGAGGAAATGCAGGAAGAAGTTACACTCATTCAAGACAGCCAAAATGAGGTCAGTATGCATGCAGACAGCATAAATGGGGAAATATGTATAATTAACAGGAGCCACAGAGTGGGACGGAAACGCCATTGCATGAAATGCAGGTTGAACTTCAGCTAATCACTAAAACACATTACCTCTGTCTCATAGATGGAAAACCAGATCGTAAAAGTTGTTCAGCGAATTGTCAGCCAGTCACATGGCACAGGCGGCCACCAGATTATTGTGCAGAACGTGGCGGTGAACGAGGAAGGCGCGTCCATCTCCGACTGTGGCGACACCATCACCATCGCTACACCCGAGAGCCTGACGGAGCAGGTTGCTATGACACTAGCTTCCGCCATCAGTGACGGCACGCTTCTGGCCACGGCGGGTACCGTGGAGGCAGGAGAGGGAACAGTTACCATGGTTACCACAGAGGAAGCAGCGGAGGAGGGAATACAGATGGTGCAGCAGCAAGAGGAGTATGTCATAACCTCCCCAGAGGAGGTGGAGATTCAGACCGTTGTCGTTTGATTAAAGAGTACACTAACTGTGAACTGTGGTGGTCGAGGCTCCAGCTGGGAGTTCCTGTAGAACTCTTAGGAGCTTAACACACCCTTCTACCACTGACAAAACTAAGGCCAAAGTGTTCATATGGTTTATGGTTACTGAAATGGAATAATAAGGAATAATTCCATCATGTGATGGATTTTGTTTTTCTTTTATATGCCAGGATTAATCTTTGCATTCAATGTGGTTACTAATCTGAGAACCCACATACAGTTTGAAATAAGTGCTAGATTAATTTTCCCATGGAAGGACTTGGATTGAGTGATGGCAGATTGTTTTAATGGTACAAGTTCTGCTTGTTTTATACCTTCATTTGTTGTAGTCTAATCCTTTTTCAGAGGAAATTCTTTGTTTTTCCCACAAAGCATGACACAATTCCATCGCACTTCTGTCCAAGATGCCTGGCTCGGCTGAAATCGCATATTCAAACTTTTTATCTGAATCGTGATGGCCTTTTACAGGCAGGCATGTTCGGTTGCCGGTATGAGGCCATCCATGATGTAATGTTGCAGTTCTGAGCTGTGCCAACATGATACATCTTTCAGCATGATGAAAATCCCGCACAGATGGGCTTCCCAAACAGCCTCCCTCAAATAAATGCTATTTTCTTACAGAAGTGAAGGAGTTTTGAATTTTCTGTCTTTGCATTAGTTAGTTTCTGTGACTCGTGAGCTGAACTATGATGATAAATTGTTTGTACATCACTTGCTTGGAGAGCAGACACCTGTTGGATATAACAATCTGAAATGTTTGTGATCTGTGAAACTTTAAAACTTTTTTTTATGTGCTTTAAATTGATGTGCAGCAAAAACAAGTGCATAACTGCCTGGCCCAGCCCAAAGACTGCAGGACGTGGCGCGCGTAACCTTGAGCTGATCTGCAGGCAGCGTCTTTGCAACTGGTGCTTCAGAACTAAGGCTAACACACACGCTATAATCAGAGAAGTGTCCCTGGCTGGTACACTGCACTGTTTCTGGGTCATCCCTCAGCCCTTTGAGAGGGCCTCATCCACATGAGCAACAGAGGGAGACAGTGAGAGAGGGTGGGAGTGAGAGAGAGGGAAAGGTATTTATAGAAAAATGGGGCTTTGCTGTACCTTTTCTTGCAATGAACCATTTCAAGACCAAGTGAGTTTGTCCCAGTTTTCTGTTCCTCCCTCAGCCATAGAGCTTTGACCGAGGCTGAGGCTGGACAGCCTCACCCGGGATGGAGAGCCCGATCCTCAGACGTTCTGACCTCCCTCTTCTCATTACCGCTGGCTTTCTGATTTGGAACAGGGGAGGCGCTGGCCCTCACTGCTCACTCATGTGACTTTTAAGGTGTATTTCATTTGTTCAGATGGGGAGTGGCTTTTGGAAGCAGTAAGCTCAGGTGAGCAGCAGCAAAAGAGTGTCCTCGGACACTCTTTGGCTGCAGCTACCCCCAGGCAGGGGGTGAAGAAAGACTGGCAGGAACGTGCCCTGCCGCAAGCCGGGCAAGGATGAGGCGTTTCCTGAGCAGGAAGGGCCGCTTCTCCCTGCGCCAGAGCAAGTCCGGGACGCGGAGTGCCTCCAAAGATTTCTGTAAGTATGTTTCCCTGAGTGAATTTGTACATGATGCTCCTGAATAGCCTCATTTATACAAGGAAAGCACAAATGAGCTAAACTATGTAGGTTGCAGGCTGGAGAGAACAGGACAAGAAAAAAGTGCTGTCAGAACTGCCTGCACTGAGCTCAGGCAAAACTCCATTTCACGGATTTCTGAATTAAATTGAGATCAATAATCTGCCTCGGTTTATGTTCCTTGTAGCTTTCTGGAACGAGGTTCTGTGATTCTTTGAAGGTGGTATGTTTTATTCACTCAGACACATCTCAACCGGAATATTCACCGGAATGCTCCAGGGTGCAATGAATTGACTGCTTTTCTTCAATTAATTGAGTTTTATGTTTCTTCCAAAACCTTACAAAAAATCCTAATGTTTTTGTTGTTCAAAGAGATTTTTTCAGTTTTTTTTTCTGGGAGTTTGGAGATGTCATAATTTAGTTTTTGTACTTTCTGTTTTTTGTACATCTCTTTGCCTCTGGTCTGTTAGAATATGATGATAATACACTTTAGGGCATGTTGTTTTACATTGCAGTCCAGTTGTCTGGTTACAAATCTTTTTTATGTTCCTCATAAATTGGACATAGGCACAAAGCACATTTTCTGACCTGTTCTGTGCATAATTTTTAACTAGATCTGTTCTACAACTATGAAAGATTGATGTAGTTAATTCAGCTAAAACATGACATTAAGAATCAGAATTGTTTTAGTTAGGGTTTCAGCATATCGTCCACTTTTATAATGCACACGATGTATTTAGCACTCTATTGCCCTACATACTGTCCATCTTTGATGTATCCAGATGACTGTACTGTACAGATAAAGTCAAGTGAGTCTAGTGGGACACTTTCTGCAGCAGTAGAATGAGGCCAGTGACCAGGGGAAGGCCAGCAGATCAACATGTGGACTAGATTCTAACAGTTTTATATAACCTCCTTTAGACTGTGGTTATTCCTCTCTCTCATCTTTTTAGATAAAAAACAAAATCCTATTTTTTTACAAAAGAAAACAGAAATGTTTTTATGGCTCATTACATTAACTGGGGATGTCTGTCAGAGTGCCATTACAGAGGTCTATGTTTAGACCAGTGGTAAATTTGTCCTCTAAAAATCCAGGCCTATTAAATAGCACTGCTGCCCTTAATAAGCTTGAGATTTGTTAAAAGTGCCAATGTTTTTCAAAAAGTTGAACTTCTTTTGCTGTTGAATCTCCTGAACCGTTGCCCTACTTTCAGACCTCGGCCTCCCAGCCACCAATCAGAACTGGCCCGAGGCGTTTGGCTTCCGTCTGGGAGGCACTGGGCCCAGCTACATCCTGTCTGTGGTGGAGGGCAGCAGTGCCTACCTTGCTGGCTTGCAGCCCGGTGACCAGGTGGTGGACATTGAGGGCCAGGATGTGACCAACCTGAGCACACCTGCACTCATTGCCTTGGCTCAGACCCTGAAGACAGTACCCCCCAGCATCGGTGTAGTCTCACGCCTTGATCAGGTCAGCTGACGCCCAGTGCTCTTTTTAAGGCCACAGCCTGAGGATATGATATGATATAAGATATGGCCCATATTTATTTCCCCTTCTTTAGCTGGACATCACCCCGGGTCCGGACGGCCGTTTCGGCTTCACCATCATCGGAGACAGCCCCCTAATGGTTGAGGAATGCATGCCTGGTGGTCCAGCAGGGCGGAGTGGTCTCAAAGTTGGTGACTACGTAATGGAGGTTAACGGCATCCCGGTGAAGCATCACGAAACAGCAGCAGCCATGATCAAAGCAGCACAGGGTCGGCCTCTGCGCCTGGGTGTGCTCAGCATGGCTCGCCGGCCCAAACGGCTGAGCAGCAGCATGAGGGTGCTCTCACAGAGCGGAGACAGCATCCGGGAAAGTCGGGCCCACAAGGCCATGGAATTCAATAAAAAAGTGAGTGTGATCTTTCTTCGGGCTATTTAATCAAACTGCTGCACTTCTCTGGCGTCGTTCAGTATAATGTTATACTGTCTATTCATCCATCAGGTGGAGGAAGTACTTGGAGAGGAGCCTGATGTGAAAGAGCAGCTGTTTGAGGTGCTGAAACAATACGCCTCTGAGAGGGACGTGGAGAGTTTGGCTGAAGCCCTGCCCGACATTTTGATCACAGAGGAGCATCAGCAGCTCATAGATAGTGTCAGGTAGCCAATTAAATCCTTTTTTTTAAAACATAATCTCTTCATGAGCCATGTCTTGCACCAGCCTTTGTTAGTAAATCAACCCACTCCAGGTAAAACCACAAGAACTGCTACTCGTATGTGTAACGTTCAGCGGATGTTTTCATGTGCATTCTGGTGTTTACACCTCTGATGCTGCGTTTAGTGCATGTCGCTCTCTTCAGATCTCAATGGTATGTTGGATGATCAGTGGAATTGCTGGTGAGAATTTCGCTGTTCTCACTTCCGGCTTTCCAGGGCCCAACTTCAGCGGCATTAAAAGTTTGTGTGGCCTCACAATACTCCGCAAGTCTGATCTGCCACTGAACCTTCTTTTTTCTTTGTTGTACCAAACAACGTGTTCATTTTTAAAATCATATTTTCAGACAAAACAAAAACAAATATATGCTCACATTTACATTTTTTTCAGAATGTCCCCTTTAATACTTTGGTGTTTTATTAAGAGTGTTAAAGGGTATGTAGTTTTTAAGAGCAGCTTCACCTGTGTGTTAAGAAAGTAACCAAAGTGACTATTGGGAACAAAGAGACCTCACCTTCTCATGATATTTTCCTCTTTGATTTGAGCAATATATTTCCCACGAGTTTTACTACAACTTTTGGTAAATGGTTTTTGCCACACTTCTTTGTAAGATATTCACAGAACACACAAAGTAAACATCACAGGCACTATATGCAGGAGATGCACAATGTTTCTATGAGATAGTTAAGCTATTTGGAAAGGCATATACACACGGTACCCAGATTATTTTCAGGCCAGTGGGGGAAACAATCACACCTTCACAGTTGATTCTGTTTGGCTTCGAGGGAATTTTGATGTTGAAAAAACAGATTTGGAGGTGGTGCACATTAAGACCACAAGTGAATCAATTTGATCGGATATCAGCCTCTGACTTCTTCCCTTATGTGCTTGAATGCCCCTCTTTGGTTTCTCCCCTCTCAGGAGCCATATGTGAGGGAATAGTTAGATATTGCATTTCCTCCTGCTCAGCACCGATTAGAAAACCAATACCACTGCTCACTCTTGCAAATTTTTTTTGCCACTTCCCTTCTGTTTGTCATCTCGCTTTCCATTCATTGATCTCTTTCTTTCCCTTTTCTCCCTGTCAGCTGTGATTCTCTCTTTGATACAGGCACCATTTTTTTTTTTGCTGGATCTCATCATTGGATGCTCTTTATTCCCTCCTCTGCATGCAGCTCTTAGCTGCTACAGCCAGTTTGCTGCTGGTGTTTGAGACATGCACACATGCGAACACAGAATCAGGCAGATGCCAAATCTCCAAACAGACAGCTCAGTTTCTCACACACACAAACTTGCTTTGAAGTTCCATACTGGAGGAAATGATGAGTTGCTGCCTCAGGTGAGTGCTGAAAAACAATTTGGCAATGTTTGCTTTCTCATTTTTCTAGCAGCCCGATCATGGAACTGGCCATGAAGTTTGCAGTTAAAGCTGTCGTTGGTGTCTGTGTGGTGTGGCCATTTATGATTGCTATCTAAGAAATTGATATTTCTGTTTGAGAGGAAACTACCAGCGGCTCATTTTCATGTTGAGCAATGTGTTTTTGCCTCAAGCTGGATGGTAAAGCTGTTTTTTGGACATGTTACTGATTTCATAGCTTTGGTGGCACCTTTTTCCCCACTTGAAAAATGTTTAAGATGTTCACTTAGCACAGGATCTGTTAACAATTGATAATCCTAATGAGCAGTCTGCGTATGCTGTCATTACCAGTCTCTTTTCCTTTTTGCCAAACAGGGTGTGTTGTGGAGTAATCTCTAAATAGCTTTCAAATTAAATCTGGCTCCTAGTGTTTCCAGCAGAATGTGGGGATATTTTTAATCAGCTGTGGGATGCTGTGCATCTTAGTTCCCCACAAGCTATGCCTCAGGGTGGACTGTTGATGTAAACGGTGTAGTTTTACTCCATTTTTGGGGCTGATTAGGTATCCCTGGGGCATACTTCAATGCTGCCTTTTTAGTTAAGCAGCATGGCTGTGGGGATGTTGTCTAATGGGCTGTTGAACACTTTGATCAAGGCTTAAATATATCATGGAAATGTGCAGAATGGATGGCTTTGAAAATTGTGCACAAAAGCTGTGGTTATTGTCCAATTTTTTTCTTTTGTGCCACCAGATGGGGAACCGTTTTTTTTTGTTTTTAAAAAAAATAAAATGCAATGCAATAATTAGACAGAATATTGTGATCCTTGTTTGGTGGTTTTAGGTGAAAACTCTTGAGGATTAGATGGGGCTTAAAGAAATCAGTACAGTCCTTTATGCTCAGAAATAGAAATAACAATTTAAGTAGCTGTGGTCATTGACTAATAGCTGCTCTTTTTCTACTGTGCTAATTATCCAGGGCGAGCATGCTAGGGAGATAAACAAGGATGAGGAACGTCATCATATCTTTCATTGAGGTTGTAATGTTTAGTTCAAAGTGCAGAGCTCTTAGCCTTGTTGAAGTCAAATCACAGAGTGGGAATTTATCTGATCAAATGTTATGGTAGCAAAACATCGACTTCAAGAAGCAGACACAGCACATCAGATTACTGGTGTGGTTTATTAAGAGCTTGGTACCACTGATACAGTCTAAGCTGTGGAGAATCAATGTCTCTGCTGGAAACGCTCCTTATCATTTTCTCTTTGCATCCTCTTATTATTTGTGGCTCACTCTGTCAGTTCCTCCATCTCAATCACTGTCACTTTCTGTGACAGGCCTTTGTACACGCTTGGCTAACAGTCGTGAAAAACCTTCATCTGTGTCAGTTCATTCTGATAGTTAGAGGTCGGGTATCAGGGGATGTGAGTTGTGCTTAACATCTTATGAGGATACTTCTTGTTCTTTGTGGCTGATAAGACATGACCAGCAGGGCCTCACTTTGTTCAGACTGCCTCTGTCCCCCCTCCTGCCGTTTTGCCTCACTGTCCCACAGGACGTGTGCTATTTTTAAGCAGCCTATTTCTTTGAATAAATTCTCTTTTAGGTTTCTGACGCACTTGCCGGTGTGAGTTTGTAAATGACTTTTAAGCCCAGAGGTCAGCATTAGTTTGGGATAAAATGGGCATTTAGCAGGTATTTAGAGAGAAATTGTGAACATCTGTTCTTTTTTTTCCTGTTTATGCTCCATCGTGCTGTGACTACTTAAAATAAGTTGCAGTGAACTGCAGGCTTATGATTTAACAATGTATGTGTGGGCATTCCGATGAAAAATGCAGCAAAGAGAACATAAAAGTCTTTGTAGCTCACTGTTGTGTTATTTAAGGATTTTGGGTAAAAAGCATCCGATAATGGGATCATACATGGTCAAATAAAAGGCATCAATACAGTGAGAAAATGTCACAGAAATGAAGTCCAATCCCATTTCCTCCCTTCTGTACCAACGCTAGCAGCTGTCCCTCCTTTCCTCTGAGATGAGGAGCCCCTTCTCTTCTGGGGGTCTACTTTTTAAATGACCCTCAGCACCCTGGTTGAAAGGCTGGATGATCACATCTCCTTCTCTTATCCCTGTAAGAAGGAGAGGTGAAAATATTGGGAAGGCGCCTCACTTTTCAGAGCTCCTGTATACTCCCGCGTGCATATCACTGTTTCCTGCTCATTGTGCTGACCTGCCTATGAAATTCCACAGGGGCTCTCCTCCTTTTTCCACTTCTCTCCTCACTCCCTCCACACTTACTCCTCTCATTCTTTCTCTTCTGTTCTGAGGAACTGGAAGATTTGTCACTCACTCTGCCTGCTGAATGATGGACAGCTCAGTGATCAGGATTAACTTTTAACTGTGAGCAAGAAGACCGCCCCGTGTTGACCCTGACCCCTGCACCTCCGTTAAAGGAGTAAAAGATGGGAACAAGTGAGAAGTGCTTCCCTAAACTTGAAGTTGGAGAACAGCTGTTGATGCTGCCTGAGGATGTTTTGGAGGTGTGGAGGGATGTAAAGCACAGCAGCTCTTATAGTTTGCTCCCTCCTTCTGTCTCATTTGTTCTCGGTCTTCATAAGGCTGCTCTCTGAGCCTGCAGCGCGCACTTTTCCAGGAGATCCAGGACACCTTTTTTTCTCCTCTCTTCACCTTTTTGTCTAGGAGAATTGTTTAAACTAGATGGAGACTCTCATTGAAAGAGGGGAGGCAACTGCGTTGCTTAACTGAGCTCAGTCACCTCCTCAAAGTTTCGAAGAGCCATGGGAAGGGATAGGAGCCTTTCCAGACATTTTCGGTATGATACTTTTCCCTTTTATCTGAGCATTGCTGAATGTACTTTGTATTGTTTAGTCTGGGCATTGTGTGAGGTAGTGAGATAGCCGTTTTGTGCAACTATGGACATAATGATTTGTTTAGATGAGGATTATACAAATTACTATTTAGATATAATTAAACTTGATTAACTTGTTTAGGTCTCTCAAAAAAAGAAAAGCCACAGCTATTATTTTGTATAAATCGTTTGCTGTGATTGAATTCCATGCTTTGATTGCCTTCATCCTTTCCTCAAGCTTTACTCTGTCTTTGCAAATTCATGCTTGGCCCAGCTGATCAGAAATGGGTCTGATAATAATGGTTTTTGCAGTGAGTTTCCCAGCTGATTGGAGGTGTCATTCATCCCTCTGTGCATTGTGTCCTTGATCCACCCCTCCTACAGACCCAACTATAAATGCCTCTTGGCCTCCTTATAATTTAGGGCATCGCAAGTCCTACATTAACTGCAGGAAGGATTTTCAAGTTTCTGTTCTCATATTTTAACACAGAAAGTTTTTTGCATTGATGTCACAGGAGTTGATGACAGGAGTAGATATCCAAGAGAAGGAAACCTAGCCAGTGACTGTGACACGTATGGGGAATGACCCCATTCTGTCCTCCCCCCCTCTATCTGCCATTTGTCCGAACAGCCGTAGTGATGAATGTTTTCAGGAAAGTTACGTGGCCTATATAAACTCCAAGCAACGACACAGCTTCATTCCCAGTAGCTGCATGAACCTGGCCTAGAAAGAGCTCCAATTCTCTGCTTTCTCTCCTTTCCACCCTCATTACTCCAATTTTACTGTTAGTGTCCCCATATCTGTTTGTGCCACTTTTGTTTTTGTTTTCATGCCGTCATGGCGTTAGATCCTTACACATATGTGTTTTCGCTTGCTTCTGGCTTCCTCTGTTTGACTCAGTCTGACTTTGTATTGGTTGAGACTATTTATTTTGCCATACAAAACTGGCTCAGTTGATAACAGAGCGGAGCAGCATGGTGTCACAGACAAGCAGCTTTCAGGCCTCCGGGAAGTGTGGACCGTTTGCTGCATGGCTTCACCCAGCACTTGATCACTGTCATCTACATATAGCCTTCCTCTCGTGGTTTCTTAATTTACATACACGTTTGTGCCAGTTTGCAAGACACACCTATCAGTGAGGTGGCAGAAAGTGATTCAGCAGTTATTTCCAGGCTTCCTTTTTGTGATTGTGATGATTTGTTTCCCTTCACATGACAAAACAAAACAGGTGAAATCGTGGAAGGAGATAGCTGTCATGGCTGTTTATGTGTAAGTGTAAATGTTTACTTCTGATTGGAGCTACGACAGACACCAAAAGATGTGTGAATTTACAGCTCACTACAGGTCTGGATGACTTGCAGAGTTGATTTTGTATTTTGTGTCCAATTTAAGGGCTGTTTTTGTTTAAAGTCAGCTTGTTTGAAGTATGTGCAAAGTAGTTGGTGGCTTTTACTCCAATAGAGAAGGAAGAATATTTAATTTAAACAAGGAGTTATAACAATGGGCTTAAACTAAGAAATATTCCGAACTACATACAGAAGATTTAAACACTGCATCACTTTTCTATCTCTTCTTTTCTCTGAATTTGGTCAGTTGTTACTAGTTGTGACTTGTGTTTTTTTAAATTTATAAATACCAACTACAAGAGAGTATGATAGACAATAAACGGGGGGAAACTTTGTAAATGTGCAAAACACACAAAAACGTGCATTTAAGAAAATCTTTGCATATGAGATGTCAGACAGTGAGCAATCCAACAAGTCTAACGTAAACATCTGTGGTTGAGAAAATGGTGACATAGCAACCAACTGCCAGATGATGTAAAAATCAATATGTATAGCATTTCCTCAAATAGCTTCTGCTGCCCCGTTGTGAGTGGCTCTTAGCTTTACTTCCCCTTCATAATTCCTCTCTTGCTCAGCAAACTGAGAGTGAGCTGATGGTTGTCTGCTGCAGGTAACTAACTCCCATAAGAACTTCACACAAACCCACTTCCAAAAAAGAAGATTACACACACTTTGAATTTTTATTTGAATCAACATATGTGTGGCATTAAATCAAATTGATGGTGCAATGAGAAATGAATGATGCAGTGAGTCAGATGAGACCAAAATGGTTCGACACGTCCAATTCATAACTGGTAAATATAGTATGCTACAAATTAAAGATAGTTTAAACAATGGAAAGGAAACCACTATCTTCTTCTTGTCTAATAATTTCATCAGGAACTTTCATACATCAAGAATTATTTTAGGCATGCAAATGCAGGGCTTATAGGGTCTATTTAGCATCTTTGTAACAACGTATATTTGCTTATTTAACCAATAAAAACCCATAGTTATGCAAGTGTAACAAACAATTAGAAATAAAATACATTTATAAAAAATGGCCAAAGTAACCTGTGCAATGATACAGATCTTTGACATTTGGTCGTGGTACTTCTTCTTTTTGTTGTTTTTTTGTTCAGAAACGTCCAGAGGAAACAAAAATGTCTTTGCTTCCATTAATTTTAACGGGACGAAGGAGCCTCAGATTGTGTGCCACCCTTTTAAATCTAGTTCTTGCTTAGCATTGCTCATAGTGTTTCCAAATGGACATGCAAAGTCACTGTGTCTGCCCTTAGTCAAACAGCTCTGCTGTCTCATTCTCAACAGTGCAATTTGAATAAAGATTTGCATAGCTTGTTTAAAGGTATTCTGTACAACCAAAGCATGGTTTTCTTCTCTGCACAAGGACCCAAGAGACAGGAAGACAGAGAGATGATGTTGTACTGTGGATCAAAGCAGCACCATATTCTAGGCAGGATGAGGAAATAGATGTGTAATAGATAAGGCATCACAAATTGACTTTAAATGTGCCCTATATTAAAAAAAAACTCACCCATGAGCCCTTAAAACTGTCACTGACAACCCTTTCTCCATTTGTGGATAATCTCTACTTCTTTTATGTATGTATTTCTTCCTCTTACAAGAGATTGCCAAATGTAAACCACAAACAGTACGCAGCAGAGCTTTGAGGGGCTTTCATGGGAATAGACATTTCAAGCAGTCTTAAGACTTTTGTGGTAGATATTGTGTGTGCGTGTTCGTCACATGTCATGCTTCTGATGACAGTAAAGATTTCAAGAATCGGGTCTCAGAGGTTAGGTTTCTGAAGTGAAAGCCATATTTGATCAGTTTGATGGAGATTTTGAACATTTTGTCCCGTTTGAAACACACAAAATATCCCAATTCAGAATGCACTTTATTAGTATCAGATTGCAGGGTTTTTGCTTCAAGAGGAAGAAAACATGGTGAATGATGGGAGGGGGGAAAGCACTAATGGGGGACTGGAGTGCTTTATCCCAGCGGTCTTTTTGGCACCGAGCTACCTCCTTTTTGTTTTTTAGCTCTGAGATGTCGCTGATACTGAGCACTACAGTTACTGCTGATAGAGCACCTCCAGCAGCAAATGTGATCACACAACTAAGCTCGTCTCTTATCTCTGTCATTAAAAACACACACGAATGTTGGATCCAGCTCTCCTACCTGCTTGCACCCTCCCGTGTGATGGTATGGACTGAACTATTTTTGAACCAATTATGTGGCTCTTGTAGCTTGAGCAATAAATCATCAGAGCAAAAATCCCTCTGTTCTGATCAAGGAGGCCAGATGTTTGGATTATGAGGGGTGATTTGGCTACAAGGCTGCCTTGCTGTGATTTTGCTTCATCAAGAAAAAACATTCATTTTATGTCCTGCACAGCTTTCACTGTCATTCTGATTCCACAATATTTGCCAGAATCTTCATTCCAAAGAAGCACCGGGAACGCTTTGATGAGGTGGTTTCTCAGAGCTTGATGAGTCGGCTGAAGGGGCGGAGCTTCAGTGACCCTAGCCGTAGCCATCTTCGCCGCAGCCGGAGCGAAGATCACCCCGAGCGCCTCCTTGTTTCCACCCGGGCCAGCTCGGTGCCGCGTACTCACGCAGAGGAAGGCGGTGTCCCTCCTACCAGAGGCATGCGAAAGACCACCTCACTCATCGCTGGCCACTCCGGGGCCAGCACCACCAACTGCAGGTCTGTACTAAGTGACACTCATCAGTGATTTCACTTTGTATTTTTTATTTCATCAAGGTCACATTGATATATCTGCAAAAGATCAGTGGTGTCACAAGCTTTTTTTCAAGTCATCATTTATATGTTGGTATGGTGGCCTTCATTTGGCAAAAGTCACATGCAGTATTTCCAATCAGCTTGTTCTTTTTTAAGTTGGAAAACACAGAAGCATATTCTTTTGAACATGAGGATCTGTTAAGTTGCCTTGTTTGGATTCAGCTATAACTATTATGCATGTCTGGGATAAACCACAGTAGATTAACTGAATCACTCTTAATTACTATTCATTTATGGTGTCTTAACTTGTACATTATTTTGGTTATCTCCCTGCTCAGGAAGTAATCAAAGCTAAAATCTACCTCTTTAGGACAGTACGAGTGTGCAAGGGCAACATGAGTTTTGGCTTCACTTTGCGAGGCCACGCTCCAGTGTGGATTGACTCTGTGATCCCTGGTAAGACGGGAAGGCTTATTCCCATAACTGTTCATTTATTGTGATGCAATAACGGTTAACAATGCCAACAATAATCTTTTAAAGAGCTCCAAATTTGCTCTTGTTCTCCAAAAGCTATCTTGAAGATAACCTCCTCTAACCTATTTTCTGGTCTGCAGGAAGTCCTGCAGACAAGGCGGGTTTAAAACCGGGGGACAGGATTCTTTTTCTCAATGGACTGGATATGAGGTTGACCTCTCACTCACACTGACATTTGAATAAACAGAAACTAGATCAAACCTAGAATAGCCTTCCTGCAACATAAATGTTATTTGGGTGATGTCGATTAAAGTGTTCTGTAGAACTTCATCAGTCATTGGATATAGCTGTAATCTAACTTCAGACCAACCATTTGATTCTAAAAATAAATTCAAAGACATATTAGAAAGAACCTCAAAGACAGTGTTTACACACAATTTCTAATTAGCAGAGTTAGTGATTTCATGTTTTTTACTTTAGGCACATAAAAAGCCTAAATGAATAAATGCTTAAAGACAGAAATGTTTTTTTTCCTTTTTATTCAGAAAAAAGAAAATATAATTTATCAGAAAACAAGTTTAAGTTAATGCAGATGTGCCTGCATACATCCTTTTGTATACCATGTGTCTTTACGTAGGACGTCCTCTCATGAGAAGGTGGTGTCCATGCTGCAAGGAAGTGGTGCCATGCCCACCCTGGTAGTGGAGGATGGTTCAGCTACCTTTACCATAGCTGAGCAGGACCTCCCAGGAGGCAGCGTTGCCACAGAACGTTCCCGCTCTCCAGTGCTCAGTTCGCTGCAGTGGGTGGCAGAAATCCTGCCTCCCAGTATCAGGGTTCAGGGCCGCACTTTTGGGCAACAACTGGAGCACCTGCTGACACTCCAGGAGAGATACACTATCTGCAAGGCTTTGGAGAACTTCTTCCAGCACAGGTGAGCTGTGGTCCACAGAGGGTGGACACCATTGATGGATTATGAGCATTAGAAATGATTGTCATGGAAGAATTTTCTGTTCAATGCAGTTTGATTCTTTTAGGAACTGGCAGTGGATTATTAGACTCTCTATGGTGCACCTGTCAAACACATCAGCTGCAGAAACAACATCAGAAAAACAAAAATACAGAAACACCACATTTCATCAAATCCAAAAACACTTTTCAGATAATCCCACATCTATAGATTTAATGTTAGGTGCTCTTATAAGATTTTATGTTTTATTAATTTTTTTTCGGTTTTGTAGTTCATTTAATAAAAAGCCACGTCTCATTATAAATTTTTGTTTCCTCCTAAATTTGGTGTGTTACATACCTTTAGGCTTCTGTACATGAGTAATGAGTGTCCACTAGGTTGGCAAAGCACATATTAACACGTCATTAGCAATCACTATTCACTGAATAATGAGAACTCTGGCTTTATTTTTTCATTGTTGCTTGACAGAAGCAGCTAATAGGATGCAAGAAAATATGCAATTATAATGTTTACAGCATTGACTCAGTCTAGCTTCCAGTAAAAAAAAGTCAGTTTTTATGTTACAGTTCTTTTGTATTCATATCTGATCACATGTGTTTATATGGTTGGTTACAAACGTAAGCTAAACTTTTCTTGAGAGCATTCATTCACTTGACCTCTGTGAATCCTAAATGATCTGAGCCACCTTGCCTGTGTTCCCATGGCCACAGGAATGTAGACACACTGATCGTGGACGTGTTTCCGGTGCTGGATACTCCCGCCAAACAGGTGATATGGCAGTTTGTTTACCAGCTGCTAACGTATGAAGAACAAGAGCACTGTCAGAGCAAAATCTCACGCTTTCTTGGATACAAAGCACCAGGTTTGTGGACACTTCTTTCCTTCAATATTCTTTGACATTGACATGTACAAGTGGTGCGTGCACAGTTTTCTTGGTCATCGAGGAAGAATTGACTAAAATCTGTGCTTCACTGACTGTCTACAGGAGCTTTTTTGGCCCTCATAATCTTTCTCTTCTTCACCTGCAATGCAAATACATGTTTGTGTTTCAGTTCCACCACCGCCACCACCTGCTCCCCCGCCTTCGGAGCCTGATTCTGCCCCAGAGCCACATCGTCGTAGCAGCTCCATGAGGGTAACCGGTACCACATACAGAAGCAGCGTGAGGGGCCGTAGCTCTGATGACCTGGTAATAGGTACACACTTGGGAATGGGTAAGGCAATTTTCTACCTTTAACATCATCAACAACAGCATTATTATGACCTCAACTGCTCCCCCCAATGCTAATCACAGTCTTTATCTTTGGATCCATACAAACTCAAATTACTCAAATTTTCACTGAAATCTTCTGCTAAATGAGTATATGAGTACATCAAATGAGTTTAGCCTCAAATCCCAACTCCGCTGCCGGGTTTGTTTTTAAGTCATTGTAATGTCTGTATCCCCATAGGCCTCCGTACCGAGCACACACTAGAGACGGGGATGAGGTTGGCTCCAGGAGAGAGACAGTCGGGAGATGGAACTTCTTTGCCTGAGACTCCCAATAATCTCACCAATGTATGTAACAGGACCTGAATTAATGGGAAAGAATAAATATCAGAGCAGAGTGCCATGTCACTGTCAGAGTTTCGACTCTTCTCTGTTTTTTGGTTTTTTTTATACCACACAAGCTGTCAGCAGTGTATGCTGAACTGGAGAATATGTACTCAGCCAAGAGGTCCAAGTCTCTGAAGAGTCGCCCTCCTCCTGCCCCTGAGAGTTTTCTGGATTTGGAACCTCCTTCACGCACAGCATCTCCAACAGTCCATGGTAACACAGGTAGCTGTATACAATACAAGCTTAACATCCTTTACTGTTTGTAACCTAAGTCTGTTATTGTTGAGCACTCCGATGTTTGTTCTGTGAATTCATAAGCATATTGTTTTCAGTATCAAAACATATCTTTCAATATGCAGGAGGTTTAAATAGAGTTGAGATTTACTGTAGCTCTCAGTGTGTAGCTATGTATGTCTATCCTCTATATCAGGTAACCGTAAAGGACCCTCACCCCAACAACCCTGGCCAGATCCTCTGCCCAGTCCACCTTCAGCCCAGTTCTACTCTTCTGGGTTAACAACGCAGACCAGTGGGGAGTCTAACCCGTACATCAGCCTCGACAGCCCCCCTCCCTCACCTCCTGAACCAGACTTCCCTTCAAGCCCACCTGTCCATCGCAGCAAGCGACGTTACACCTTCTCCAAACCGCCTCGTTCAGAAGACACAGATCGTTTTCTGGATGCACTGAGTGAGCAACTGGGACAGAGGGTGGCCATCGTCGATGAGTTTTTGACCCCAGAAAATGACTATGAAGAGGTAAAGTCAAATATCATTTTAAATGTACATTTATAAACATACTTAACTGTAAAATGTCTGTCTACTAAAATTAAGGATTTCAAGAGATCAAAAGCAATTTTCTAAGGAATTATTATTAAAAATGTCGAATGAACGATGAAGCTGCAGGTTTGTTCTCAAGGCTGCAACACTAAACTTTCTTGAACATCAAGAAATGGAAATAGTGGAAATAAGTCAGTAGGCATCTATAGAGAATACCATCTCAGTCTAAAAGTGCTTCATATTTGACTGTTGAAAAGGTTGGTTGACAGAGATTGCTTTTGGTTCTGTATACTTTAAGTTAAAGTTTGGAGTAAGAAAAATGGATAGAAGATTACCCTTTTACCATATTTTTTTTATATGTAGTTTCTCCTGTAGTACCTTAAGATTTCCTAACAGTCTGACAATAAAGATCTAATGACGTGTGATTGGTGTTAATGCCAGGATGTTGTGCAGATGGGCTTCCCAGATGAAGACGATGAGGATAACGAAGATGATTTGGGGGTTGATGAAGATGAGAATGGAGGATTTGTGGCTCCAGAGCTCAGCAGCCCAAGTGATGTCCAAAGTAGCAGTGGAGAAGAGAATGCCTCTTCCCTCACCTATTCCTCCTCCTCTGATCACATCCCTCCTCCCCCCATGACCCCTCCTCCACCCCCACCTGTTCAGTTTAATGACCCTCCTCCTCCCCCTCCACCCCCTGCCCAGCCTCAGCCTCAGAAACAGCAGCAATCACTGGCCTATACCCCTGAGCACTCACCAAGAGCATATGTTCCCATCCGCCGGAAGTCTGGCCCTCCTCCTCCCCCTCCTCCTCGCAGTAATCCACCAGCTAAGCGCCACTCATTACACAAAGTCCTACCTTCAAGAGAGGATCTTCAAGTCCATGCTACTATACAAGAGCTAAAGGCGTACCAAGAGCAAGCCTATAAGGAAAGACAGGTTTACGATGACCAGCAGGTGTATAAGGAGAGGCAGGCATATGAAGAGCAAAAAGCCTTTGAGGAACAACAACTTTTACAAGAACAGCAGGCCTATCAGGAGAAAATGTTCAAAGAGAGACAGGCTTATGAGGAACAAAAAGCATATGAAGAGCAGAAAGCTTTTGAAGAACAACAAATGTACCAGGAGCAGCAAGCTTACCAAGAGAGGCAAGCGTACGAACAGGCCTACCAGGAGCAAAAAGCGTACGAGCAGCGGCAAGCCTACAAGGAGCAAAAAGCATTTGAAGAGCTTCAAGCCTACCAGGAGCAAAAAGCTTATGAGGAGCGCAAAGCTTATGAGGAGCAGAAAGCCTACGAGGAGCGCCAAGCTTATGAGGAGCAACAAGCCTATGAAGAACAGCAGATGCAGCAGATCTACCAAAGCCATCAGTCAATGCCCGCCCAGCCAACCCAGCAGAAAGCCCATTCACCTCTGCCTCTCCAGCAACTGCACCAATCCTTACCGCCTCTCCCCTCCCCTGACCCCACCCATCCCCATGCTAACCACCCTCTATATATGATACACCAAGCACAGCAGCAACAGGCCCACCAGAGTCATCATCACCGAAGGTTGTCTCGTTCAGCCCCACCCCCACATCAGCCCTCACCCCAACCAACAGTCCACCCAAGCCAGCAGGGTCAATACGTTGAAGGCATCTACCAAAGTAGCAAAGGCGGTAGACCCCAGCCCCACCATTCTTCTACAGAGATGCTCCACCAGATGCATCCAGCCCCTGCCCATCATTCCTCAGCTGAGATGCTCCACCAGCTGCAGCAGTCCCAGGCCCACCACTCTTCCACTGAGATGCTGCAGCAGATGCAGCAGGCCCACGCCCACTACTCATCGTCAGAAATGCTCCACCAAGTGCACAAATCCAAGGCCCACCATTCCTCAACAGAGCTTCTCCATCAGTCTCAACAGATGCAGCCTCACCACTCCTCGACCGAACTTCTCCATCAAGCTCACCAGATGCATCGGGGACAGCCTCACCACTCATCAACTGAGCTCCTCCATCAAATGCACCCCCCCAAGCCTCATCACTCATCCCAGGAGCTTCTCAATCAAGCCCATCAGATGCATCAATCCAAGCCCCATCACTCCTCCACAGAGATTCTGCATCAAGTCCAACAAGAGCCTGCCTCCCTCCCGCTTCAGCTAAGCCGGGACAGCCACCCCCACCAGAGCCGGAGAAGTGTTAAAGGTCACCATCAAGGCGAGGTGACACAGCAGGGGAGGCACCAAGAGCAGCAAATGCATCAAACCCATCATCCCCAGCCCACCAAACCTTCTCCTCAGAGACCACACTCTATACAGCAGACCCACCACCATTCCAGCACGCCTCAGATCCACCATATCCACCACATGACCCCACAGCCCCCTCCTCAGGATTACCAGCACCAGATCCAAGTCATCCATCCTCCTCAGCAGCCCCACAGGCCTCAGCCACTTCTTTCCACTTTTCAGCCCCTTCAACCACACCAGCCCACCATGTCCTCCTTCCAGCCTCTTCCACAACACCCCCAACCGCAGCACCAGGTCCAGTCCTCCACCCAGACGGCCCGTCCACACTCACAGCCGTCACACCACCTCCTGCAGTCCCAAAGCCAGCCACTCTCCCAGGCCCACCACAAGCAATCTCAAAACCATGGCCAGCCCCAGTCCCTCCCCCACTCTCTTTCTGATCCTACAGAACATCTGGAGCCCCCTCCGCCTCCACCTCTCCCACCCCCCTGCTCCCCTCCACCACTGCCAAGGCCCAATCTGTCCAGGATGGACTCCAATCACATGAGCGTGAAGCGACTGCGCTGGGAGCAGGTGGAAAACTCAGAGGGAACTATATGGGGACAGGTGAGGTTGTCCGGAATTCAGACATGTGGGACTAAGGCTTCCAGAGGCACAATAGATTTTAAATAAACATTATCTAAGGCCATGAAAATGAAACTTTTTTTTATTTTTTATTTTTAAATTTTGCATGTCTTTTTGTAGCTGGGTGCAAATTCTGACTATGACAAACTGCATGACATGGTGAAGTATTTGGATCTTGAGCTTCACTTCGGGACACAGAAGAGCTCCAGTGAGTACATATAACTGTATGAATATCTGCAGTGCTTTCAATGTTTACATCACACTTTGGGTTAATCCAAGTCACATTTTCCAAGCAAATTATTTGATGCTGCAAGGATGCGACGCAAATGGCTTTTTGTTGAAAAATTAGGTAAATCTCAGATTTTTGTGAAGCATATCTATAGAAATATTTAGGGAACTGGGGAAAGGACATGTCATCAGATCTAAAAACCTATCTACAGTGGATGAACACTATCTAAAAGGGATTCCCTTGAAAAGAGAAGCAGATCCTGTAAACACCTGACACTGGACCTAGGAGATACATTTGAGCAATCAGTTGATCCTTCTACTGTTCACTGAAGCCTGATCAGAAGTCATCTGGGTTGCTGCCAGTAAGGCATTCATAAGGAAGGCAATCATGGGAAAATAGTGGATGTATGTCAAATGACAGAAGAAGTGGACTGAAATTTTTTGATAATTGGTTTTATGGAGGCTTGATTCATCCCTAGAGCCCTGGACCTCCTAATTATTGAAGCAGTGTGACATCGTCTTGACAGAAAACTGAACAAAAGGCATTCATAGTAGAGCTTTGAGATGTAGAACTATTGCTGAAAACTATTTAAGCATTTTACAAGAACATCTGTCAAATAGGGGGTTCAGGCTGTATTGAACAACAAAATGTTTGCTTTTAGATTTGTTTGAATTGTACAGACTAAATTGTTCTGATATTCTGTATTTATGTTTATTTATTTAAATAAATTGCTACACCTATTTCCCGTTTTTCTTGGGCTACTAAAAGAAATGGGAAGCAGCTCGAGTCTTGTACACATCTCTGTAAATATGTATCTGTGTATGTTTGTCCATGTCCTTGCACATGTCCCAAAAAAATAGCATTTAACCAAGGCTGATCCCATTTTTAGTGCCTGCTCCAGAGCCATATCCCCAGGTAGAAACCTTTAAGAAGAAAGGCGTTGTAGAAATATTGTCCCATAAGAAGGCTTACAATGCCTGTGAGTATGGATATTTCATAATACTGCCCTTCACATACTTCTTTATTTAAAACCTTTTATTGCCTTTTAGAATACCATGATGAATGTAATAGCCATTCTTATTAGTAATAACCATGGGCATTTTGATATACAATAACTAGCTTTTTTGTTTGTTTGTTTTAGCCATCCTGATAGCCCACCTGAAGCTGTCTTCTGCCGAGCTGCGTCAGATACTGATGAACATGGCTACAGATAGACTAGAGTCATCTCACATCAAGCAGCTTCTGCTGTATGCCCCTGATGCAGAGGAGGTGAAAAAGTATGAAGAATACAGACAAGACCCTAGTAAACTTAGTGAGCCAGACCAATTTGTGTTGCAGGTACAGTGGTCACATTTTAGAGGAGATGAGTTTTTGATAATTTGTAGATACACATAAGTAACCATAATTCTCTGTCATTGTACTTGTGAATCAGATGTTAGCCATACCCGAGTATAAGACCCGTCTGCAGAGCCTCCTCTTCAAGTGTTCTCTTCAGGAGAAGACAGAGGAACTGAGGGGAGCCTATGATTGTATCTACAAGGCCTCAGTGGAACTAAAGTCCAGCAAGAAGCTTGCTAAGATACTGGAGGTAACCCACTGTCTATGTTGTTCTCTGTTGTATGGTCTGTTCTGTAAATGGGAATAAGACAAAGCATCATACTAAACCTTATCTATCTATGTTTTTTCTTTTTTATACAGTTTGTTTTGGCAATGGGAAACTATCTGAATAACAGCCAGCCTAAAACCAACAAGACCACAGGCTTTAAGATCAACTTCCTTACAGAGGTACAGTACTCTACACACCCCAAAGAATTCGACCTAGCACTTATAGGACCAAATATTTTTATGTTTTCATTCATTAACTAACATGTATCCTGTTCAGCTAAGCACAACAAAAACAGTTGATGGGAAGTCTACATTTCTGCATATTCTGGTCAAATCGTTGTGTCAGCACTTTCCCGATGTGTTGGATTTTTCCAAAGATCTTACCATGGTTCCTCTCGCAGCAAAGGGTATCTATATTTATTTTGCACTCTGCCGTAGTTTAAGCTTTGGTAGCTACATTCATGGTTGTGATTTCATATTTTTATTTCACCCTTTGTTTTCTGTCTCATATGAACTCTGACACGCCTATAGTGAATCAGAGGACGATCACATCAGATCTAAATGACCTTCATACAACCATCCAGGACATCCGCACAGCCTGTCAGAAGATGCCGGCGACTGCTGAGGACCGCTTTGCTGTGGTCATGAGTGTATCCTGAAGGAAAATATATATATATATAGTTTTTGAGCACAAAGGTATGTACTGGACCAGATTAGAAAATTCTGTCCCTTGACTTGAACATGTTCAGAACTTCCTGGAGAACAGCCATCCAGCAATCCAGTCTCTAGAATCTCTCCAACAGAGAGCGATGGAAGAATTTAGCAAAACGGCCTTGTTCTTCGGTGAGGACAGCAAAAGCGCCAACACTGAGGCTTTCTTTGGTATCTTTGCTGAGTTCATCAACAAATTTGAGGTGAGAGCTTTATTTATTCTAATGACCCCTGTACATTAGTGCAGTTAAAGCTACTCCTCAAAAAACGTTTTTTTTCCTTTCCCTCCAGCACTTGTGCATTAATTAATGGTTAGAGCTTCACAGCTACAATGTGTTAAAGTGTGATGGCCGTTAGTTCATACATTTCCTCTCCTGCCAGAGCCCCATGCAATATATTTAGAAATAAGAACACCTTGTTGAAAGACACAAAAAATAAAGAAATCCCCATGCCAAATAGTTTAGACTTACTTTATCGTCTTACTTTGAAAACTGGATTCAGTTATTTTTCAAGGGTTTGTTGCTTTCATTCCTTATGGTTGAATTGTTTTTAGATATGTTTGTACATTATCTATATAGAATCAATATCAAATTCTTACGTTCTCACCAAAACTGAAATTAAGAAGACATTTTATGCATGCAACAAAATAATATAATTGATAAGTCACAATAAGTATTTTTTGTACTACAGAGAGCTCTTGGTGATCAACAAGCTGCAGAAAACCCAAAGAGTCCTCGGAGTCCAAGACTGGCCTCCCCACTGGCCTGGTAACACACATTTGACTATGAGGACGACCACATACAGTCCAACATTTGATACAGTATTCACACAGTCACACACATTACATGCATGTGAAGCACAAACACATCCTCACATATTGTATGGCCAATACTGACAAAACATTTTTCAAATCTTTGCTTAAAGGAGAAGAGTGAAAACTTGAATGAAAGATGAGCATCTTTATACAAGCGTACTATTGTATGTATACTCCTATTCAACATAGAACATAACCATGTGTGGTTTTGAAGATATCTTTTATTTACATACTTGATTTACTTGATTACTTGTAGTAGTTTAAGATATATTTCTGTAAGCACCTGTGTAGTGCGGTATGACAATTATATAAGAAAATCTTTGTAGCATATCTGCAGCTAAGACTAAGAATTATAAATTTTATCCCAGAATAGATATAAAATAAAATGTGGTTGATTTACTAAATCTGTTAAATGAATTGTTTACATGTTCTCTAACTTTGTCAAGCACCCACCACATTGAATGTAACAGATTGTTAACTACCCCTCTTCCCTGAGTAAATACCCAATCAGATGTCCCGAACAGACTTTCATTTAGCGCATTGTACATATGCCTCTGTGCAAGCAGAATTTATAACATTTGTAACATTTCTTTCATTTATGGCTCTTGCCTCCCAAGTTGTACATATAAATGAAAAAATCGAATGTTCATTGTCCTTTAATTTATGTTTGGCTCTAGACATTAAGACACTACTAGCAGATGGCAGCAGTGTGATCGTGTGGATCTTACAGCGGGCACTGTGCAATATGTGAGCAAAAGCTGTGTTCCACTGTTAGAAATTAAACTTTTAAAATGGAACGGAAATGTATTGTGTGTAAAGTGTACATAATGTGAGAGAGTTTAAAGAATATATGCTTTACAAATTCTGAAAAACTATAATTGCTACATTGTCTTACCTGGTATTTCTTTTCTCCAACATAACATTAAACCACTGAGAGGACAGCAGTACCCTTAATATAATATATAATACCCTGTACAATTATACAGCTTCAGTGTTTTGTGAAAACAACAAAGCTTTAAGTGCTATTTCTAAGGCAAATAGTTTAAGATCAACATGCAATCAGTATAAGCTCTGTTTTCTAAAGGTGTAAGTTTTTTTTGCATTCTCGTTTCACAGAGTGGAAACTTTAAAGCATTACTGTCCATTTAAGGCTTACAATGTGTCAAGTCTGTATTTTGTATTGTAACTTAATTCTGATAAATATATACTTATCCGCTCTTGCTTGGTATGATTGTGTTTATTTAGGGTTTTATCAATTAATGTCGCATCAAATCTATGTCACTTATGTACACTTGTGTATTCCACATTTGTTATTATATAAATAACTTTTTGTACTTTTACAAGCGCTGTTGACACTCCTGCGAAGCCTTTATCTGCCCTAATGCTGGGAAATCTCAGATGAATTGTCTTTGTGAGATAAAACTGTGTACATGTTATTCTGCTCTGAACAGGAATACCCAGTCACACAGGAATTTCTCGTACTCTGCTTTAATTTGAGCTTATCTCTACTCAGGTCCCCAGTATCATTTGGATAAATTTGTACTTCATTCAGCAATCATTTAGCATTTTTACTGACAGTGGGAAAACATCTCCTCTTTAAAGGGTAATAAATCTCTCACACATTTTAACTAAACCATGTACAAACAGGGGGAGTGGAGTTTGATCTCTTGGTGTGGGGAAGAAGAGTGCAGATAGACTTTAGATTCCTAGGGCTTTACTCGGGTAATTTGTGATATGCTGTGTTGTTTATACCAGAGAAGTCAGCTCAAAGCAGCTCACCCGGAATGTTAAAGGGGATGACATCCTGCTGAAAGGTGAGTTTGTTTAACCTGATGACACAGCAAAACACATACAACAGGCTGAATACACACATACAACGGTGAAACTGTTACTGCTGATTTAGCCATTTCAGAAGTCTTCAGAAGTAAAGTTGTTTTATTATCATCTAGTTCTATTGGAAGTGTGACCCACAATGTACCTTCTGCATGCCATTGGTGATTAACTTAGTTAACTTGGTGTTCATTTAGTCTGAGACAAATTTAAACTTGAGATTTTTTTTCAAGAGGCACAAGTGCAAAGGCAGTGATTATCTGTGTCTTCACTGACCAGCTTGAATTGATCAAATCTGAAAAATCAAGAATTTGAATCAGTAACAGCCTTTAGAGTTTGAGCAGTCACTGTTACCACAATAGCTTTTGATTACAGTTTTGAATGATTTAGGAACAGACTTTTCTAATATTGTTTCCATTCTTGATTAAAAGCCTGTAATTCACATCATCACAGATTCTGGTTTAATAACACTTGAGATGATCTTTGTCATCTGAGTCTGACCTCTGTTTTACCTAATAACTGAAGTCTGACCACAGAAAACATATGCATGGACTTCATCTCGATCAGAAAGGAGCACAGATTTAGTTGCTTATTGTTTTTATAATATAATTTGAATCAAATTTCAGCAGCAGACGGTGCAGAATAAAAACTATCTTCCTTATTGTGGAAGTTTCCTTAAAAGGTTACTTCTGTATTTTAAAAATCTCCATCTTTCTTTGGGAGAGAGTTGCAACTTCTATAGACTGACTTTTAGCATCAAAGATCAGGTTGGCTAAAATGATTAAGAATCACATATGGGTAAATAAATAGTAATGGACTATAATAAAAATCATCCTTTCTTTAACAAAATAAATCCACATCCCTGCACAAGAGAGAGACTGTAAATTTCTTGGATTCCAGATGACCTTCAACTATGCAGATGGCCACAGAGGAACAGCTAGCCCCGGTGTTTCTACAACTCAGTGGCCCATTTCAGGGGGGAGTAACAACCTGGCTACCGTGGATATAGTTGTGCTCGTACTTTACTTTCTGTTGGTGCTGGCAGTTGGTTTCTGGGTAAGAGGAACAATGCTCTTGTTTTTAAATGTTTGACATTTTTTACATAACAATTAACGGCTTTTGTGTCTCAGTGTACTAAAAGGAAAGGGCTTATATTTCTAATTATGCAGCAATTATTTTAGTCTATGCTAAATGCTGCTTCTATCCAACTTTGACATGTGTCCTAACCTAATTATTTTATTAGACAACAAATCCACATTTAGTGGTCTACCTATCCACGGGTAACTTGTCTTATTGATTTTCCTAAAATGTATTTTCACTTCATGATATCTGATGTAGTGATGATGATGAAGTGCTGATGTTGTTTTATTAAAAAGAAGTCGAAAGCTGAGAGAAATAATCAACATTTGTGAAGAAATCCTACTGATAAATAAACCAATTTTGCAAATAATTTCCACTTATTTAAGTAAACAGAACATCTCTTTGCAAGTGTTGGAAATATATGATGTTTTTGGAGGCAAAGAAACACTTTGTAAGATAGGCATGCATGTTGTAAGCAGCCATGCAGCATTTGTAAAACAAACTCTGAAGACGTGGCGATAGATCAGCCAACCACCGCACAAACTCAGGTTAGAAACAGCAAACCTTTGGGCTTGAAAATGTTTTCTACTCTTCCATAACTCAGTTAGGGACTCTGTCAATAAGCAACCTCTTATGGAATATTGAACAGGAACAGAAAGTTAATTGAATTGACTTGAAAAGAGGTTTTAAAATGGCAAAAGAAAAATAGTTGAAGTGCATTTTTATGTTTTTTTATTTTTTTTTACCTAAAGAAAATACATTACCTATTTCGTATCAAAGGCCTTTGAGTCACTATAAAAGCTTTTTGTTTAAAGCAGGATTTACAGTCTGTACCCATCCTTTTTGCAGCACTTCTGAAGAAGCCTCTGTCTGAACATTGTTGTTTCATATGTACATTGTGCAGACTGTACACTGAGTTAATTGTGTTTAACAAAATCTACAGCATTGTTAAAATCTGATGTGAATGTGTGATAAATTGGGCTCTTTTATCTTTCAACTCTACCCACAATAGAGTTCCTAACATTTCTGATCATTTTAACAGTCTATGTGGAGGACAAAACGCAGCACCGTAGATGGATACTTTTTAGCTGGGAAAAGTATGACCTGGTGGCCAGTAAGTAAAACAACATCCAAACAAAAAAATTAAGAAACAAAGATTAATTTCCTGATTAGAGCAAGATCCAAGAGTTTCAATGATCAGCTTTTTTAGTTGTTTATTTGTTGTTCGTGTTTATTATAGCTTGATAATGGTGGAGGCAAAATAATTCTGTGGTTTTAAGGGGTATTCTAAGTTGATCCAGATTTGACTCTTATGTTTACATTTAGGTGGGGGCTTCACTGTTTGCCAGCAACATTGGTAGTGGACACTTCATTGGTCTGGCAGGTTCAGGAGCTGCTGCAGGGATTGGGGCAATTGCATATGAGTGGAATGTATGGATTTAAAAAATTGAATTACTCAGAAACATTTATATGAAAAAGTTGTAGGCAATACTGTCCAAAATGCTGTTTTTGTCGGAAAATAGGGGATTCTGATGGTGCTTCTGCTGGGATGGCTCTTCCTGCCCATTTATATTTCCTCTGGGGTGAGCTGTCTTCACATAATTGACACGCGAGATGCGGCTGTCTTTAAACACCACAAATACATTATTTCCTCTTTCATATATAGGTGACAACCATGCCTGAATACTTGCAGAGACGCTTTGGTGGAAGAAGAACGCAGTTATTCATAGCCGTCTTGTCCTTATTTATTTACATCTTCACAAAAATATCGGTTTGTCATAACACTCAAACAATTCTCTTATAATGCACGTTTCTGCATATTTGAATCCATTTCTACACATCATTGGTAAGACTGTATGATTCATTCCTCGGTTGTGTACTTCTGACCAGGTGGACATGTATGCAGGTGCACTGTTCATTCAGCTCGCCTTACAAATTAACATCTACCTGGCCATAGTGCTGCTCCTCTCAATCACTGCTCTCTACACTGTAGCAGGTGATTTCCACCCTCCCTGGCTGTTTTTAAAAGTTTGTTCCCGGCAATGGACACATTTAGACGTAGGTATGTGTATATTGTGTCCTAGGTGGTCTTGCTGCAGTCATCTATACTGATGCAGCTCAGACCGCTATCATGCTGGCAGGAGCTCTCACCCTCATGGGCTTCAGTAAGTCACATGGCACAGAACTTCTCTCCCTCCTATTTGAAGGGATTTTTCTTCCAGTCTACCATATTTTTTCTCACATCAAGGCTTTGCTGAAGTTGGAGGATGGAATGCTCTGATGGAGGGTTACGGCAATGCCATTCCCTCGATACGAGTTCCCAACTCGACCTGTGGCATACCTCGAGACGATGCCTTCCATATTTTCAGAGACCCGGTGAATTCTGACTTGCCTTGGCCCGGTGTTATTATTGGCATGTCAGTCCCCTCTATGTGGTACTGGTGCTCTGATCAGGTATGGCAGTGAATGAATTGTATCACAACTTTTAAATAAAAATCAAAAAGAGACACCCTCTTCCCCACATAATTAAAAAATAATCTTCTTTATCACCTTTAAATTTGGTAACCTACATGACTACATGACCATTCCGATTATTATTATGTCACTCCTCAGTAATTACATACCTCTGTAATGAACTATTAACTACAGTCCACTGAAGGTTTTCTGAGTCATTTATGGCTCTCTGCAGGTGATTGTGCAGCGCTCTCTGGCTGCCAAGAACCTGACCCATGCAAAAGGTGGCTCCCTGTTGGCTGCGTACCTTAAGATCCTACCTTTCTTTGCCATCATGCTTCCCGGCATGATCAGCCGGATTCTCTACACAGGTATATTTTTCAATGCGAAATTTAACGTGGAGCCAAAGTGCAAACACAGTGGCATGTCGGAAGACACAATATTAAACATCTAACTATTTCCCCCCAATATTCTGCTAAAGTTTTGTTCTGTTATAAAATTCTGTTCCGCCACATTGTGTGAACTTGACAACATATGACTGCCTTCAGGAAATATAGTCCCGTTTTTAGCTTTGACTCGAGAAAAAATAGGAAATTTAGATGACACACCAAGAGATGTTTCAGACATTTCTAATGTCCTTTAAATCTTAAATTATTGTGAACAGACGAAGTGGCGTGTGCAGACCCAGATTTGTGCAAAGAGATTTGTGGTAACTCGGTGGGTTGTTCAGACATTGCCTACGCCAAACTGGTCATGGAGTTGCTGCCTGTTGGTAAGACATTTTTTCTGTCCCACATTATCCTTCTCTGCAGACATAGTCTTTTTCATGCAAATCCGTGTGACATTCTTCCCAGGACTGCGGGGTCTAATGATGGCCGTGATGATTGCCGCTCTCATGTCATCCATGACGTCCATCTTCAATAGTGCCAGCACCATTTTTACCATGGACTTATGGAGGACTTTCAGAACCCGTTCCTCTGAATGGGAACTCATGATTGTGGGCAGGTATGTGCACACATGCCATGAGAGCCCAAAACCTGAGACTGACCACAGAATATAGGCCACATGTTAAAAACTAAATAGTGGGAAGGTTTTTGGACCTATAACAAGTATTACAGACGCAATTTTTCTTTGATTTTTTCCCCCAGGTCTCAGGTTATACAGTGACTAATATCTTATTCCCATTTGGACCGTTTACATTGCTAAAAAATAAACGTTGTGCATTACATTATAATTGCATGCTGTTTTTGTTTTTTTTCATGCTCATCCAAATTATATCCTTTTTCTCCAATTTTCCAAAGTAATGATTTCTCCAGATTTTGTCTGACCTCAAGAAGCCTGCCATAATGTAACCAAAAGTAAAACGCCATAAAGATTTTGATCAATATTCTGGGTTTGGCTCAGCATGGCCTGTCTTTGCAAAATGTAACTGCGTTTTGTAAAATCTAAAAGACTCACTGCTTCTCTGCAGAGTGTTTGTGCTGGTGTTGGTGGTTGTGTCGGTGCTGTGGATTCCAGTCGTCCAGGCCAGTCAGGGTGGCCAGCTCTTCATCTACATCCAGTCCATCAGCACCTACCTGCAGCCACCTGTGTCCATTATCTTCCTCATGGGATGCTTCTGGAAGAGGGCCAATGAGAAGGTAAGGCAGCTCAAGGAGAGTGTGCTTTTGGGGACATGATGTAATGTGGGGTTGTCTGTTCCGCAGGGTGCATTCTGGGGGCTCGCTATTGGCCTCACAATAGGTTGCATACGCATGTTGCTGGACTTCATTTACCCTGCTCCCCTGTGCTATGAAGAGGATGATAGACCTGCAGTCCTGAAATATGTACATTACCTGTACTTCTCCATGTTGCTGTCTTTCATCACCCTTATTGTGGTGGTTGTAGTCAGCCTGGCAACCGAGGAGCCTGCTCCAGAGCAGGTGAAGCCACTCACTGAATCAAAATATTGGTTCACTTACTTTACACAAAGCTCAAAACTGAAGTTCTGTTTGTGGTCTCAGTTGACACCTAGGTGCACCACTAGGTGTCAATGACAGATAACACATTTTTGTCGTTTTCCATGTTGTTGCTTTTTGAGCAGATAAGCCGTCTTACGTGGTTTACACGGTTTGACCCGGTGAACCTTAAACCGGAGCAAAGAAGCACAAACCTGGAAGTGATTACAACTCAAAGGAGTGAGACGAGCAACAACGGACAAGCATGTCATCAAAGTAGTGGTGGGAATTTTGCCCTGCGTCTCGTGAAATGTTCCCATTTGTTAGGCTGACTTGATAGCACAAATATGATCTATTTAAACATAAAAGTGTTTTCTCTTTACCCTTAAACTCTCTAGACTCTTTATCCAGCACTCACAGTCATTCCAGATGTGTTACTGTCCTCTACTGGCTCTGTGGAATGGAAAGACGGAGGGAGGACGCCAGCGAGCCTGAGCCTGCTCCTGTACCTGAGCAGGCAATCTGTTCTTTGGAAGAAAAGACGAGTCTACGACGAGTGGTGGACGTTAATCTCATCATTTGTCTCTCAGCGACTGCCTTCATCATTGGTTACTGGGCTTGACAGGCAGGTGGCAGCATCCCTAATGTGGGTTGTGAATAATACTGTACAATGATTTGAAAGTGTCCTACAACTTATTATATATATATATATATATATATATATATATATAACAATTGTTTGTAAAAGTTTATGTTTTACTTGTCAAATTAATTCTATGAAAGATCCATGTTTTTTCTTCAGTTCTTTATTATATTTTTGGCACATTAGCGTCATTAAAAATTATGATAGAGACTTTGATGATTTTATGTTGGTTTTTTTGTTCACAATTTCAAAATGACAATGGTCAAATTAGGATGATTGCTTTGAACAGCTTTGTCAGACTTATGAAATTTTTATAGCATTTTAACAAAATCACAAATGACTCAAAATGAAAACATGTAACGCTGTTAAACAATCTTTAATTCTTAGGAGTAATGATGCACTATGTGATGCATTTTTTTTGCAGTAAAGCTACCATAAAAATGCAGAGAATAAAAGAAAAGAAAAACTTTTGGAAAAGAAATTATTCACAAAGATGATTTGAATAATGTTGTTGTATTTGGTCAATTTTAAGTTTGAGGGGGACTGATCAAGTAAAAGAAAGTTCAGCAGATTTGTAGGAAAATTACACCTTTTGTATGTCAAAACCCAAGTCTTTCAGTATCAGGTACTTTTCAGTTTGTGGATCATTTAAGAGGAAAACAAACAAAATCCAGATGAGAAATGCCGTTATATTCACAGCCTTGTGGAATACCAAAAAAACATTTTAATCAAATAGCATGAAATGTACATGCTGTGGATGGATCATCACTGCAATATATTGCACGCTCACCAAAATATTTGGTCATCAGCAGCAATAACCTGCTGAAAAGCTCTGTGACTTCTTTGGCCTGTGCTCATTCTTTTGGTCCTTCCTGGAACACAACATCACTGTGTTCTGGATATCAACTTTAGCCTGCCAAAAATAATGGTTTGGACACTGGGAGAAGATGATAAATAGAAGTGTCTGTAATTCAAATCTTCACACAACTGAAGAACAAAAAAAAAAGGTAATGAGCCAATTTAATAAAAGGTCTGAAGTAAAACACTCAACACTCGAGCCAGACTCAGAATCCTGAGAGAATTCCTATAAACTGTAATCTTTAGTATCAAAGTGAGCGTTAAGAAGTAGTCAGAGAGAATTAAAACCTCTGGCACTCTTTGAGTTCAGCTGCTATACGGTTGAGGTTATATGTTAAGTTCCCTTTAGCCTTGAGTCTTGCAAGGCTGTGCCGTCCAGTCTGAAAATACCCAGCAGTTTAAAAGAGCAAAAAGAGTTCAAATGAAAAGTCTTGTATAGACAATGTTGGCTGTATAAGATGGTGCGGCAGCCATTTCTTCCTCCAGAGAGTCAACCAATGCCTAATATGTTACCTGTCGGACATATCTGACTGAGATGTCTGAGACCTGTCTGAAGCTAAACTTTTACATCTGGACAGGCTGAGTGTTCCCTCACAGAACGGTGCTCTCTGTCCGGCTGAGAGGTTCTGGGATGGTGGCGGACTCTTGACCAGCAGAGCCCTCCTCTACTTGGTTCTCAATCACCTGGGGGATGAACGCTCTTCCGGCCCCCTTCCAAACGAAACCTCCATCTGCAGAGGACAGTAAGGGAGGAGCCGGTCAGCAAACAAACAAATACCCACAACAAAAGCTGCGCACGCAACACTGCAAACACAAGTGCCCTTTTTTCCACATTTGGTACGACACCAAGGAAGGACTGCTCTCAGTGCTAAATTTTGTCCGTGTAATTTGTATTCAGTTTTAGAGGAGACCCTTTTCTTCCAAGAGCTTCCTTGGTGTGTTCATTTTTGGAGGGTTTTTTTTTTTTTTTGCACAAAGACAACTTTTTATTTTTATTTTATGTAATCCATCACAGCAAAACGTTAGTAGCTGAAAGCCATTTCACTTAAGCACAAAACACAAGCATGTTAGGAATATGTAACACACAAGCACATGCCACTATACATAAAGTATGTAGAGCACATGTGTAAAACAACAATGAGAAACTAAAAGGAGAGCTATTAGTTTTCCCATTAACAACATATAAACATGCAAGGAAAACACAGAAGCAAGGCAAATGCACCAGCCAGTCAGATCCTTACCATTACCTGCCTTGCAAAGCTCATCTTAGAGGCAGGCCAGCAGCTCAGACATCTGCAATATTTACACATTTTCTGTCATGCTTCAGATCACCATAGCTCCATGTAGTGTGTGACACAGAACGGGACAGTGAAACCAAAAGCCAGAGAGCTAAATACAGAAAGGCCCTGAGGGGAAGCTGAAACCCCTCAATACTGAAGTGAAGTCTGTGTCAGCAGATGAGCAGAAAGTGATTTCAGTTGCCGAAATGCCTTCAAAAGGTAACTGGGCTTGGCATATCACCCTGCATCTGGAGATGAAAGATGCTGCTGCGTCAGAGCTTGATTTGGAAAATTATATTATTAAAATTCCAACAACCCCCACCCCCCCAAAACATTTTTTTATATAGTTGGGGCTGAATTTAAGATCTATCCTGCATCAACACTAAAACAAAGGATGCCATAAAACTGCTCAGAATTCCTACTTAATCTTATGCTGACAAACTGGCTGACAGCGTGCTTTACCTGTGATGATCTTGGAGGCAGAGCTGCAGATGCCGTTACCCGTGTCGTCGGCCGCCGGCTGCGGGGGTGGGGGCATGTTGGGTCGCAGCCGCGGCTTTGGAGTGGGCCTTGACGGGCGATGCAGAGATCCGGAGAGCGCGTTGGGGTGAGATCCGTCGTGAGGTGGAGTGTCAGGCGGGGTGGGGGTGCTGGGGGGAGATGGCTCTGGGTCCCCCTGCGCGTTGTGGGACTGAGGAGGGGGCTGTGGAGGAGGGTGGCTCGGGACTTGGATGCTTTCCCTGCTGGTGTGACGACGGGGCATGATGGGCGGGTAATGGGGCGAGCCGGGCGCCTGTGTGTTGCTGGACTGAGAGGTGAAAGGGCTGGCCTGTTTGGGTGGTGCCGGTGCCTGCTTTTTGGTGCCTTAAACAGCAAGACATTACGACAAAAAAAATGAGGACTAAATCATAACTGTTATCGAATAAATGATATATGAAAAACAAGTTCTCACCTCTCCGGCCCAGATGTGGGCTAGGTCCTCGTGACCCACCCTGAGAGTGCGGGGTTCCTACTGTAAGGTGGACTGACCCATTCCTCTGTGGAGGAGGGGTGGACATGAGCTCACGGGCTGGGCTGTGAAAATAGAGCAGGTCCAAATATTAAACCTTGTCATTGGACTTTTACACCCAAAGAATGAGGGTTGCTGGTTTCAACACTCATGCATAATTCAAAGGACATCGTTTTAGTCAAGGAACAATCACAGTTATGTTAATCACAATAAGAACTGATTTGAAAAGCGCTTCATCAGAAAGAGAAAAAGAGTTTCTTTAATGCTTTGCATGCAAAAATCAAACAAGTCAACATAAACAACTGGACAAACACGGAGATATGCAGGCAGGAAAGAGGGATGGTACATCTTGAAAAAAAATCAATCAGAATTAGTTGATCATCACAAACAAAGGGAAATAGTTAAAGCAGGTACAGTAGCATGGACAAAACACTTCATTATTGTCATTGCATCACATTCTTAATTAATGAAGCCAAACTTAATGCTGCATACTGTACAGTTATTCTCACCACCAAGAAGGTGAGCTGTACATTTAAAATCAATGAAACACACGACAAATATAAAAGGTGGGTGGGCTCCGGATTGGTTGATTGGCTGCGAGCAGACGGTGGGAGAATTGTTGCTACCTCAGCTCGCTCCTTACCTGCTGTCCTCTGCGCTGAGCTGGGTTACAACCTGTGGCTGCACTGTGGCTACCTGGACCCCACCCCCAAGAGCACCACCACCAATACCAGCAACAGTCAGGCCAGGCTGCTCCGCCTCTGTAGCCGGGGGCAGACCCTGGGGCTTCGGCTCAAGCTGGCTGGGACGCCCGGCTTCCAGAGGGGGCAGAAAGGATTGGAAGGTGGGTGAGGTTAGTTGTGTCTGCTTTTTATTAACAGCGCTGCCTCTGCGTGGAAGGGGATCCGGCTGTTTGTTAACAGGGCTATAAAGGGGGGGAGAGGGGAGAGAGTTCAGGAGGGCAAACCATATGCCGTTGAACAGAGTGACGGAGCACGAGGCCGAGAGGGACAGGAGAACAGCGAGAGCGCTGACAGACGCTGCGAGAGACAGAGAGAGACACGGCACTTCCGGAGTTAAGTGAAACCAGCCCAGAAAAAAGAACCCAAACAGGACGTAAAACCACATGACTGTCACCTTCTAAAGAGAACAACTTTGGAGTGCAATGTCACTGCACGAATGAAAGAAAAAGATGCCACACCATACAAACAAAATGCAACACAGGAAGCCCACACAAAACATACAACCAGCAACCTACAGTGTCGCCTAAGCTTTAATTGGAAATTAAGGAGATAACAGTACACAACAGCAAGACAACAAATGCGGTGCCCCAACAATAATGAAAGTGGTTTGTGTTTCGTGATGATCTCTGAAAAATAAATATTATTTCATGCCAGACTAAAGTTAAACAGAAGATTTGCTTGTGATCAAATCTGCATTGTAAATCATAAATTAGGGCACAAAAATCACAGAGCATTCTCCCATGTTTCCCTTCATGAGAAAGTAAATTAGCGCTACATTAGGCTACGGCACAGCTTTGAAGTCTGGACTGGGCAGATCTTCAGTGGGTGTTTCAGTGACTGTGATGGACTCGTCGGCCACTACATAAAAGGCTGACACAGCTGGTCCCCGAGACTCCTGCCTGCTCAGTGTCTTGGGGCGAGACGGGAGGGTGAGGGGCAGGCTGAGGCTGAGGTTGGGGCGAGACAGGTACCTGTCTTTACGGGGAGCGTGACTGTCCCCGTCCTGCCCCAGGCTGCCGGGACGTTTCCTGTCCAAGCCATGCTCGGGGTCCGGGGTGGATGGATGAGAGGGCATGGAGAACATCCCTGAAACATTGAAGTCCACCTCTGGAGGAAAGAGGAGATGGTACAGATCATGCTCGTTAATGCTAGGTATGTAAAGCTTTTGCAATGAAACACAAGTTGTGAATTTCATCTAAAGATTACTTCATGTTATATATGCTGCATTTAGGGCAAACTAAACTTTTACGATTGAATTATTAAAAATACAGAACAAAATGTTTACCATCAGGGAAGAACCAATCGGCATGTTGGATAATGGGCTCAATGATGGCTACCACATGGACTGATGTGGCTGCAGCCATCTCTGCCAGCGTCCTGAGCGGAGGCAGAACGTCACAGACCAGGTAAGATCGGCTGGCTTAATCAGCAGTACAGATATGAGGCAACATGTACAGTCTTCTCACCCTTCTGCTTTGGCCCACAGCAGGTTGGGCCCCAAAACGATGGCAATGTTACTGGGAGTCATTTTATTGATGTCACTGTCCTGAGCCAGCTTAGCCAGGAACTTCACCAGATACCTGCAACACAGAGTCAGAGTAGCTGTTTAGATTACTTATTCATTTAAAAATTAATTTAAAAATCAAGTCACGAGATCCCAAGACTTTAAAGTTCCCGCGTGTAACATTCCTTTTGGTAGACAGGCTGTGTGCATCTTAAATACAGTACATGGCTTTTTAGGAGAGAAAGTTCTGCTCAGAACAGGAATTATTTTTGTTGCTGTGCTCACACAGCATTTTTTTGGGTAATGCATAAATGCCAAATGTGTCAACTTTAAAGAGTCGTACATAGGCAAAGTGTGAGAGTACTGGCCCGTCTGTGCATGATACAACTGAAAACATGAACTGGCCTTAAATGATTAAATTAACAACCGAGATATTAATTGAACTTAAAAAAAGGAATTGAGACAGTCCCTTTCACATCCAGTTCTGTGATGAACTTTCAGAAACAAGGACCGCTCAGACTGCTGCTGTGTCAAGGAAATTGTGTATTGCATCATTTTTCCACATGCACTTCAATAAAAAAAAATAGCTGAAGGTGCTCCTACCTGAAGTTGGCTTTGTGAGTCTTTGGCAAACGGTCACATGTCACCCACAAGGCCTGAAGTCTTTTGTCAGGGTCAGACACACTGAAACCACACACACACACACAAATCTATATAAGCAACATTTGCCTGTTACATAAGAACCAGAAAACAGCATGTCAGCATTTAGTACTTTAGGCATACTTTTAAAATACAAAAGCTCTGTGTGAGTGTCTCTTTGCTGGATTTTGAAATTAAGGTCTATGTGTGCTGTCTCACTTGGAGGCCTGTATCCACTCGTCATAGAGGCTAAAGGTCATCAGCGGCTCAGGAAGTTCCCTCAGGTAGGATTTCAGGGCTCCTGTGTTAAATGAAAATACTACTTTGAGAAAAAAAAAGTGGAGCAGATGTTTTCACTTTTGCATGAATTTGTCAAGGAAGTTATACCAGCGACAGCGTGGGGATCAGAGTAGAACTCCTCGAGCTGAGAAGTAGAGCAGTCCAGCGCCGCTTTCAGCTTCTTCAGTTTTGAGGCCCCTGCTGCTATGCGAAAGAGACCCTGGAAGGAAGAGAATGAGAACCTAAAACAAGTCTGAAAATAAAAGAAGCGAGACTGGATGGGTAACGGGAAAGGAGAAGTAATGTTTGGTCCAGTCAAGAGAGGACTTGTTCTGATACCAAAGCTGCTCATATTGAAAGAGGATGAGCACCAGTCAGACGCAGAAAAGTTTAGTTTCCCTTCATAAAAATGCCTTAAATCACACTCTATAGGAAGTCCAGTTGATTCTGTTACATTTAAAGACTTCAACAGTGAACATGTTAATATGTAACAGATGTCTGCACAGACACACAGAGTTTTAATGCCCGCAGGCCGCTTTCCAAACTGTACGCTCCATCATTTCTGGAGAGCTTTCCACATGACCCACATATCCTTCCAACTCAAACAGAGAGGAGTATTTAGCGCTTCAATGTTCAAATTCATATTCAGCCTGGTCAGGTAAACATCAACTCTGCCCTACTTTTGAGAAGTTTCTCCCCCTTTTTTCTCACATCCATACCTCCTCCTTCATGCCAGTCTCCAGCAGCATCATGACACAGGCCTCTATGGGCAGAGCAATCTCACGGTTGCTCCTCTTCAGGTGCTCCTCCAGCAACATGCCAAACGCTGGCTTCTCCGTCCAGGAGTCTAGAAAAAAGGAGTGTCACCGTGAGCCATCGTGTCTTAAAGTCTCATTTAAAAAAAAAAAAGTCCAAGTATCATTGGTTATCTTTTGAGAGTGTTAGTCAGATTTGGAGAGCTGGATTATGTTTGCAATCTCCATTTTAATTTAATTCCTCTAATGTCATGTATAGTAACATATATTCGAGAGGTAGCTGCAATCCTGTTTTCTCCGGAAAAATCTTTTCCTTGAAATCAAGTTTTGTTCTCAGCTCTTGTGAGTCACTTTTTTACATGCATGGCTGATTTATCCACAACTACAGCTCAGCTGGACCATTTAAAAGGATCATCAACCTGTAATTGTCTGCATGCATGGGTGCATTGGAGCGGAACTGCCTTTCTGACTAAAGTATGCCTGATGCTGCAACACTGTGGACTTTGAAAGGAATAGTTCTAAAAACATTCTACCACCTCTAACATCCTCTTTAATTGATCATCCAACGTGTAAGTAAAACTAAATTCGATGCAAAGACACTGTCTTTAAATTACCTGAATGTTGTTTTTGTTACATGATACACTGGTTAAAAACTTAATTGGTTCATTTACATCACAATTTGCGATGAAAAACACAAAAATAAGTAAAAGTGAGCAGGTTTTGGGGAATTCAGCTACATTGATATAAAATACAAAAACAACATGGTGGAATAAACAAGTTAGTTTCCCATTTGAAGACTTCAACACATTTTTAAATGGTTAGCTAAAAAAGGGTGGAGTTATCGCACAAGAGAAACTAGGAAAACATCTTCCAACCTGCTTTTTTCCAATTGCAACGGAAACCTACCTATACCTTCCTTTTTTAAGAGAGGCTGAGTCTGTGATTTAAATAAAGAAAGATGGAAAGCGAGTAAACCCTCAGTGAAATACAGAGTGGGCTAATATTCCAATAGTTTTAGAATAATATTTTTCAATATGATATTTATGGAAAAATTGGTTAATCCTGCAAGAAATATTATGGCAAAAGAATCCCCCAAGTACATATTATAGATAATGGATGTTACCTTCAGATACTTGTGTTCAAAATGTCATCATACAACCATAGTGTGAAATTACTTGTTGCCACCAAGTTGACAAACAGTTAAAAACGTGGGTTCTCTACCTTGCTGTATTTGGATAGTTGGTAGAGCTGCCTCCAGAGCAACCAGAGCCTTCCTGTGGTACTCTGCCTGGGCCACTAATAGCTGGAATGGAAATACCATGAACAGAAAAAAATATGTCAATGAGAACTGGCCACATCTGAATCAACATCATGATGTGTAAACATAAGAGCACTCACCATGACATAATAGCGTGCATATTCTCCCTCTTTTGAAGCAAAATTGTACATGTCTGCAGACAGCTGGTCCTGCAGGATGGAAAGAAAAACAATTGCTTTTTTACCACAGAATTGATCTAGGAACACCTTAACCTTTCTGTTGTGCCACCAAACACATAATTGAGAAACAGATGAACCCGCGATGACACAACAACAACCTTTAATTACATGTTTCTAAGAATGTGCATGGCATGATTGTAGTGATCCATTCCTGCCACAAGGCTTCCTTTGTTCAGTCAGTTCATTAAACATGACCCTGAGTTTTTGCAGAAGTCCAAACTGGAATGTGGGGGTATTAGTTTGGACATGTTTCTATAAAAGTCAGTATATTCAGCATTATTAAACCATTGTGGTTGGTTCAATACTGAATTCCACTCACACTTACATCTTTTAAAAGGTGCACTGAAGGAGAAATTGTATCTTTTAAAGTACCTTGCATATCTCTACTCTGTTGAGAGCTTCATCCATCTCGTCTTTAAGCGAATCGGCTTTAGCTGCCATGGCCTGGTTGTTAGACTTTGCTGCCTGATAGTACCTGGAGGCCATAAAAATGAGAAAACACTTGAGAACATTTACGGGAAAATTATTATGATATTCATTGCAAAACTGTGAAAAAGCCTGCAACCATTATTATCAATCAAAATGCACCAAAGCCTGATCAAGCCTCCGTAGAAATGTACCTTGCTTTAGCTGAGTCATAGTCCAGAACCAGCTTAGCGAGATGCTTCCTCTGTTTAAGGATATTGGGGATCTCTACCTGTAGGAGAGTCAGTGAGGTTCATGAGAATGTAATGCACCTCAACTTTGAGCTCAACTTTCCCATGAGAACCTTTTGTTACAATGAACTGAACAGAATAATTTAATGCTAAGGTCAGTCATGACATCAACAGAGTATGTTTGCAAAGATATCCATGACAGGATGGGTAAATATATTTTCAATAGCAAGATGTTATCATTTTTAAGCATCAATGAAAGCTTTGGAAAAAAAAACGTTACGCAGTAATACATCTGCATGCTGGTCATGAGTGAAAATAAGAAGAATGATAGTGTGTATTTTTACCTCAGCAACCTGGTTGAGAGGCTCTAAAATATCTCTCTCGATCTGTAATTCATGCTGCATCAGTTCCGTGGCTAATCGGTTTTCTGCCTCCCCACATACGTCCATCATTTTGCTGCACACACAAACAGAGATGCATGCAAATATGACCGTTAATGCTACTTCACTCACAGTGAGAAAAAAAAAACCCAAAGCAAAAATACTGAAGGGTAAAACACCACATACACACACACATAATAGCTTCAGTTTTGAACCTCTTTAGCTTAAACAGCCATTTTTCATTTTAAGTTCATCAGAGTGAATGTGATTTTGGTTGGGTTTTTTTTTCAGATTTGCATATTCAAACAAACGGAATGCCGGCTGCTGCTTAACGCCACTGATGTGGGCGTCTGCGTGTAATAAACCCTCACCCAATCAGGCTCTCATCGCCCAGCTGATTGCCTCCCTCCTGCATGGCCTGGGACAGCGCAGTCAACGGCAGCTTTTTCTGCAACAATAAATGTAAGCACCTTAAGATAACATCGCTTTGATTTATGTGAATTTGCTTGCACAAAAATACAGAACAAAATGCAGGGGAGTCAACTGATCTCTGGTCTGTGAAAAAAAAAAAAAACGTATGTGGAAAGAAAAAAGGCATAACAGTGATTCCTTTAGAGCTGTGTCACTATCACTGGCTGCATGGACTGTGATACTGGCAGTGAGCTGGCGGAGAATTTCTTTCTGCTGAGTCTCTCTCATATCTACAAGTTGGATAAGAGAAATGCTACGTGTTCAAAGCAAGAGCCCTCGCTTCCCAACAGGAGTAATAGTGTTTCACTTTGTGCACAAACCACAGGAGACAGGAGCCTGTCTGAGTAACATACAATAACCTGTGGCATGTTCCCAACATGTGTGAGGTTAAAGTAGATTAAACCACATCAGGCCAACTGTAAGCTTCAAGAAAAAAAAAAAAATTCTTACATGTCTCTTCTCTGTGTCCGTGCCCAGCTGACCCTGCAGACAGGACACCAGCCGTTTGTGCGCGTTGTGCGACACCAAGCGCACCAGCTCCATTCTCCTCTCGATCTGCACGTCCAAAGAAGACAGAAAATGTTTGAATCATCCCCCCCAAAAAATAAAATAAAAAGAAGAGCCATCAATGGAAAGAGTTTGGGTAACTGAACCAAACCGGAAAAGTGAAACGGCCGTTCCATCTTCCTGTTGGACAGAAACAACCCAGGTGAGGACCACAAATCAAAACCCTCATGCTGAACAAGCACACATTCATCAGCAATCTTTCCATCCTGCTTTTGTTATTGACTGATGGGGAGGATGTAGTACTGTACAGTCAAATCCATTCACACAGCACTTTCAAGAACAATTGTTACTAAATGATTCACAGCAGCCAAAATAAAGAGAGCAGCAGAGACAAAAGCACAATGTTTTACTGTGATAAAGAGAATAACTAAAATAAAACGTGAAAACATAGAAGGAAAAAACTAAACAAAAATGAAAAGCTGGCTGACTCTGTTTTGAATCCTGATTCATATATAACTACAACATGTTTTTACTAAATCAAGATGGAAAACCAAGATTCTTTACCATCTTTTAGCAACAAAAAAAGAAGGAAAAAGCATTTACATGTTGAGCTCAATAAAGTTGTCAGTCATACAGTCTAAGGCTGAGATTAAAATTATATCTCTTAAATGTAATCAGATTTAGACAAAAATAGAAAGAAAAAATTGGCTATGCCTTCCAATGTACCTGATGACATAGGTTCAGATGATAAGTCATCAGTAAACAAGCATTAACTGCAAAGGCCCTCAGAGATTTGATGAGGACTACATTAAAGCAGTTCCTGTAACACCCTCCCACTCCCTGGGTGCTGGCACTGTTTGTCTAGTTCTGTTATTAACTGTGTGTAACGGGCAGCAATAAAAGAATATGTGCAATAATCAACAATTATTTCCCAAACTTGCAACATTTGCCACTTGCCATTAAACTACATAATGTAAGATGCCAGATTTTTTATTAAATTTTTAAATTGATAAAACATCAAGTGCCTGATGGGTTCTGTACATGTATCATTAAATAAACCGAGGACAGTCTTCAGTTTCAAGTTTCAAGGATAAACAGATTCATTATCTTTTATGCTCACTACACATCATCTTTCTTGGATGTTTCTTGTCTGGCATATGCTGATTATATGTTAGCTCTCTGTCTGTGAAGTGAGGTTATCACTTCCTTTTCCTGCTTCAGTGTAAACATCCAGCTGGGCCTTGACTTCTGAGCAAATTTGCGATATGATCCCATCTTCTTCCTTCACTTCTATCATTACGGTTCTCTTTGCGGCAGTTGACAGACATTTCTCCCTCCTCCTTTTCTCTCCTTTCCAGCTGGTTTTTGCTTCCTCTCGTGGATCCAACAGATCTGCTCACCCTTCAGCGATCAATAATGCTCTGATCAAGACATGGAAGCATAACTTGATCTGGTAAAGGCTTGATTAGAAGCAGCTTTCCAAACACTATGTGCCAAGATGAAGCAAAAGAGGCCTGAGTACAGTATGATGTGGACTTAATTGACTTGGCTATAACCATCAATATTAATGTCTACAGAAACTAAATCCCTTGTGAGAGCAATTGGAATTGACCGGACATTCACCGAATATATAAAACATATGTTGAATTACACAGTCTCCACCTACAGTTTGTTCAGTTCTCTTTAGCAATGTGCTTGTACTTGGTACTGTAACACAAGAGGGGCACAAAATGGGTGTAGCTTTTATTAGCTACCGCTAAAGGATTTTAATCAAAAGCATTCCTCCTGGTTTAATGTCTTGTGCTTCACATTTTATTGTGTGTGCAACACATTTCTCTGATAATGAGGCTCAGAGAAAGAAATAGTGTCAGTACACAAACTATTGCAAAGACAGAAGAAACACGCAGCCAGTTTGCAGCCAAATAGCTGAAAAAAGAAAAAAAAACTGGGAGAACTCCCTGATCATAAGTCCAGACAAGCTCTCTCTCTCACACACACACACACACACACACACACACACTCGCACACACAGCAAAAATGAACAGAACAGACTATCCCCTCCACTCCCCATTTACAGTGCTGTCCAAAGGTTTCCCAGCCGGTTATCACAAACCTCTTACATTTTTTTTTTATTTCAAGACAGCAGTGAAAAAAAACTAAAGAGCAAGCCGACAACCTCTGACCTGCTACAGTAAAAAAGATGGAATGTTTAGTGAGTCACACAGGAACTGTGCGGATGGGTGGGTTTTGTTTTCTGGCTTGGAGTGGCTCACTCTGACTGAATAGCTGGTCAACTGATGGCCACAAAACTAGACGGCCGGCCCTGTTGGCAGGACTGCTGACTGTCTGACTAGATGATGATGAGGCAGAAACAGCCCACAGAGTTGTTGTACCAAAAGGAATATCTTTAACACGCTGGAAAATACACAACTCTAGATGCAAATCCTCACAACTAATACTTTCCTTAAAGTATTGTACAGTAAATACTGTACAACGTACTGTTCCGCTCATTATAGCTCGAGGCTAGTCTTTGTTGTGACCACCTTCTTCTTCTTTGTACCAGTGTCACCTTAATTCTGTGTAGAAGCCCGGGAACAACAGTGGAGGATGTTTAGAGTCAATATATTCCTGTATGAGCATATACATACAAGAAAAAACTTAAACCCCCACAACATTACTGTACAATAATATACAATATTATTTTAGCTGAACAAACAACGAACAAATCACACTTTAGTTTTTTTTCACCTAGTTTCATCTAAATGTGCTGATTTATTCACCTTTGAAAGGAACTCTAACTGCCTTTTTATATGTCCATCATCCTTTGTCTTTGCTAAATAACTCGAAACGGCTTACAAGGATTACTATCATCAATATGTTTAGCGGACACATGAGTGGTTTCAATCCTTTCATCAAATACATCCAGAAGACAGGGAAGTTTGGTTTTACCAGGCCCTCTGGCATAAGGTGTATTCAAATTCTGTGATACGGAACCAGTTCCAGGTCGACTCCCCACTAAGATTAGGCAAGCAGGCCGGGATAGAATCTGGCATGACAGCCTCCTAAAGTCTCCCACTGAGTCAGGACGTGTCCAAACAAGATAAATGCCTTCCCCGATGCAAAGCACTATGGAAAATGGAGGAGAAAAGACTACTGTGACAACATGGAAATCATAGAATCAAATTTCAAGTTGGACCGTTCACACAAGGGGGCTTTAGGGGCTTGTGGGGGGGGGGGGGGGGGGGGGGGTGGTAGGAAAAATCATTCTTGCTCAGCTTATGTTTGGAAAGAGGGAGAAAATCTTTTCCAGACAGTGTGAATAAATCCAAATGCTGATAGTGATTCACGTGTCTGTGAATAAGTAAACTACACATTTGACAAAGATGTTCCCAGGCTGCAGATGTGAAAGCCTACCACTATCCATCCATCCATCCATTATCAATACCGCTTATTCCCAAAATGTAATTAGGCATATAAGGTTCTGTTGTTTAAAAAAAAACCCATTCTAAGAGTCAAAGCTGCCAAAAAATATCCTGCACACTTTCACAGTGTTGACCTCCTCACAATCACATTCTTCACAGGGAGTTGGAGCTTTAGGAATGTCTAAAGCAGCACAAAGTTCCTGTCGTTCAGCCCCAAAAGAAGAGAAACCGTATTCAGGGGAAGGGCTGTCTCTGTTTCTGCTATATGCTCATGGTGGAAATAAGAATTTGAATACAACAGTCTGTGTGTGTTTAACTGTGTTTAAAAAGAGATACTGATCCTTACAGAGCTATTACACTAGTTCCTAATTCACTGCATAAAACGTTGACCTCTGTGAGTGACCGAGGCTTTTCCTTTCTCTGGCTTACCTTTACACTCCTTCCACAAAAGTCCCCTTGTTCTGTGAACATGTTCTGTCTTACTTTCTGTCATATTCATTCGCACTCTTTTCCTAAAAAGTGATCTCACAGCTTTACAAGGTTGTTTCCCATCCCCCAACCACACACACCCCGTGTGCGTCCACTCTGCTTTTATTATAATGGAGTCAGAGTTCATTTCATGTGGAACACCGCAAGCAGCTTCTCCTGCGGTGCCAGCCTTGAGCTGGAGAGGCAGAACTGAATGAAAACTACCCAGAAATGTTTTGATGCCAACAGTTTTACAGCAGGCATGCAGAGACCAGGCAGCAAAAATCTGCAAAGACATGATGGCTTTCGCAGAGTCTTTCAGACAAATCTTGCAAGCCCTTTTGATCATTTCCATATTTCATTACTCCACAAATGGGCTTCAAAGGAGCCGTTTCCATGCAGATTAGTTTTGTGTAAACTGGTATAACGCAGTTCCCTGAAACCTTCATGGATGACAGAATTAGAACCGGACAAACTCATGGAGGACAACCAGTCAGCTGTGATTTGAAGAATTTAAGTTGGAAACATTTGGTGGTGGACACACTGTACTAATACATTTGTAAACAAACCTTTGAAGCTGATTTGAATGCCATCATTTAAACAAATAGGCAAATGTCAACTTTCAGCCATCATTGAAATTCCCGCATTTCCCAAAGGTATACAGGCAACTTTTATCCTGAGTTTACCACCTCAATGTCGCTTGTCACCAGCTTTTAACACAATCTCAAGGTTATTCCAACAAATGTAGTCAGATAGCCTCACAGCTCATCTGAAAGTGTATCAACAGAACCATGAGATATTTACCTGAAGGAGGTCATCACTCAGAACCTCAGTTTTCTCAGCCCTGAGGAGAGAAACACAAAGACCAACAGTCAGAAATGAGAACCACATCTTTAAAACATTTTTATTTAGAATTTATATGAAAGTAGAGTTTATATGAACATTTCTTTCATGTATTCAACATGCACAAACTTCCCCTCAGGCTTCTGCCATTCAGAAGTCAGACTATTCCGCAACAGTGAACTGTGTTAGTTGTTACACTGGTCCATCCAAAGGAGAGAGCAGCAGACAACAGCTGCTCATATCTCCATCTTAAACCGGATTAGAAAGGTGAAATGCGCAGTAAAGTTTTAACTTCGCGTTCAAGACAGAAAGCCCTGGGGGAAAAGATGGGGAAGCACTTGTAAACACATTCTCAACATGTGTGCACCAGTGGCCTTGCTGAACCTGTGAGATTCCTCCACTCAGTCTGAAACCCTCCTCGCCTCCAGCCATCCGCCTGCACCCTGTTTGTTATGGCAACATGGAAAGGTGTGCACGTGTGTGTGTGTGTGTGTGCCTGCGCGCGCGTGTGTGTGTACATGTTTCTTTGTGTCCGGGTCAGAGTTGGCATATCAATGTCTGTTGATATTGGAGGCCCACGGCCCAGTTGTGAGAGTTACAATAAATAAATAAATAATTACATGACATCACTTCTAAGCTTCTACGAAATGTTGACAAAATGACAAAATGACAACATCACCCCCTCAGACCATCAGCTGAGGTCATTACTCGCTCCATCAATATCTGAAAAAATGTACCACTGCACAGAGATATTGTGTCGAGCACAATTCCCAGAAGAGCTCTTCTGTCTTTCTCCCAGCTCAGGTCCACATTATCTCACAGGGATCAATTAACCCTCTCCCACACATGAGTTATTACCTAATATTTTTACAAGCCTCTGGAAAAAGGTCTTCGTGTTACACGATGTGAATGCAGCACAGGCCCACCTCACTCTTGCCTGAAATATCCTCACAGTTAATGAAAAACGCCCCTGGCTGCGTTCTGCAGATTATGAGTGCAGATTTTAATTCAGAATGGCCGAAATCCTAAACAGACCCCAGATTATCTGAAAGGTTTTTAAAGCTGAAGAGTTAAGATTCTCGCTTTTCTCTCACTCAGCAGAATTGTTTTTTGTGAGAACTGCAGTTACCATGAGAAACTGGTCAAAGTCATTAAAAAAAAACATACAGCCTTGGGAAAAACAGTCAGGCTCAAACATTACAATAATACCACTAAAGCAGGTATGACATAAACACTATTTAGGGGATTAATTACTGTTGGATTTGGACTTTGACCAAATGATACTTTGTGTTTAGACAAGTTTGGTTTCTTTTGTGTCCTATCCAAACGGCTTAGGTTTCATACAGACACTGTCTGACAGGTGTTATTTCTTCCCATACTCCAGAGCAGTGGTTTAGCATTAGAGCTAATCATGACAAACAATAATAACCAGCTGATTCTGGTATGATCTGAACAAAGAATTTTAAAGTGTAAAAATGAATGCAAAGAAAGCACTCTGCATGAATGCTAAAAGCATTACAGCCTGGTTTTGATGAGCGGTATGCACTGGTAGTAAATGTATGATCTGTGGTCGTGTAAACATGCTGATCCTCATGATGATACACATGTTGGCTTTAGAGGCTCACCTCTCAAGCTGCACAAGCAATCTTGGGATTGTTCTGAATACTGAATTAGCATTGATTTGACTGGAATACAGCTTAGCTATGGCCAGCAGCCTTTGTTCTAAGAATAGACTCCCTCAATGTGGGAGCATACAACCTGGGAGACAAGTACAATGCAAATAAGCATAACGCACAAATCAGTCCCAACACTGTGTGCAGGTACAAAGATTTCACTTTGTAAGTTTGTATGAAAATCAATCAACCGCAGCCGAACGAAAACATGTCATTATGTCACTTGGTCATAATATGTGCTACTGGTGTTGTTTTTAGTAGCTCTGGGAAGCTGTTTGACGCCATGCTTCTCTTTAAGTGACCTGATTTGTTAGGGCTACCCCCCCCACCCGCAGGCTTTCACCACAGCGTCACTACATGTGAATCAAGCTGCTTCCTCTTATTAATCGCTTGCAAATCGAACTAGCTTCCTTTTTTGTGAAAGCGCTCCTCTATGGCTGAGTCCCCGTCAACAATCGTGAAAATGCTTACTCCACAAAATCCCTCCCTGCCCTACCCTTTATAGGCTAAACAGAGAACAGCAAATCATCACGTACTAGACTGCTCTGCTTTGTCCACCAGATCTTCTCTGTTGCAAGCAGCTCAGCTTTTGTTTGGCTCAGCTGCATTAAGTGCGTTTCTTGTCAGATCCCATTTACATTTCCTCACGCCTGTGGTTACTGGACACGAACTAAGATGTTTCACTACCGGTTACGTTTTGTCTGCATGTTCTTTCACTTGTTTTTTCAACCCATGTTCCTTTTAGCAATGCACTGAATGACACCTGAGAATGTCTGGCATGCGGTCCAGCTATAATCCAGGCTGTTTGTGTGCTTGCAAACACGTTTGCTTTTTCCGAAACCAAGCTGTGGAGTCTGCTCAGCTTACTTCTACTGCTCTTGCACAACATGTGGAACAGTGAGTCAGGAATCCATGGCCAGAGCCCACAGGGTATTGGTCAGAAGGCCGTTTCCATGAAACACTGGGAGGACTGTAGACGGGTTTACTGATAAAGTGATACTCTGAGACCTTGTCTCAGGCTGCTGATGGAGAGCAGGGCTGGACAGCCCCGTGGGAGCTAAGATGAAGGGACATGACCACCTTATCCTTTCTGCCATCGTACGCCAGGAAATGTGTTTCTGTGCACATCTGAGCCTAAATCTTAAGGAATTCCGCTGAGCGACATAAAATCTAGGTGGTGCAGTCAAAAAGGGCAAATAGCTCAGAACTGCTGACCCCAGATAAGAGAATGGTTCAACTCCTCTCACTGGAGCCATTACAAAATGCTAATTATTATCTGACAAAATAAATACGAGGATCAGAGAGTATTTACTGGAAATTAATCTGTCTTGATTGCCAGAAATGGGATAGTTTAAGAATAGCTGCTGCAACATAATGAAATAATCTATTCATTACAACCTAAATATATCATTTGAAGCAACATGTAAAGATGCAGAAACAAGAAAAAGATTTTTTTAAAGCAGAACAATGAAACTGAAGTTATTGAATTATAAACTAATAACTTGATTTAAAACAAAAAAGAGGGAGGAGGGGGGGCATCGCAGGTATTTCCTATATGAAATCATGGCCCTGCCCTTCCGACACCGCCCACAACAAGAAAACAGATGACAATTAAAAAAAACACACACACACACACACAACTGAATGAAGTGCGCTTTGCGTAAGTGTTTAAGTAAAAAACGCACCTTCCAACAGTCTGGTTGGCCAGCTGCTTCATGCGGTTAAACTGCTTCTTCATTGTCCTGCGTCCGCACGGCGTCTCCTCCAAGTCAGAAAAAGTTGGCGGCGCCGCGGAGAGCTGTCGATCATCAACCCCAGATCCAAAAGTTGCTCTACGTCGCAGCCATTGTCGCAGATCGAGGCGCACGGCGATAAACTTTTTACGCGCTAGGAACGGGCGGACATGGCGCGCCGGGGAGAGGCAGAGGAGTCAGAGGACTCAGAGGAGTCCGGCTCTGACGGGCTTCAGGTTCCCCATTTCTGTGAGTGTCAGGCGCTCTGCTGAAGGGACGGCTCTCTGCACGGCCAGTGAGCTGGGAAGGAGGAAGTGGCTCCACTTCCCCGACTGTAAGACGCATGGCCCAGTGGTGACATGTGATACCTCCGCCAGAAAAAAAGAAAAAGAAAGAAGAAAAAAAAAACATTGACTTAGTTCTTGGTCCGGTAGAATAATACATCTTAGACTATAAATAAAGCGTTCTCAAGTTACTTCCTTTTTTTCTTTCTTTGAGAATAAACCGCTGATAAATAAAGACATGTGACTAGAACTAAACATTGACAGCATTTGATCATGACGCTGTTCACAGACTTGTAAAAGGCAATTTCGACAACTTAAGCACAATCAAACTGACAGAGACGCGGTCCTGGTTTATCTGTGGCTTTTGTCTCCGTTAACTTTTATGGGATTCAGTCAAACCATTTTAAAAGTGTTTATTTCTACTTGCATCACACGTTTGTTCTCTTTCTGATAATATCCAATCTTTATGTAATTGTATGAGTCCTTTGTGTTACTCATTTCATGTTCTTGGAGTTTACTGTTGTGCTTAGAATACACCTTTAGTTGTGTCTTAAATACCACCAAAACGTCATTTAAACAGATGCTCTGCCCCCACGGCAGGTATTGCATCACAGTGTTCGCCCTATTACCCCTTTCAGTAAACTGCATTGTTTTAGAGATTACAATAGTACTGAAAGATGTCTCAGATTAGTCGGTTGAAGGTCGACTCCCTTCAGTTCTATTCCGCCTGTGACGGGGGTCTGCTGCCCTCTTGTGGCTGCTGCCTGTCACTACATGCTCTGTCTAGCGTTTTAATGTTTTAGCTAAATTCAAGTACATTATTAAGCACTTTTCTTATTTTGGCTGAAATCAAATAATTCATAATGTGAGCATAATCAGACAGGCAAAATTATGGATTAAACGTAGGCTATATTAGAAGTCAGAGCCTTTTGCTGTTTTCGTCAAAAAGAACAACTATGAATCACCTGGACAAAGTTCCCATGGTATTTTATGCCATGATATATATGAAGGCTGTGACTACATGACTGCCTAATAATATGAGCCCATTAAGCGGAGAAAAACTTTCAGCTCACACAAATACAACTATCTAACCTTAGATGCTATTTCAATTGTGGCTGAATGTTTGACAGAACATGTTTTTCCACGTTTTCCAAGATTTACAAGCTGCCTTTCTCCCAGTTGAAAGCACACAGACCCATAAAAGAGCTCAGAGAGGGGGAAAAATGTTGTCTGATTTGATCAATCTGGGTGTACTTTTGCTTTAAATTCCCCTATTTCATTGGGGACAGTCCAATGATTCAGGATGACTCGACTTTAGTCAGCACCTAAACAAACCCGTGGAGTCTGATAGATAAAATAAGTAAATAATCTTTTGATTTATTTTACTGTCTTTGAAAATTATGATTTGGAGATAATGTTTGCTAAACATCATAAAAGAACCCTCAGTGTTGACCGAACCCCCTCTTTTGTTATGCCCTCTATACAATCGATCATATAGCAAATTTCTATTAGGTTTTATGATAAACTCTCTTCATGTCAGTACCTTAAAATGATTAGAAAGACGAAGTGCATGAGTGATGACAGTTGCAAATGGACCTTTGGAAAAACTCCCTATCAATAGAATTGCCTTTTTTTTTCTTCAAAGCTGCAGTCAAAATTGAATTACTTCACATTTTCAACTACAAATGCTGCCCACTTCCAAAAAGAGACCAAATGGCTACCTTTTCAAAGCCAGGAGACATCTCTATATCAGCTTTGTGCTTCTGCTTCCCTGTCCCTGGTCTCTATAGCCGGAGCAGTGAATGCCTGCTCCGCACTGGAGGGTGTCATGCTGTTTCCATATTGTACCCCTGGGCCTCCCCGCAGCCGTGGCCCACATGGGAAAGCAGGCCAGGCGGCGGGATAAACCAATTACCCCCCAGTCTGGGTGGACTCCTGCCGGCGCGCCATGCGGCAGCTCCCGGCCAGAGCCCTCCTAGGCTCAGTCCCCATGAGAGCCTGCTGGAATTCCCAGAGATGAGAATTGTGTGGTCTCAAAAGCCTGCAGAGAGACTATATTTTGCCCGGAAATTTGACATGGTGGCCTCCTGGGACAATACCGAGGGAGGAGATGTCAAACTGACCTTCTGCGGGGTGAAAGGACTTGTGGAAAGCTGGATTTTTTGGGCAACTTTAGTCAATTATGTCTTACGCATACGTAACCGTCTGTTTTTCCCTCGTGTGTGCCAGAAGTTTAAATGATCTGTTGAGATGAAATAGCTCTAAACACACAATGGACCAACTAAATTTATGTTTTGCAGCAAAGATAACATTTTTTCTGGGCTTCCTGTCTGCAGACCGGCTTTATTTGGAACTCTACAACCATATGGGACACAGAGAAAATGAACTGTTACTAAAGATACACAACATGAAAAACATGGCTCAAGTTAAAGTGAAGGCCACATTTCAGCCTTCTGGTCTTCCGTGCACGGTGATCGTTCCTAAATGACGACATCCCTGACAATGGTCATTATGTCTGCCGGGGGCCTTGTCACTGGAGAGCCATTGTGTGCACCCCATTCACCCCTCAGTCATTTACACTTTCATTGGCAGCTATTTAGTGCTCATAAAAAGTTCAACACACCAATTTGTGAGTTGTGCTCAGCCAAGGAGAAGTGTGGAAAAGCTCAGAAAGGAGCTACTTTAAAAATCAATTAATTGTTCTCCTCTCCGGGGAGGGGCAGAGAGGGAGGATCCCCAGGCTTTTGGGGCCTCACATCTGTCCATCCGTCTTCTTATGAAATTCAGGGGCTACGCATCTCAAAAGAGTCGCCTGATTTGGTCTGTATTTCTTTTTATGGAAGTGCTTTAATGGAACTATGGAAGTAGTATTAGTAATCATCTTAGTACCGAAGGAAAGGTGCTTACACAAAAAGGGAAGGGGACTTGTTGGACAGCTCAGCACTAAATGATTTTACTGGTCAGAACAAGAGATTTAGAGGAATTTCAACTTTTGTCAATTTATTATTGAATTACTGCATTTTATTAAATAGATGGCAAATTCAGTATTTTGGGGGGGAAAAGTTTTTATATGGACAACTGTTAGACAGCTTAGTCTAACAAAACAGAATAACATACACAAAAATGAAACTTTCATGTTGTGGAATTTATTCAAGCCAATCCCAAGACACCACACAAACAAACAACGCATTGGCGAAAAAAACAAAGAAACGCATTATTAAGTCTCGTCTGCTGGAAGTTTACATATTGAAATATTAGAATGTATTAAAACTGCCATATAACTATAACATTTGATAAGGAAAGCACACACAAAACACATGAAAAACATGTCAGTCATTTGATTTATGCTTTCCCATCAAAACCAAACCACATCTTACCAAAGGGGAAGAAAAATATCCTCTGCAAAGATTTTCCAGTTGCAAAAACTTTATGTACTCACTTTATTATGTTGGATAAATAACTTTGAAACTTGAGCATTGGCGCAGGAAAGGGGGAAAAAAGTTCATCAAAATACCATGTGTAGTGTTTGAAATTTTAAATGAATTACAAGACTTTCACAAGCACATACATACAAGCCCGCTCACAAAGACAAACTGGAATGATAAATGGCCATGCCTCCATCTTCCCTCCCCCTGCTGTTCACAGGGCAACCGCTCCACAGCACAACCAAAAGTGAACAACAGTCGATGTGGGGAGAGGCACAAAAAGAGAGCAGTTAGCCAGCCCCTCCTTCCACTCCCAGCACCGGGGGCAGTGGTGGGAGGCAGACAAAGGCCGGCCGGCCCTCCCTGAGCCCCGGCGCTAAAGGCCCCGCTGTTTGCCCCTGTGATGCTTCCTCAAATGTTTTTTATTTTTTCCAGCATTTCAGTGGCCTTCCCCGCTGGCGATGCTGGATGCCACCATGTTAACATATGACAGCGTTACAAGGATCCCACAGCGTCAGCACAGAGCCGTTTTCTCTGCGGACCAACCGTCCGGCTGCTAAAACAACAAACTCCTCAGTCTACAGGGAAGTCGCACGAATTCCGATGCTCCATCCTGGCCTTGTAGTAGACGAACAGGAAGTCTTTGTATCTCGGGGCGCAGCCTAACCAAGCGTCCCCGAAGTGCTCCGACCCTGTGAAGAGAAACTCTCCGTCCCCGGGCTTCACGTGGCACCGCAGGAGTGTGTGAATGTGTCCGAGCCAGGACACAGAGGGCCGAGAGGGCAGAGAGGGATCTGCTCGTGGCTCAAACAGTCCACTGCGCTGCCAGTACACCTTTGTAGCCGACACCTCTATCAGTGTCGTCTGCTTCTTGGAGTCATGTGACACGCCTCTGATGTAGCCTCGAACCACTAAAAAGATGAAAAAGCAGAACTACACTGACACATTGCACACAGACAGTTTATCTTTAGACGTTGCCCTTTTTTATTTTATCTTGTTTTTCTTTTTTTGGCATGTTTTTCTTTACATTTTGGACAATATTTCCTCTGCATCCATTTCCCTTTTCTTTAACTGGATTTTGCAGTTTAGAGCACAGAAATCAAACTTGAAAATTTAGTGCTCAGGCAAAATTCAATTTGAATTTCAGTCAAGAAATGTAGAAGACAAAGCCCGTGAGAAGTGGAAGTATCTAGTTAACCAAATATTTACAGACTGTTAAGAAATTGATGCTACACAGTGGTAATCATGACCCCATTTCTACTTTTTTAAGATGATGAAGACCCAAAATATTGATGAGGACCCAATACATTTAATTTTTAATACAATGTATATCTGTTTGTATAATTTGTTGTACTGTAAGACAAACAATGTTGCATGATATTTGCAATTGAGTGAAAAATATTTGACATGTTGCTGGTTCCTTAACGTGTAGTTGAGTAAAGGGAAAAGCAAACGTCATAAAAAACTATTGATCAGACTTATCGACGATCTGTGTGACGTGTTTCAAGCTTGTTGAGAGAGCTGTACCCACCAAAGTCACTGTTGCAGATGGCCAGCAGCAGCTCCGTGTCATTGCAGGGTCTGCATGAAGCTGTGGGAGGAGACAGACGACACCACGGGTTATCCGCCTCTGTTCGGCCGAGGTAGCTCTTCCTCTCTCCCAATGATGCACGGCCCACGGTAAAATGACTGGCAGTGATTTATTGAAGAATGTCCCTCCTGTCTACCACTTCACCGACCCGCATACCAGCGCTGCCCCCCTCACATGGCAGACTAAGACTTTAGATGAAGGAATGCTGCCTCCTGTGATTGCATGCCTTTAAGTGCTCTGCACCCCCCAACATCAAGAACCCTCACTAGTCTTGACCCCATGTTTGACTTCCATTGTATCTACCTAATTGAATGACACTGTGCCAATGCGGAGGACTGTGAGAGTCAAACACTCCGCCAAGCTGCCAATACGGAGAAGAAATCAACAGAAAGCTGTCTATAATGGGCACTGAATGACATCACCACATTGGGACCGGCCCGCACACATGGCTAAATGCTAATAAACAGACCCGGACGGACAATGACGAGGTATTTGCGGAATCTGAAAAGTATTTGCAGTTTGAATGTGGGCCTTCTGGCCCGGTGCCCTCCAGCCACCCTGTGGTCTGCAGTGTCCTCGGCTTTGTCCCCTGATGGAAACCAGACAACCAGACAAAACACCAGGCTGACCAACAGCTGCATGCTGCAGTCCGCACCGTGCACTTAAATCATCCCTTTTGCATTCATCACTCACTCATTAGTGAATTATCTGTTCGCTTCCCTTTTTAGAGGGGAATTTTCCAAACAGTCTCATCACCATACTGAGACTCTTTTTTTAAGAAAATGTGTAAGGAGTGCACGTAATCTATGGTAAACTATGGTAATCATTTATTATTTTCATTAATACTATATTGGCCTAAACTGTTTGAAATGTGAAAACAAAAACATCAGAAGGGATGAGGGATCACCTAGAAAAGTTTTACCCTGTAACAATCTGGGACTGTTTCATGCCTTTTGAGCCACTATGCCATTTCAGAAAGGATTCTTTAACCTAATAAAATAAATTACCAAAATCATTTGAACCCTGACAAAACAATTTAGACAATGACTGAGACCTCTTACAAAATATGAACTGGTTGCAAATCTGTGCTTAAACCTCCTTGAGGTTTCTTCGGCCTGTGACATTTTTGCTGCTTTCTTTTGCTTTTCTGTTCACGAAACTTGAAAAATGCAACGTAATTAATCTACACACTGGCAGGATAAGCTTTAAAAAATCATTAAGTATTTAAAAAGACGAAACGAGCCATTAGTTAAAGTGCATTCTTAATAGAGGGGTGCACACTCACTCTGCAGGACGCTCGTGTTGGTCAGCAGCTCGTATTTGAACCCTATGGTGTTTCTGCTCCGGGGCCCGTGGCCCTGCGGGCTGGCCTGCAGGTAGATGGCGGGTCTGTGCTGCGCATCTGCCCGGAAACAGAGCACCTGGCGGTCCAGCCGGTGGCCCTCCGCCCCCAGCAGCTCCAGCTCCCCGTTCCGTTCGACGAACACGCTGGCTCCCCCGAAAGAAGGGGACGGCTTGATGCAGACGGTGCTCCGCAGGGAGGAGGACACGTTCGGCTCGATGACCACCCGGAGAGCCGGGCCCGGGTAGAGCCAGCGCACGAAGCCCCCCGTGCAGCGCAGCCGCACCTGCAGCACGATCCGGGAGTCTAGGCCGGCCACAAAACCGCTGGATGTGGAGGGGAGACGGCGGGGTTTGAATAGTTCACATGCAGACGGTAGAACAGCAGCTCAAGTCTTTTAGAGAAGCTCGTGCCATGTGAAAGATTCATCTAATTTGGTTGAAATCTTTATGTTTTACACATTCGTAACAATAACTTTGAGAAGTCGTTAATCAGAGTTTATGCATAAACCCTAAATAACGATAGGCTACTATAAAATAAAAAAATACTGGGAAATTAGAGTTGAATGCAGTAAAAAAAAAAAAAGTAGGCTACTGATCCACAAGTGAATTTTAAAAAGTTTAAATGTACAGGTCACAGATATAAACCCCCCATATATATCTAATAATTGAAGACTTTGTTGTTACCTTTGAAAACAAACAAAAAGTTTCTTTAAAAGTTTTTTTAAAGGTTTAAATGTATCTACTGATATCAGAGTATCTGCTCACCTTCCTGTCCAGTTGCACTGATCGGCTGCGCAGTGAAGAGCCAGAAAACAGACAGAAATGAGTGCAAGTGGCCACATCTCCCTCAAAGAAAGGTACAAAAATCGATAAAATAAAGCCGATGGCCCAGCATGGCCGGAGAGCTGAACCGGAGGACACGCGCTCCTCTGCTGTGACCGAGCTTCTGCAAGAAAAAAAACGGACTGGAGTTGCCTCTCAGCTGCCCTCCCGCGCTCTCCCCTTCTGCCACGCACACGCACACGCACACGCACAGACACGCCACTCAACACGCGTTCCTCGTCTTTCTCCGGCTCTAATGAGGGCTGATCCAGTTGTTGAGGGTTGCTGGCCTCTGCGGGTTTTTTGTCTTTGCCCCTCAATCGGAGGCAGTTTGAAAGACTTCAGCCATCTGTTAAGAGCAGCGCGCTTTTCTGCGCAGTGATTCATTCACTCCCACAGACGCCCCGAGGCCCATTATCCTACTTTTACAAGAGACCTCAAGCTTTACATGGCATTTTATAGCTCACAACCTGTCTGTCTATCTATCTATCTATCTATCTATCTATCTATCTATCTATCTATCT